AGATCAAAATGAGAATGGTTAGGATGTACAGAAGAAAGTAAAGGAGGAGAGGGTTGAGAGTTGAAGGAGACGATGTAGACTCAGGCGCCTACGGCCTGCTGGCGTAGGTTTTCGCTAGACGGTGTATCCACGATTCGCTCGTTGATGGATGTAGAAGAGTGGGAGGGGGAGGGGGAGCCGTCGTGTCTTGGTGCGGAAAGATGGCTGTTGTACATTGTGGATGAAGGGGAGTAGGGGGACTGTTCGGTGTTTAGGGGATCTGCATTTGAAGTCGGAAGCGTGGTGATCACCGGGGATGCCGGGCTCCCAAAGTCCTCTTCCGGTTGCTCTTCCTGCGCATCCTCGAACTCCGCCAGATCGTCGGTGCGCACACTTAGACCAGTGGCGGTGCTCGTTCTGCGCACCGAGTGACGTTCCGGGCTGCGGTCGGTCGTAACCGACTCGCCGCTGCCTAATATAGCAGGATCTGACGCCCGTGGTTCATCATGAGGGGTGGGCTTGCGGAGCTTGAGGCGCTGTTCTGGGGGCATGTTCTGCCATTCAGACCCGAATGTGACGATAGATGCCTTTTTGCCATGCACGATGAAACTGGGGGCTTTGCGAGGAAGAACTTCTCCATCGCCGGAGACTTGATCGTCTTCCTCCTGTCCAATGCTAGACACTGAACCCCGTTTCTTTTTCGAATGAGAGTGGTTTCTATGAGTATGCGAATCACGGAGGGTGCGATGCAGGCTACGACGGACGCGACTCGGTCTGTCGTTCCTATCGTTTGGATTTGTCTCGCCCTCGGGGAGTGCATCAGGGGCGATCTCTTCATCCTTGCGTGTCGACGGGGACTCCGGCAGCTCCAGTAGACCAGCTTCCCTTAGAACGCGCTCCTCGCCGTCATCGAAGCTCGCAGGCGATGTCAGTTTCGATGTACGAGATGCCATACTAGCTCCATCCCACCGGCTGGCACGGCTGGCTTCACGCTCGAGTTTAATGGTCGTTGGATCAGGTGAGTATGACTTGGCACGTTCGGGAACAGCCACAGCAGAGCGCCGACGACCGACACGAGCAAGGTCAGATGAAGTGACAGATGCTGGGATACTGGGACGACGCAGTTCATCATTCGAAGGCTTAGCTAGCAGTCCAGCCTCCGAGGGCAGCTCGGTTTGGACCCCATTGGGCTCGGGGGTATCAGCGCTAGAGATAGTATGCACAATACTACCAGTTCTTTCCACGCTAGGCTCCGATGTCACGGACGGTCCGGAAAGAGAGGCCAGGCGTGCTCTGTCCGACTGGGATGGCGTCGGTTCAGCGACCGATCCGACCCTGCTTTCCACTGCCTCATCATCCTCTCCAAGGTCTCGCAGGAGGACTTGGCGGTAACATTTGCTGCGCCATATTTCCTGTCTCACCCATTTGATCTTGGCAGACAGGCGGCCTGCAGCCATGATGACGCTCTCGCGGGCCCGGGCGTGAAGAGGAGTGAGCACTTGCAGGTGTCGAGCATCTTGTAACATATCATCCAGTTCTTTTTGTAACGTGGCAAGCTTTTCATTTCTCTCCCGGATTTTGTGGCTCATCAATTCTCGTCGTGCAGCAACAAATTCGGCAACGATGTCGGTATCGATGCTCGGAGAAGGGGGCTCTATTTCCCTCGACTGGTGAGATTTTTGTGAAGATATCGAGCCCAATCGCTGACTTCTGCGGTATCGTTGTCCTTCATAATTCGTGGCAATCATGCCCTTGGTGCGCACACCAGTGGTTCTGAAGGCTGCAGCGTAATTAAGGTGTGCAAGCCAGTCATTCGTATCAGCCTCAGAGCCAGCAAGGAATATCTCCTCCAACGCGTTGTGCCGAACAAAAATAAAGGCGTGTTTGTGCTTTTTATAACTCGAGTCTAGGAGGGCAACTGTGTCACCAGTAGACATGATGTTGTCCGGCTTGAATTCAGCAAGGGGTGGCTTGAAAACAAGAGTTCCCCGACGGCCATTCTTGACGTATACCTCCTCCTGTGCTATGAGTGAGCGCACCCAGTTCACATTGCGGAAGAAGTAGAGCTGAGAGAACGTGAGAATAGCACCCCATTCCTGCCAAGGTGACCTGGCTTTCTTCTTCTTCGGATCTTTCCGCCAAAGCAAGCCGACCTTGGCGACTTTGATATCTACCAGACCGGGATTTGAGTCGAGGGGACTATCCAAGCTAGCCGGCATGAACGCGTCAGGACGAGAGCGCAGGGAGATGATCTGCAAGATTCCGGACTTGGTGAAGGCCAGGTGAAGAGAATCCATGTCTGGTGGCCCAGCGGTTCCAAAATGATTGTATGTATCATCCAGATCCATGACATCCTTCAAGCTGGGGCGCAGGGATCCCAATTTGCCTTCCAGTATAAGCGAATAGGGATCGACAGGCTCCCGTGCAAGCCGGGCCAAATTTTCGGAGCTAGTGCTTTTGAACAGTGTGCGACGTGGTTTCGCCAAATGACGGTCAGGTAGATTGGCGTCTTCGACACGAATGAACGGAGTATATGAGATGTTCTCATAAAAACACTCAAGAATGTCTTCCGAGATTCCCTCACTGCGACTTATCTTGACATAGTCCGCCTTCTGCATCTTCCGTTTGTTGTTCTTATTGAAGACGTCGGTGTGAAGAATCAAAAGCGAAAATGCAATAAAGTATGCGTTATCTGGGGCTGTAAAGATGCCTGGGTTGCATTCGTGATAGCGGTCAGCGAACGCTTGCACGAAGCGATCAATCTGCTGTGTTTCTTTCGGAAGCTCGACTTCCATCAAAAGCTTGCGGATCGCCATGTCGAGCGGGTCACCGAAGTATGAGAAGGTTCTCATGTATTTTCGTAGACAAATCTTGCAGAATTCCTCCTCTGATTGAGCGAGGACACCCGCAATCATGCCACGGGGAAGAGTTTCCTCCAGACGGGTCAGATATGAAGCGGGTGTATCGTGTTCTTCGCGTTTTGGGATTGCCTGTAGCTCCTGCTTTAATATGGGGGTGGAGGCGCCACCTATCGCGGGTGAACCCTGACGAGGAGCGGGTGGGGACGAGTTTTGCCTCAATCGCTGCGTGATATTGAACATATCACTGAAGCTCTTGCGGCCACTGGTCGAAGTGGAGGTGCGCGCCGAGGATGCTAAGTACGGCGGAATGGACAAGTCATCCTGGTTCTCGGCCAGCGATCCCATTGTAGACGAACGTCCTCGGTTCTTAACAGAGGGATTGGATCGAACCGAGCGAGCGGAATTCGTTGAATCATTTCGAAATAGTGGTGGTACACTCGAGACAGCGAGCCCCACGGTGGAACGAGATGGCGAAGGTAGTGGTGAGACTTGGTCCTGTCCACCTGAAGGCTCGGACTTTGGCGTATCTGTTGGGGGGAACTTCGGTTGATTATCCACACCTCCAGTCGGCTGCGAGACTTTGGGGGGTAAAGGAAAGAGAGGGGTCCGGTGCATTTTTAAGCGTGGCATACGGAATCGCTTTGCGGTCGTTGCATTGTGGCCATCACGAGGGGAAACACTCCGGGTGACGGTGTGGTCGTAGCTCTGGTCTGATCGAGACGATTCGGAAAACCGGGGATCAACCACTGAAGATCGCTGAGAGTCGTTGGTCTGCGGGTTCCCGCGAAGTGAGTTGGTCGACAACCGACCAGGCTCTTCGGTAATGCTCTGGGACATGGCAAGCGTCGAGTCGGTAACCTGGGAGTCGGTTGATCCCTGTCCCCTTCTACGAGGCTTCGCGGGTTGTTCCATTGATTTCCGAGACATTTCCTCCATAGACTGTTTTCGTGACGACGGTCGGAAGCTAAGCTTGGGTCTTTGTTTCACGGGTTGATCGAGTTCATGACTGGTCGGGGCGGTGGTAATGATCTTGGGAGCTTTATGCGGTAGACACAGTTAATCAATCTATCCGGATGAGTATTGGGGTTGTCAATCTTTCACTTACGAGGTAAGGAAGGGACCGGGGGAGTGTTCTGGCCCGCCTTGACATAAGACTTGGATAGTTGGGGGTCAGACGCATGTCGTAGCCTCATGAAGCTGAATCGCTTGTGGCGTAAGCTGGGACGCTCCCCCTCAGATGGACCTGCAAAGTCCGGCTGGGCTACCCCATTTGACTCGTTGTCTTCCGGTACCTGAAGTCCTGAATTTACCGGACCGTCTGATACCCCGGAGCGAGGAATTGACTCGGATAGTCTAGGTTCGGCGGGGGGATAGGGACGAGGAAGGTGTTCACTGCGACGGGATTGACCTGGCTCAATGGTGCTCTGCCTCTTGTCGGCCACAAGACGCAGTCCTTTCCAATGCATGGTGAAGGACAGAGCGTGTCAAACCCAAGCTAATAATCCATGAAAACTTAACTCGTTAGATGGGGAATGGGAAGGACATTCCAGAGTGGGATCTGGAGCGTCAGCCCTGGCAAAAAGGGGAACGCCGGAAAGGGAAACGTTCTAGATTTCTTGTTTCTGCCGCCACAAGTATTTTTCTTATTTTAGTATCTCTCTCACACAAAAAAAAATATAGAACTTAAAGATAGAAGAGAAGTGAGGAAAATAAAAAAAAAACTAGAGGGGCAAGGCAGACGAGTTAGAATCTAGGTCTGAGCGTCGGGTAATTGACCGGATTTAAGTATAGAGAGCATTGGTTTTGATGGATATATTAAAGGTACGGAGTAGTTAGCTTGTATTTAAATTAAATCAAACCAATAGATGCTTAAGAATAGTAAGATTTAGACAATATTTCTATATTAAAGTATTATATCATGTATTCCCTGGCCACTGAGAACAAACCCAGGTCTTTTCTCCGAACATCAATGGAATTTTGCATTCTAATGTAACATCTTGTTTGACTTGATATTCCGTGGACTATATCTGCGTTATCGAGGTAGACGCTTTGTCCTCTCCCGTCTTCTCTCCGCATCCGAAGGTTCAGATTCCTGGGAACCTCCAGGGCTGTGAACTTGCCTCTTGACTCTGAACACCTTCAACACTATTGTGACTCGGCATGCGTCTTCTATCTATATTGGTCGCATCGACCCTGCTTCCTCTTATCTCCGCCGTCCCCGCTGGTTCAAGCATCACCCCACCGCCGCCCCTGCTACCTGTCCGCCAAACTCATTACCCACGTCCATGGGCACGATTCCGCGACTGGGTAATTGGCGCGATATGGGATATTGATCACAAACACTGCTCTAAACATTCATCGCCACCACCCAATATTCACGATCGGTATGGCAGTGATGTTGTCCTCCGGTTCCATTTGAGCGAGCCGGACGAGGCAGAAGCATTAGCCTCCGCCTCGCATGTGCTGTTTTTGGACATTTGGGCCATAACCTCGAAGTTCGTAGATATTAGACTTGCAGATGATATGGTGAGCTTTGTTCCTGAACGCTTCATGATCGTCTCACTAATTATCTTAGATCCCCTCCTTGTTGGACCTACTACCTTCCACACTCCGCACCTCCTACACTCCCCTCATGGACAACCTCGCCGACAATATATACGCTTCTTACCCTTCCGGCCACCGTAGCAATTCCGACTTCCGATCAGGGACTGCATCGGGTGAACTGAAGACGATATCGAACGGCGACCTATTCTTCCAAGAATACCAGCCGCTCAACGTCATCACGCAATGGATGCGCTTGATGGCATCAATGTTCTCCTCACACGTACGGATGATCAGCGTGGGAGTCACATACGAGGGTCGCGAGATCCCCGCATTGAAAGTCGGCATCTCTCCCGACCCAGAACGCACATCGGGCCCACGCAAGACAATCGTCATCGTCGGCGGTACTCACGCCAGGGAATGGATCAGTACCTCCACGGTAACATATGTCGCATACAGCCTCATCACCCATTACGGCTATTCACCCGCAGTAACACGGTTGCTGCACGAGTACGACTGGATTTTAATACCAACCCTCAATCCCGACGGATACGTCTACTCGTGGGAATCAGACCGTCTGTGGCGCAAGAACCGCCAGCCAACGGGTCTTCCATTGTGCCCGGGAATTGATCTAGACCGCGCCTGGGAATATGAGTGGGACGGCGAGTCGACTCGCTCGAACCCGTGCTCAGAGACCTACGCCGGTGCGGAGCCTTTCGAAGCACTTGAATCGCAGCGCCTGGCGCAGTGGGCTCAAAATGAGACGTTGCATGGCCGCGCTGAGATCGTAGGCTTCATCGACCTACACTCCTACTCCCAGCAGATTCTATACCCTTACTCATACAGCTGCTCCTCCGTGCCCCCCACCCTCGAGAGTCTCGAGGAGCTAGCGTTGGGTCTCGCCAAGGCAATCCGTCAGACATCCCATGAATCATATGACGTTACTTCGGCGTGCGAGGGGATTCTCAGCCAGGGTGCGGCTGCTGGGATTACCTCGGGTGGCAGCGCTTTGGATTGGTTCTACCATAACCTGCACATCAGGTTCTCGTACCAGATCAAACTGCGCGACCGCGGCAGTTACGGGTTCCTTTTGCCTTCGGAGCACATTGTTCCCACAGGCAAAGAGATTTTCCATGCTCTGTTGACATTCGGCAAGTTTGTCTGGGGCGAGGAGGCATCGGATATCAGCTTTGCGGATTTGATCGGTGATCAGATACCCCTATCCGATAACCTGTAGGCTTTTTCCTCTTTTGATGATTACATGTTGACTTTACGAGCGAATCTCCCCCTTTAATTACGACACTTCTGATGTTGAAGAGTCCTTGTACAGTATGTTGGCCAAGTGAGCCTAAGAATGCAAAGAATGTAATGCAGATCTTCCAATGTGCCCATATACTTAGACGTGACATGACTTTGAACCATATTGTTTATTTATCGATCAGATCATCCCATGAACCGGGAAAGGTGCCGAATATGTCTCCTCAATAATAGGCAGGCTTTCAAAAATCGATGCCATCAACACGGAATATTCGTCAGTTGGCAATTTCTGTGTGTCTGCCCCCACAACGATTACTGCGTCCACAGAATAGGCACCAACTGGTAGCCCTCAGAGTCAAAAAAGGTGGACTAATTCCCAGGGCTGTAAGATATTTCGCGAGTTCAAGAAAATATTCTGCCAAGTGATTGCTCCCGATAAGAATATCATTCTAGTTCGCGTCTCATAGCATCTCGTACATGTACATTCTGGCGTCTCACAGAGTCAAACAAATCCAACTCCATTTGGTCTCCTTGCATAGGAAGTGCCTGGGAATATTGAACATGATGAACTTCCGTACCTTGAACTTGCTCATCCCCATGTTTATCTTTCTGACTATCTTCGCGTTAGATTTCTATGTTACCGAACGTCTGCCAGTCCAAATATCAACCATATCGACACCAGTATCAAAGGCAGTCCTAGCTTCACACCTAAACCCACACCAATAACAACCATCACCTTTGAGTATTTGCCGACAGATGGCGTCAAATTTCCACTTGACTCTGTAGGTGGAATCGACTGAACAGCGAAATCGTAGGTCGCCTCCCATTTAAACGTCGACATATTAGCTTGGCGGTTTGCCATGGCTCTACATACTCAGCCCCATTCTATCATGTAGATCTTAAATCTCCACTGGATATTTCCAGCCTAGTGTTCACACAAGTGAAAACACCGAAGTTATCACTTGGACAAGCAAATATATTTGACCAGCTAATAGGGATGGCTGTTCAGACAGTCAAATTCAAGATCGAAATGTTTTATTGCTGGTTTCTTACCGTCATGGCAAATATGCGGACAGTCTTCGGCAGGCCAAGACTGATTGGCACAAGCCCTACAGCATAGTTTCTCGCTCAGACATGTGTCGACCTATACAACCCAGAAGGGAGAGAAAATATCTTAAATACATCTATTTCATAAACAGAACATCTGAGACTACCAAACAGACTACTAAAAAGACCTCACAAGGCCGCATACGCGGGCCTCTCTACTCTTGTAATCATAACCGAAAATCATTTCTCATAATTGAAACATCTAACGGTAAAATCCAAGGTATTAACGGCCTATCGATGATGACGACGACAAACAGCGCTCAATTTCCACAAGATATTGGTATAGCTCACGCATCAGAAAAGCCAGGAGACGAATTTCCGGTAGAACCAGTTTGCGTCATTGTTCTTCTCTGCCTGAGCCTCCTTAGCGGCGAGATACAGCGCCTCCTCGCGATCAATCTCGTCCTTGCCAGTGAAGAGATCGGCTGTCATGGGGTCAACACCCTTGGAACCGGTGGCGAACTTATATCCAAAGATCATGATGAGATACAGTGGAATACCGAGGTAAGAGGTAATAAAGTTCTTGTAGTCGAAGTCTCCGTATGTTTTGGGGTTGTGGATGAAGACATCGAAGTTCTTGGTAAAAGCGATGAGGATGCAGAATCCAAGAGCGAAGTAGGATCCTGCGGCACCGAGGGGTGCCTTGTAGGGCAGGCTTGACTCCGGGATGCCCTGGGCTTTGCGCGCGCGCACGAAGTAGATGTGAGTGACCAGGATGGAGATCCAGGTGAGGAGACCGAAGATAGTGACCAGGTTCACGAAGTACTTGAACACAACCTTGGAGTCACTGCTAACGTTCATGTAGCCCAGCAAAGCGATAATGGCTGAAATAGCCAGTGCAAAGACAGGAACGCCACGACGATCGGTACGGGCGAAGATCTTGGGGGCTTTGCCCTCGCGGGCCAGGCCGTAGATTGTACGGGTTGCGATGTACAGATCGGAGTTGGCTGCTGAGAAGACGAAGAGTAGAATACAGGCGTTCAGGATGTGGGGCAAGATGGGAATGGCGGCCAGCTCGATTGCGACAACGAAGGGCGAAGCTGCGGCTGAGCCCTTCTTCTTGTTATCGTCTGAAAGGGCGAAGAGAAGCTTTGGGGAGTTGTATGGAACAAGTGTGCCGACTAGAAGCACGCTGGTCACGTAGAACACCAGAATTCGATAGAAGGTCAATTTGATGGCGCGGGGGATTGTCTTGCGGGGGTTCTGCGCTTCGCCGACCGTCACTCCTACCAGCTCAGTGCCTAGGTAGGCGAATGTGGCGGAGACCATGGTGGACCAGAAAGCCAAGAATCGACCAGATGAGCCTTCCATCTTGTAAGTGTTGAAGGCGCCTGGGCTCTTCCAGTAGCGGAAACCCTTGCGGTCATGGTCCGGTCCACCACCAAGCATGAGAATGAAGGATAGGAGGATGATGCCGAGGATGATAATGACTTTGAAGGATGACAGCCAGAATTCGAATTCGCCGAAGAACCTCACACCGAAGTAATTGATGGCGACGACGATTACCAGGAAGATGGTAATCCATACTCCGGCGTTGACCTTTTCTGTTGGTATCCAATATGATATGACCAACGCACCAGCAGTCATTTGATTTGGGGATAGAATGATGTATTTGAACCAATATCTGGATTTGTGTTAGCGCAATCATCTCGAAGGGGCTTAGTGGTACATACGTCCAGCCGAGGGTGAAGCCAAGCGCAGGGTCAACAAATCGAACGGCGTAACCAGTGAAACCAGAGGGCAATGGAAGCCAAGCCGCCATCTCTCCAAGAGCGCACATAACCAGGAAAACGATGAAACCGACCCAAGAATAAGAAATAAGAATTGCACCGGGCTATATCAAGTCAGTAAGAATTTTTCAAGTCAATTTCGGTGTAAACACTCACGCCAGCCCTGCACGCAATTTTGTTAGCCCTGGATCTTAGAGCAAAATGACAACGGAAAACAACCACTTACTTTGCAAGAGCTTCGCCCGTTCCGATAATCAAACCAGTACCAATAGCACCACCGATGGCTGTTCACTGTCAGCGCATACTCGCGTGCGACTCAGAATAGCACCTACCAATCATAGTAATATGTCTCGCCTTGAGCGCACGGTGCAACTCAACATGGTTGGGGTCATTGAGACCACTCTGACCATGCTCAATCTTGCCATCATCACTGATCTCCCTTGCGGCTGTGTGTTCCGGGTATTCGTCGAGTTTGATAGACTTCTCCATAGTGTGTTCGACGCGCAGAGGTTTGCGCTGACGAGAGGGAAAAGCCGTAAGAGATGAGGAAAATCCCAGATAGTACCAGGAATACGGGGGGACTGAAGAGGGATTTAATGGACAGCCAAGAGAAGTACACAGCCCTGGAGAAAGATAAGCAAAAAAAGGCAAAGGGAAAACAATTTTAAATAAGATACGAGAGAACCTTAGAACCTTGGAAAAGACCTCGGGACTTGCCTAGCCAAGACTTTTTTCATTTCACGGGGTAGTATGTACTATAATATAATTTACCTATCATAACAGACCAGCACAGTCCACTTGGCTTAAAATCCTTCCGGAAGAGGGTGTAATACGCGATCCGACGGGTTGCCCGTGTTCGATTTTCACGTACATAACGTACTGGTACAAAATAGGGCTGTGCCCATAGTTTTTGAGGCTCCAAAGCTTTCGGCAGGGATATCTTCAATATGCAGATAATTACTGTATACAGACTCATGATATACATATCGAGAGATAAAGCTTGATAGCAGAAACGGAACCGGAAGCGGAGACATTGGCGCCAAGCTCATGGACACTACCCTCTGCGGGGGTGCGCTTTGCAACGGCATTCGCCTGGGAATTTAAGTTGCCCCATAACCCCAGATTTTCGATCTTTCTAATCCATGGATACAATTGATAATTGTATAGCAAAACAAAAATACAAATGTTCAACTGTTCAACTGTTTCACATAACCTTTTACACGTCGATCCAAAGCATGAAAACAAAGTGTCCAAAATCCCCACCCATATCTTTGGCTCAGCCACCCGATAGCCCCGGACCATTTGCCCAAAAGACCCCTTATCATGGCCAGCTCCAAACAGTATGTGCACCCTACCTTTGCCAAGGCGGAATCCGCCTTGGCATATGAAATGCTAACCTAAACCCGGGCGAGATGCATGTTTTTGAGGCCGGGCATCTGCGCCAAGAATATATCCGGATGGTTTCACCAATCAATGAGGGCAAAGGGGGAAATCATCGAATCATAGCTTATCTCTCTTGTCGGCACGGCCGGTGCTCGCGTGGTTACCCTATGGTTTGTTAATCTATGGTACTTTTGGTTAGCGTATGTTTATGGGGAATATTTTTTCTAGAAGGATTTTGGATGGCGAAGACCTGGTATGATCGGCTATGGCGTCAAGCACGACACATTGATACGAGGAGGCGTCAAAGACGTGTGGTTTCCTTATATTCCCTACTCTCCATAGTTCTGCGGGAAATGTCGATCTTCTCGGTTCCTTCGATTAGAGACTGTGCGTCAACAAATTGTCAAAGTGCTTATCTCGCGCTTGTTCCTGGGATCCAACTGTGGAAATGCCCAGTCTAAATGCATAGCAAAGTTTTCAATTACTTGCGCGTCTTTTTGGAATCCCCTGTGCACGAGTGGATGCGAAAGATGGATCGCTCTGAGCCAAGGTCTCATGGGGAGGGGGGGGGGAAACACCAAGGCTGGTACCTAAGTGAGTCGGCGTCAGGAGAAAAGTGCGGGATAGCTCCCCTTGGCTGTCTGGCACCGGCAATTTGAACAGTTTGAATAATATGAGCAAGTGTGCCAAACGGTCGGTTAGAAATACCTCAAGCTCACGTATGATACTCTCGTTTTCTGGTGTGGACTCGGCTATAACATATGGACATTCTTTCAAAGTGATCGTATTGGGGCCTCAATATCCACGGTCCGGATTTCGGCTCGACGATCACCAGAATGGACCATATTTTGCGGCCGAATGGGGTAAATGGTCACAGAAATGGTGTCCCAATTTTGCAGTGTGGGGACTCAGAGACCCATCTGAAGTGGATGGCCGCAATATAAGTTCCTAGCGCTTCGGAGGGTATGAATGATATCCCAGGCGAAGGCAGAATTTAAGAGAATCCAGAATTCAGAGAAGCGACAAGTAAAAAGTGATGATTTTTTTCGTAAACAATGTCTAGGTAATGGAATGTCTGACCTAGTCATATCGAGTTGGAAAGTATATGATCGAGTCGGGGCCTGTCTAAGTATTCAGATAACTTAGATAATGCCAAGGATTGCGATACATAGAAAATCGCGCTTGCTGAGCGTTCATCCTTGATAATCGAGCAAATTAAGCTCAATTTAGGTGATGGCGAAGTGACCTAGAACATGCAGAGCTGACGTGGAAGACCATGGCCCCCAACCAGCAAATCCACCCAATCAGACTCAAGCTGGGGTCACACCGACACAGAGAAGGGAGCCCCTCGTGGGAATCAGGCAGGATTCAGCCTCATGAGAATGCCCAAGAACCAAAGCCACCCGGTTAGATCGGTTGTTCATTCGTTCAGAATCAAGATTCACAGATGCAGGTTGGGACCCACCGCGCTTTGATACACCAGCAACGTGGCTCTGGAAAGGCAGAATCATGTTGCCTCGTGAGGAACAACAGTGGAGGTGGTGTGTAGCCACTATACACCATATGCAGGTCTAGCGCAGTTGGCTTGAAGGAACAAAGGATTGGCTGAGTACTGCCTCTCACATGTGGGAGTCGGCCGCTGTGTTCAGCCTTGTGGGAGCGACGCGTCCCTGCTTGGGTTTAGGGGTGGAATGATGGTGGGGGGTCTATGCTGGTGCAGTCGGGGGACCTAACTAGGAGGTGGCTCGTATTTACTTAACTACATGTAGGTGACACCGAGAAGAGATGCACAATGACGACCCCTGTCGTTCGATAAAGTAGAGTTCAGGACACACAACAACATGTATGCAGTGATTCAGGAGACCGAACCAGTCAAAATCTCATAATATCCGCTGCTACCTCGAAGCTAGTGCAAGCTGCCGTTATCAAGGCAAGTTCCTGTAAACATGTCCGGAGCTAGCAGCTGGGAGACATTCTCAGCCTGTCGATGAATTCCAACGTTACCAACATCCTGGATGGTGGAAATGTGATCAATTATGTTCATGTGGGGGCTATTGTGTCTGCAAATCGAATGCGTTGAAAATGTGCTCTCGCATGCATAAGTGCATTAGGGCAGCGATCAATGGAGGTCGTTTATTGGGTGGGTGAACGCCGCAGCGGTTAGAAGCTTGGGGGTATTTTTATCGCGCTGATCGGAGGATTATGATTCGTTTATTGAAGGTGAAATTTACTATCATTAGAAATATTCAATAATAGTTAATTTGGCCGTTTTCCATGTTAAGACTGAAGAGATGCGGGGGAGTTAACTGTTGTTCTCCTGAGGTGGTCCCTATATCAGAGTCTGGCGGCAGTCGAACATCTGGAAGTCTTCAACTTCTACCTCTTCAACCAAAAGAGGGGATTCCCCTGTATCGAATCTCAAATCCCTAAATCGCATCATGGGCGTTATGCGTCTACCCCGCCCAACGGGCATCTATGTCCCCAATTCACCAAGAACCCTCACCAACGACATGATCTCTCCACCACTCTCTCCAGAATTCAGCTTCGATTCCGAGACTGTCACGCCCTCCCTCCTCCCAGCTCTAGAATACATCTCCACCAAACTCCAACAAAGAATGATGCACGTCACCCTCCTCATCGGCCGCGGAAAGCCCTACCCGACCGGTCAACCCTCAGACCTAATGATCATCCCCATTCACCCAATCGAGCCACAAGCATGGCGAGTATTTGAGCGCGCCATTGCCAAAGGCTCGAAAAAGTTCTCGCTCGGCCCCGGCTGGACCGACGCTATCAGCCGCAGCCAGTATGAGCGCCAGGCAAACGACCACCTTGTCAAGCAATCCATCCTCCAAAACGAAGTCATCTTCAGCCAGGAGGGCCTAACTCTCCTAAACATGGACCGGATCTATACCTTCAAGCGTCGCATGTGCATTCTCTCTTCCCGGCCCTTCTCCCGCAACGACGAACAATCAATGTCATCCTGCGTCCGGCTACTTCACCGCATCGTCAAGGATTTCTCCGATCGTCCTTTTAGTAAAGCTTTCTTCCATCGCGTCTATGAGCAGCTCGATGTCCCCGACGAGCAGCTCACTGCCGTCGCACTTGCGTACAAGAGTATTCACAGTCAGGATGCTATCATTCTTCCCGTCCAGGTGAAACCTCCAGCTCCAGCGCCAGTTCCAGCCAAAGCCGATACCATTGTTCCAGCAAAAGCTACCGTTCCAGCAAAAATTCCAGTCAGGGTCCAGACCATTGTTCCAGTAAAAGCTATACCCATAGTCCTGTCTAAAGTCCAGCCAGTTCAAGCGAAACCCCAGCCCAAAGTTGAACAAGTCATTTCGAAGCCCAAGGCTGATCCCATTCTTATCCGGGCGAAGGCTGAACGCCCTCGTGAAGTGAAGAGATCACCCATCCAGACTGTGCGTGGTCGGAGACAGCCTCCACCGTCGAAGATGCGAGGACAGAATAAGCGTGGGCCGAAGACGCCTCTTTCTGCGTCGGATGTTACTCCCATCACGCGGAATGAGTGGAATATTCTTGTTAGCCAGGATATTCGAGTGCAGCCTAGGGTTACCAAGTGGACTCCGTCGCCGACCGTGTTGGCGTTGGCCGCTGCTTGAACTTTGACCTCGATCCGGTTGTTGCACAAAACAATTCGCTGTTATATCTATAACAAACCCCCAGACATTATCGTGAGGAATAGGTCTCGGTCACGGTTCACATGCCATCCTCCACGCTTGTTGGGTCTGGCTCGAGTTGGATCATCAAGACACAGATGAGAAAACATCTAAAGTGTGCTGGCTAGATCATCTCGATGTCTTCTTCGTACCTGATTCCACCAATTCTGGACCTTTATCGGCCATTTTGGTGAAGGACAGATTAGCCCTTGATATACTGGGCGCGAAAAGACCCCGGTATTTAGACGCCAAAGGCTCATCTTGGCACCCTAATAATTATATGATAATGATTTCCAAAGCTCCTGGACATTTCCAATGTTGCGAAATCCAATTCACGGTGTACATAGTTCACTTGGAAGATATCAATACAAAATTTTAATCACCAATCAGATAATAGCCAGATATCCATGTAGAATCATACCAACAAGCCGTACAATAATCAAATATCCCCAACCCTCATTAGAATGTTGACATGAATCAGCTACCTAGTTTGCCGATCTCGGGAACAGCCATAACGTGGCCCCGCTCAAATTCGGCGACCGGCGAACTGAGACAGCCACCTACTCATGTCCACCCAATCACAGACACGGGAAAAGATTTATAGTGGGTGTCGAACGTCAAAATTGAAGCATTGGCGTTAGCACATGGGAATGCAAGCTGTGAATAATGACAGACATTTCCTATCAGCATCGGAACTCGCCGCGACTCTGTCCATATAGCTCTACTGTCTATAGCACACAACACGTGGACTTCTTGCATGGGAGGTGGACATTGATACTGACATCTCGAGTACCCTCGAGCACCCTAAGATTTAGGTAATTTCCGTAGCATCCTCCATGTGTTGACTGGGCATGTAGGCTTGGCAGATGTAGGCTTGGCGCGGTTATCTAGGTTTGAGAGCTGCAGGCGTATAGGAACCCCTCCTCGGTGTTTTTTAAGTCTTTTCAAGTGAAAATCTCTTCAAGTCGAATATCCCCAAGGTACATTTAGATACAGAAATTTATTCTGAACATCTACCATGTCGGCATTCAATGAGCCTGGAGATACACCTGCAGACTCACGTAGTCTAGATAGCGACCGCAAATGGAGTCTGCAACCTCTTCTTCGCAGTGCTGAGCGCTCGCATAGCAAAATGCCCGGTATCAGGAAGATTCCTCTTCGAGCCATTGGAATTATTGCATTGATTGCGTTTTTGAATATTCTCGTTTGGGTTGCAGCGGCTATTGTGCTGGTATGTTTTGATAGCTTGTGTGACATTGGATTGATTCGCTAATGCTTCTATAGAGTTACCATCCGTGAGTCTTCATTTTTACCTGCTTAAAGCTCATTTTATATACCAATTGCGCGGAATATAGTTCGCTGGTTTCTACAGCCGCCCTTGCCTATTCTCTTGGATTGCGACATGCATTTGATGCAGATCACATTTCTGTATGTTGATTTCAACCTGGAAATAGACCAAATCATTAACAATGCTATAGGCTATCGATTTAATGACCAGAAGACTTCTGGCAACGGGACAACAGCCCGTTACCGTGGGAACTTTCTTCTCGCTTGGTCACTCAACGTGAGCAGTCACCTCATTCTATATCAAGTCAAATCTGACCTAGTCTAGTATCGTGATTATCACGTCTATTGTCGTCGCAGCCACAGCAGCAGCAGTCTCTGAGCGCTTTGACAGTTTCAGCACGGTCGGTGGCATCATTGGCACCTCTGTCAGCGCTGCCTTCTTGATCCTGCTTGGTCTTATGAATGCGTACATCCTGTATAAACTTGTAAAACAGATGCAAAAGGTCTTCAGTCTCCCCGAAGGTCACGAAGATGAAGCATGGAAGATCGAGGGTGGAGGAATCCTGTTCAAGGTATTGAAGAAGATGTTCAAACTAATTGATCGGTATGTTCTTTGTTAAATTATTGATCATCCACATGTCTGACAAATGTGCTTGTTCTTGCCCAGTCCATGGAAGATGTATCCCCTTGGGATTCTGTTCGGTCTTGGCTTCGACACCTCCTCCGAAATCGCTCTCCTTGGAATCTCATCCATCGAAGCAGCCAAGGGAACCTCCTTTTGGGTGATTCTCATTCTCCCGGCGCTATTCACAGGTCAGTATCCTCACATGCAGCCCCATCACTTCGCCAAGGGTCTTCGACTAACCCCTCCCAGCCGGCATGTGTCTCCTCGACACAATTGACGGAGCCCTAATGTTCTCCCTCTACATCCAACCGGCGGCCAACTTCCTCCCGCAAAAGCCAACAAGCACCATCTCAGACACCTCATCAACAGCCAGCGATCCAGACGAGCTCCCGCAGTCGCGAAACAACCACCGCGATCCAGTCGCATTCCTATACTACTCAATCGTGCTAACCACGCTAACTGTCATCGTGGCGATTGTGATTGGCGTCATCCAGCTGCTCAGTCTCATCCTGAACGTCACAGATGCCAAAGGCAAGTTCTGGGACGGTGTTCAGGTCGCTGGTGACTACTACGATGCTATTGGCGGTGCTATTTGTGGTTGCTTTATTGTCTTTGGTGGATTGAGCGTTCTGGCCTACAAGCCATGGCGTAGATGGATGGATCAGCGACATGGGAAGAATGTCGTTGACGATGTGGAGAGGTATAGAGATGACGATGTTTCTCCTGCCGATGCCCCTGGTGGTGGTATCATTGTGACTGAGACAACTGGTGCTCAGCACAAGGGCACCACTACTGAAGTTACTGGGAAGGGGGCTTCGCCTCACGTTGCTATCAAGGAGACTGGTGAGTCGAGACTTGAAGATCACATCGTCTAGGTGTTGCTACATCCTAGCTAGTGAAACTGGTTCATATAAACTGGTTGGTGTTCTTGAAATCCAATTGTTCTTAATATCCATCTATCTTGTCTCGTAGACTACAGCTGTACGTACCCAAGTACGGCAGGCTTTTAGGTCCACCACGCCAACACTTTTACCGGGGGCTTAACTAGCTGCCATGAATCGACATTTATGCATATACACATGTGTCTCTCAAAGGTCTGGAAGTAGCTCGTATCAAAGGCACCCTCGCATTATATTCTAAAAGATCCCAGTCAAGATCGATAGAAAGATGATAACAAAGTACATACATATGTAGGTTGGCGGAATGATCCCAAAAAATTGCCCTACGCGTAGACTCTGCAGCTGTAAGCTTAGAAGTACCCAAGTAACCAAATAACTTGTGCATTTCCCAAGGGGGAGAAACAGGTACTGCCTGAAGGCTCTGTGGGTTTACCCTAGTCCCTTCCTAATCAAGAAGGAGCCTTGGGAATCGTCACCTGCCACAGTTTCCTCAGGGCCATCCCAATGAGGAAGTGGTATTCCAAATGAGGAAGTGGTATTCCTAATTAGGAAGTGAACTTAGGATAGTCACCTACCTCAGTTTCCCCAGATCCTTAAGCCACTGAAAAGGTATAAATACCCCCCTTCCCCCATTTTTCTCTCTCTTTGTTTTCTTCCTCCTTCACATCTCTTCTTTTCTTTGAGTCTCCACTTCCACCTTTGAAAGTTTCAGCCTCCACCATGGTCTCTCTCCACTATGACCTCTGTCAACCTTGACCACATCAACCTTGGTCATCCACCATGGACCTTCCACCATGACCACTGTCCACCTTGACCACATCAACCTTGGTCATCCACCGTGACCACTGCCCACTTTCAACAACCTTCCATCAGGGTCACCTTCCACCTTGACCACATCAACCTTGGTCATCCACCATGGACCTTCCACCATGACCACTGTCCACCTTGACCACATCCACCATGGACCTTCCACCATGACCACTGTCCACCATGACCACATCAACCTTGACCACATCAACCTTGGCCATCCACCATGGACCTTCCACCATGACCACTGTCCACCTTGACCACATCCACCATGGACCTTCCACCATGACCACTGTCCACCATGACCACATCAACCTTGACCACATCAACCTTAGCCATCCACCATGGACCTTCCACCATGACCACTGTCCACCTTGACCACATCCACCTTGGTCATCCACCATGGACCTTCCACCATGACCACTGTCCACCACGACCACATCAACCATGACCTCTGTCTACCTTGACCACATCAACCTTGGTCATCCACCGTGACCACCGTCCACTTTCAACAACCTTCCACCATGACCACTGCCCACTTTCAACAACCTTCCATCAGGGTCACCTTCCACCGTGACCACCGTCCACTTTCAACAACCTTCCAACCTTACCACTGTCCACTTTCAATCACCAACCTTCCACCATGACCACTGTCCACTTTCAATAACCTTCCATCAGGGTCACCTTCCAGTATGACCACTGTCCACTATGACTACATCCACCTTGGTCGTCCACCATGTCCTTGCACCATGGCCTACCATCATGACAACTCCGAATTATGAGAACTTCTTGTGATATCAATCGATGCATCCCAAAAGATGAGCCTCGCTAACTTGTTTCTAGAAACCTTCGTCGCCCTCCCCCATTTCTGTCTCCTCCCTTCCTCCTTCCCTATCTCACTTCATCATCTGATCATCCAAAACTCTGACTTGTTCAGCAGCCGATCCGTCTAGTCGACATCCTTGCAGTGGAAGGACTCCGGCCCATGTTATGCTTTGGCCTTCAAGAGGAGGAAAGAAGAGAGGCGGTCTTCGGTCGACAAGAGTCTCCGCAGGAGTGTCTCTGGAGGAGACTTCTCGTCAGGAAGAGGTGCAGCGTGTACCCAAGGGAAGGAGACTCTGAAGACCGTCTGCTGCGGGTGGTAGGGCAAGCAAGCATCGACATTCGACAATCCCATTTGAAAACACAATCTTGGACAATCCACGTTCGCCAACCAAAAATGCTTTGACCTTCAAGAGGAGGAAAGAAGAGAGGCGGTCTTCGGTCGACAAGAGTCTCCGCAGGAGTGTCTCTGGAGGAGACTTCTCGTCAGGAAGAGGTGCAGCGTGTACCCAAGGGAAGGAGACTCTGAAGACCGTCTGCTGCGGGTAGTAGGGCATGGTCAAGCATTGACATTCGACAATCCCATTCGACAATCCACTGCAAAGCGACTCGGACGGAAACGGCTAGCTGTCACGAACACGATTCAATTATGGTCAATCCCCTCTCTTTACCCTCCATTTTCCCCTTCCTTTCACTCATCACCTCGCTTCACTCACCATGTTCTCCATGAGCCCCCACGCCAATCCTTGCGCTCAAGCCTGCAACCAAACGGCTTCATCAACTCAGCCACCGCAGGATCAATTTCTCCAGCCAAAATCCAAATCTTCCAACCATCCACTACAGGCTCGACTGGTTTTACAGAATTGAGATTCCCATGATTCATATATTTGCGCAGCAGGATTGGATGTGGGGGCTGCTTTCTTTCCTACATTCGAACATTTTTTGCCATGGTTCCAAGCTGGTGAGGATGTGCAAAAAAACTAAAAAAAAACTAACCATTGCATGTCTCATACATTTGTTTAATCTTGCTCTCACGCACTTCATAGAAAGCAAACCAAGGAACTTTCATGCTCATCTCTTAATTTCAACTCGAAAACGACTTAGTCTTCAATGTAATTGATCACCGCTGATCAACAGTATTCAAGGAAAATTAATTGAAATTGCTAATTTAATGTGCCATATCCGCTCATTGTACCGACCAGAGGTGATACCAATGATGATACAGCAGATGCCGGAGAACACATATAGAGGGCATAGCAAAACAAAGGTCATCGTGCTGCTAAAGCCGAGACTTCTAACGACAGTGGGAAAGAAGTTATTAAAGCCGCAGACACTTAGATACATATTCTGCATAAAAGCCAGCAGGTACACGCGCGGGTCGGCCATGGCTTACTTCAATCCGGCGAGAGCGCCTTTAGACTCCTCCCTATTGACCGTGTCCCTTTGAATCCGGTCGTAGGCAAGTTAGCGCTCTTCTGGAGTCAACCATCGTGTTGTTATTGGGTGATCGGGCAGCATAAATATGCCGAGACCTGCAATACCAAATGTAAATGCACCCTCGATAATAGTGTCGCTGTTATAGGATCTATTATATCCTACATAACACTAAATAAGGGCGCAAGATATATGGCTTGTTTCCTCTTTGCTAGTGGTGCATCTGTTGTCAATTCGGTCATTTTGGGCTGGGTCTCTGCCACACTAGGCCAGACGCCAGAGAAGAAAGCCGCTTCTATTAGCTTTATTAACGTTATGGCGAACGTATCTTATATCTATACGGCCTACCTCTACCCAAAAACTGATGGCCCTCGTTACTTGACTAGAATGTCGGCGAACTCGGCATTTGGCATTGCAACTATTAGGAGTGCTTGGGCTTTGAGGCGGTGGCTGCAGAATATAAACAAGAAGATCAGCAGGGGTGCTCTACCTAGTGCTGGTAATGTTCTTTATGCCTATTAAGAGATTATCGAGAATGATCTTGTCCCGTGTTTTTATGTCTGTGTTAAATAGGAAACATGAATTTGTCTACGGTTGACGTTACCTTACGGCGATATTTAACTTTGAGCTGATCTAGGGATTCTCTGAGAAAACTGCCTGTCTTTGAAAGCAGATGTTAAATGATGCAAGTGCGTCATATACTTATCTATAAGCCAAATAATCTAAATCTAAATCCCATCAGTCACTGCTGTACAGAGCCTAAAATAGCTCCTCCATGGTTTCAGTTAATATCCAATAAGCATTCTCGTGCGCATCATGATTCACATTAGCGGCTTAGAAGCCGCCAAACCCATAGATTCATAACCAGCTTTGATCCGCCATTCTTCTTGTGGTTTATTTATCCGCCATTTCCATGTCTCGTGAAATTGCCTTTTGCGTTCTCCAATTTTTACCCACAAGCAGAGCTGGATGTAGACCAGTCAAGCAAATACACGCAATTGAAACCATAGCGCCTTCGAGGATCATCAAGGCTATCTCGTCGTTGGCCAATTTACTTTCAAATCCACCCTGGAGCTCGGCCACTCGGAATGAAGATCGAATCAATATAGTTAGAACGGCAGATGTCAAACCTGATAATCAAACTCGAGTCAGTGGAATACCCATAGAAAAGATCGAGGTGATATACATACCAAGCAAAAACGATCTCCTCATCCAGCTTGCCGGCCGTTTCTGAGTAGGGGAATGCAGGCGTCTTCCTCGTAAAACCCGGACTCCATACTCAATCGCTAGAATAGAGAACACTACCAGCGATGCAACTTGAAAGACCAGTCCAGCTATCATGATGTTGACACCAGTATCGTGAAGTGACTGTTCATCGGCAATTGAAGTGATGGCTCCACCGGCCGCTTGCAAGATCAGGGAAATCAAATCGCAAGTCACGAAAAAGTAGGTGTAGGTTCTTGGTTTCAAGCGTGAGAACTCTTCGCCGTAAACTGTAATAATACGACCGAGGCATAGATATATTCCAGCTGTGAAGAATGCCGGGGCAATGGTGAGACATATCAAGTATCTAATATATCACGCCTCGGTCAGCATATATTCAATCATGTGGTAGGCTCGGTAACTTACATCAAGAAAGCATCGAAGCTGAATGGGTTATCATGTAAGAGAATTCGGCCCAAATATCCTATGATCTCCAATATAAGGCCCGCGACCATTGGCACCATGAAACTCCAAGATCGAAATACGATACCCGTACCGATCTGTCCAATGAGTAAGATGGCGAAAAGAGCGAGATAAAAGATGTTTCCAGCCATGTTAGGCCGATACTGGATGTAAGCATCACTTAACGGACATGTTTGCAAAGTGCAATCATCCGTATTGGACATGGTCACGTATAGTAAAGAACCTTGGAAGATTAAGTAGGCTTAAATGAAGTTTGAAGACAATGAGTGCTGCGATTAAATTGATATTAGCAAATCCAGGATAGATTCGTCACTATTTATGTGCAGACCCAAAGATGTTTGACGCTGCCTATTCACAATCAATAATCATTATGAGGCTGTGTGGGTATTTTTAAAACTTCAACTTGAGGTAATCTCACTCCCAAATCCTTCGAATTTATAGTCAAACCAATAATCAACGCTGCCATGAAGATTGATACGATATAGTGGATCCCAAGTTAAGCCGTTGCCTGGCGGGTCACTGATGCCAAGACCTTTGCACTTCGACCGTGTCCTTGTCCGTGTCCGTGTCCTTGTCCGTGTCCTTGTCCTTATCCTCTTCAACTCGCCCAATTTCCTTGTCCGGATGTACCTTTCACCAGAACAGATTGACTATACTCAATTTGGAACATGGCATCTACGTCAGGACACATCAAAACTTGTCAACACTGTGCTCGTGGCAAAATCCGATGTATCCGAACTTCGGATTCCTCTATCTGTGATCGGTAAGTAGTGAAACTCGATCATCATTTTATACTCAACTATAACCATATTCTAATATAAGGTATTAGATGTCGCCGCCTTGATAAAGAGTGCTATTTTCGGGCCGCTCGACCTCGTTACAACCCCGATAAGAAGGGGACGTAAGGCTCCCAAATTACATCTGATTCGTGACAGGGAATATAAGCTGACGGAAGCTTAAAAAATCAGACGAGTCGAGGCTCTCGAAGCCAAAGTGGATCAGCTCTTAGCGCGAGTCGTTAATAGCCAGCACACTAAACACCAGCCTGATGTTCCTTTAGCCCTGTCTGACCCGGAACTTCATTCCATCCCAGATAACCCCCGAGATGTTATTGATCGCGGGATTGTGAGATTTGATGATGCCGTCACTCTTCTTGAATCTTTTCGGGAAACCTTGATGCCATGTTTTCCATTTATCTATATCGCACCGGAAGTGACGCTTGCTCAGCTGCGAGCGGAGAAACCGCTTCTCTTGCTGGCTATCCTCAAGGGCTCATCATACAAAAATGCAGCCACTCAGCAGATATTGGAAGAAACATTCCAAACAGCAGTTGCTGATCAGATGATCTTCGCCCATAATCCATCCATGGACGTATTGCTAGGACTCCTTGTGGCTTTGGCATGGTGAGTCTAATTTAAAGTGGTTTTATTGAAGACGGCACTACTGACTCAAAGCCTCAATATCCCAGGTTACAGCATCAGTCTCAGCATGAAAGATTTTCCAGCTACCTTCATCTTGCTTGGAGTATAGTCGGTGATTTGCGGCTTGACCGGTTGTCGGAAACCCAATCATTCTATTCACGGATGGCTATGAGCAAGGTCTCTTCAGATGAAAACAGTAGTAGACACTCGGTGAACGAGGGAAGACGAGCTCTGATTGGATGTTACGTGCTATCCTCATCGTCAGTAACAATGCCCAAATCTCCCTAATATTACTGACTGAGTATGGGTGTGTGCAGTCGCTCGACAATATTGCAAAAGGATCGCATGATAACTCGGCTGTCATATGTTGAGAAGCATGCACTTGAATTACTATCAAATGCTGAGATTGCCAGTGATCGCTGCTTAATACAATTAGTAAAATTACAACAAATCTTTGAACGGATCGATGATGCTGTGGTCACTACTGCGAATCCAGTACGAGAGGTTGATATGCATGCATTCCAAACCGAAATCAATGAGTACAGAACGACCTTGTCGGCAACGTTTTCGAACAATTGTAAGTGACACCGCTTGTGAGTTTGATTGATTAGACTGGAACTAATACTAACTCGACGTCCACAACATAGCCCTACTACAATTTCACCTACACACTCTACAATTGTTCCTATGCCAGGCTTGCTTATTTGATAAACATGAAACAGCCAACTATTCGGCTTCGTCCGCGCCTCGCTCCCATGCAGACTCAGGGCTCTCACCACATCTCCAAAGCGACCACCAACCGTTAGACTTATCACCCTTCCAGGTTGAATTTCTCAATCGCGGCATGACTGAAGCAAAGAAATTCTTTGATTACGTTTTCACATTCGCTCCGGATACTTTTCGACTGATCAGCTATACGCAATGGCTGCAAACAGGTTTTAACTTGGTCCTAGGCTGCAAACTGGCCGTCACGGGGGCAAAATACGCCCCACGCAATCCACATGTTCGTGCCCTATGCTCGGCTTTGGATATGCCACACATTCTGCGGGCCGTGTTGCAAAGGATCCAATGGCTCAGCAAGGACAGAGGGACTGTAGATGGGAAACAGCACTCCAAATACTTCTACGAGGCATGGCTGTGGCATATTCTTGAATGGTTCGAGCAAAAGTATCACCTGGTGCCCTCTGAAGATACGACCCAAATACCTACAGGATTACCCGATGGCGGCCTCGGGCCGTCTACTTTGGCCAACAGCGCAACCTCGCAGGATGTCCCCCTGATGGGTGAAAATTATGGCGCCACACAAGTAGCACAGGTAGATGATACTGCCTTATGGCCGGACTTCCTCTGGAACATAAGCACGGATGACATACTCAATGGGTATATGGGGTTTCCGGATATGCCGTATCCCACATTACAGCCTGGATATGACGTGCCACTGCCATGAGAACAAAAGACATTGACACTATGCGAATGCATAACACCAAAAGAGACCAAATAAAGAAACCAAGAGCTTGTTCCCGCGGTGGCATCGCTTTAACTCAAATTTGTTGCTGTTTACACCAATAATCCAAGCTCAACAGGAGCTGATTTGATTTGGTCCTCTTGGATCTCGCGAATCAACGCATTACTCAGGTAGTCTTCCAGATCCAGATCCATGTATCCGCTGGATGCCCATTCCCTTCCTGAGACAAAGAAGGAATGCCCATTGATACTCCTGACGCTGAGGATTCTCAGCAGGCACTGAGTTGCGTCTTCCGCCTGTGCAAACTCTACCCCAACACTGGAAACATGCTTGAACGCCTCATCCGACAGAATGTTTGTATTCACATACCTTGTGACTTGATCAGTAATCGTACTTCTCATGATAAAAGGGCCGTGCTTACCATGGGGAGATGACGTTGACCCGACTACCATAGAAGAAAGCAGTTCTTCTCAATGAATGCATGATCCCGCGCATGGCCCATTTGCTCACACAATATTGAGGGGCCCGCGGACAGTCCAAAAATGCTGCCCCTGATCCAATCAAAATCAAAGATGTATCTTCTTGCTCGGGTGAGTTTTTCGTGCCATTTTGACGGGTGAAATGGTGGGCGCAAGACCCAGGAAGAATGGATCCGTTGCAGCGAGTAAAGGGAGAGAGTCTTTCTTTACGGTGGTTATCTCTCACTACCGACGAGACGAAAGATATCATAACACAAATTGCAGATATAGAGAGGAAGATTTTTGTCTTCCATTTTCCTGCGTATAGAAGCTTATATCACAATAAGGACCTTAACGGGAAAACCCAGATACCAATCGTAGAGAATTTCTGTATCGGCCCTATATCTACTAGGCAGTTTTGGCATGGTGAACAAAGTAAACTCGAAATTAACCGTAGACCCTATACGTTCGTCCCTTCCCCCTTCCCCCTCTGTTCTTAGGTTTCAGAAAAGTAGTCCCCATGACCGGGACTAATTATTGTCAGGCCTTTCACCCGAGGACTATATTACGTCCGCGGCTCGCCGAGAGATAGCTATCATTCAGCACCACACCAAAGCTCAGCCTCGCTAAACTTTTCTTTTACCGACTAACCATGACATTCTTCCCTCTAAGCACGCCTCGTTACTTTCGCGATTCCTAAAATTAGCGCCTTATATAATCCGGCCAGGTTCTAACAGCGTTCCGACGCTGAGACACCCTGATTTAAGTCTAAGCAACATGTTATTAGTACCTAGATCAACCAAAATCATCAGTATCATCGATTGGCAGGATACTGTGATATTCCCCCGCATTATGTGAGCACGATTCCTCCTAGCCTTAAAGTATGCATATTCCATCTCTTCCCGATGGTTTCGATAATATAGGAATCGAACAACAGAGACAATGCAGAGCCGTCTTTCGCTTAGAAGAGGCCAACCTTTACTACACAGCCGCGACAGGCGTACATAATAAGGAACATATAAATTTGTTAAGACTTCTTATCTCGGAATGCGGCAGTATCTCCTTCGCCAGATGGGGTATTCATAGGACGCAGACATATTTCATATTTAACTTACGTGCTTCGTTAGTAGGTATTACGACTCCATCGGTATAGAGCAGCATCTCCTCGGCCGCTTATCCGGTTATATGCAGCGATGAAGAACGAGAGGCTGCCATGGTGGAATCGCAGGAATAGAATGAGTCTGAACAGCTATTATCCAAGGTTAGAGAGCACCTCGATATAGATCTAGAAGGCGGTACCGAGCCAGACAACTTTAAGAGGGCGGTAGAGGGCAATCGAAAGTTTCATATAGACATGGTTCGGTAAGCAGAAGTGGACCAGCGGGAGTTATATTAGCGAAACTGGCCGTATAAGGACGATAAGGATGGCAGCATGCCTCCCGGGGATATCTAACTTCGATGCGAATAACTATACTTATTAATAAAGTAGAAAAGATCCTCCATTGCAGAGCTCCTTGACGATCCTATAACATATCGAAGTATCAAACTTTCATAAGCAAGTGTGGCATTATAGGTACTTCGAGTATTGTAGCTTATCTGTTTTTAAGCGGTGGCTATACAGGTAGAACAGAATTCTGTAATTACCTTGGGTCTGTAAACAAGGAGCAATTGTATAGAATACGAAACCAGAACATCCCTGACTAACCTAATTACCGAAATGGTCAGAGGACTATGTATTGTTCAATCTAATTACACATTTCTCAAACTCAATTTCCTAAGGTTTTCATGTGTCTTCAGAGATAACTAAAGTATTAAGACTAGGTTATACTGTAGCGCCTTGTCCATATATCCGCCGGTTTGCTATCGTAGCGGTAATTGTTATTGTATTAATTCACGAAGTGCGTTGGCAGAGGGAGACCTAGATATCTTCGTAGCATACTGCTTAGTCACCGCCCTAGGGAAGGAGTAGGATTTATCGGCACAAAAGAACAGGATACTATATCATTCCGGTGGTTACGCTTCCGGGTGACAGGCATTGCAAGCTGGATATCGGATCATGCAGTATCTCTAGTAAAAAATAAAGGGGGCAGTGCGTCGGGCTGAAAGCAAATGCGCAGTAGTTAGTGGGGCCAGAGTAAAAGAAATAGGGCGACGATAAGTGCAAGATAGAGAGGCAGAATAATGGGAAACTGAGAAGGAAGAGCAGCGAAGGCGGGTCTTTTATATCGGAGGGCATTAAAGGTAGGTTACGTGATAACGTATTGAGGCACTCAACCTAAGAAGGCAAAGCTAACCGGATAGAGTAATTCACAGGTCCGCCGTTTACAAAGCACATGGGATTAATAAATCCTCCGGTATACCTCACTGCGCCAACATTCATTGATGCCTCAGGCGCATATGACGTCGGTCCCTATCTGCCGAGATCCAAATTAACGTCCCAGCACAACTTCAATTCAAAGATGAGAAGACCGTGCCTCTACAAGATTGAACGTTCCGTTTTTCTTGCTCACCGGGAAATTAATGTTTGTCTTCAAGCATCAATGGCAGCAAAAGAATGAGCACGCTCCTTGAAGACCTTTCCTCGCATATATGATTGCATCTTATAGATTTATCGAGAACTCATTTTTCTGGAGCGATCAATGACCATGATCGCAGATCTAGGTTCCTACTTGAAGGACAAGATAGAATATGCTTCCATCTTCTCATCCCAACCACCCATCTTCATTTTGCCAACACATCTCTCCTTAGAGGAGCTGGACGAGATTGAAGGCAGATTGATAGATTATGGTGGAAGATTGACCTACGACATCGCCGAAGCTGGCCTCGTTCTAGGAAAAGTCGAGCGCGCGAAGCGGGCAGCGCTGGAACTACGCACGCGCGGTACCTGGACCGAGGAGCTCGTACCCAGCTCGGCTTCGAAATCAATTGGCGTGGAGCCCTCTTCCAAGCGCAGGCGCACCGATCAGTACGATGGGACTAAGGATGTCCCGGTTGAAATCATCGATCTCAGTACTGAGTCTGAGGGTGAGAGTGGAGCTACGAATCGACATGGCCCTTCAAAGAACCCGATTCCAGAGCCAAAGGTAGAGGAAATTAAAAATTCAGTCACAGTCTTGAAACTCGAGTGGATGGATACCTCAATCAAATCCGGCAAATGTGTGTCCCAAGACCCATTTGTTGTCTACCGTGGGCGAAAGATCCCTTCTCCACCTCCCACGACAAAGACAGAAAATAAGCAAAACCTACTACAAAATCCAAATCAAATAATCGAGCGTGCAAAACAAGATGCTGGTTTACCAACACCACGAGCTCCTCCTCCAGATTACATCCACGCACGACGCTCAAAGGAACCCCCGGATGGGTCATCCCCGCGTCCCCGACCAACCCTATATCGACAAACGACCTCTGAACACGAGAAAGAAGAAAACAATGCACTCCCACAACCCGACTGGGTCCGCGACCATGTCGTATTCGCATGTCTACGCTCAGCACCCCTACACCCTCCAAACGAGGACTTCATCTCGCAGCTCGTGAAAATCAGACGAATCCGCGAACTCACCCTCGACGAGATCGGTGTGCGTGCATACAGCACCTCCATCGCATCTGTGGCAGCATACCCATATCGCATTCAGCGGCCAAGCGAGATCCTCGCTTTGCCAGGGTGCAACGCCAAGATTGCAGACTTGTTCGCGGAATTCAATAAACACGGTGGATGCGAGCATACCGATGACGACGGGAATGTTGCTGCCGCCGATGCACTGGAGACGGACCCCATGCTCCGGGTTTTGAACTTGCTCTACGGGATTTGGGGCGTCGGAGCGAAGACAGCGCGCGAGTTCTACCAGCGTGGCTGGCGTGATCTTGATGATATTGTCGAGAATGGGTGGAATACGCTTTCGCGCGTTCAGCAGATTGGAGTGAAATTCTACGAGGAGTTTCAGGACGGCGTCCCTCGTGGTGAGAGCGAGGATATTGCCAATATCGTTCGTGGTCATGCTGGCCGGGTTCGTCCCGAAGATAAAGATGGAATTGAGTGTGTGATTGTTGGCGGATACAGACGTGGGAAGGAACTCAGTGGTGATGTTGATATTGTATTGAGTCATCGCGATGACGCGGTGACTAGGAATCTGGTTGTTGATGTTGTTGCTAGTCTTGAGGCTGAACGGTATATTACTCATACGCTGTCGTTGCATTTGACTTCTTCGCTGCGTGAGCAACAGACGTTACCTTTTCATGGTGATGATACGAGGAAATTCGATACTTTGGATAAGGCACTGGTTGTCTGGCAAGACCCGCACTTTGATGCTACGGCCGTTGGAGATGATCGTCCGGGGAAAAATCCAAATATTCATCGTCGTGTCGATATCATCATATCGCCTTGGCGTACGGTCGGTTGTGCAATACTTGGCTGGTCTGGCGATACGACGTTTCAGCGAGATCTACGGCGTTATGCGAAGAAAGCTCGCTCGTTGAAGTTTGATTCGAGTGGGGTGAGAGACCGAGGTACTGGACGCCAGGTTGACCTGGAACATGGTGGAGAGACCTGGGAAGAGAGGGAGAAACTTGTGATGGAGGGATTGGGGATAGGTTGGAGACCACCAGAAGAACGGTGCTCGAGATAGAAACTAGATCTTGTAAAGCTGATCAGGGTCTTGGGAGAAAGAGATGACGTGTTCTGGGTATATATACTGACTGTCCAGAAAGATATATATCGGGCGTAAAAAGATACGTATATGTACTGTTAAATTTGTGTAAAACATCATCTCATACTATTTCCAAAGGTTTCATCGGAGAAGTACACTATGGTTATTAATACTCGGAGTTCTCCTACTTAGAAGAATCTCTAAATGTATGAAGCTGATATAGGACGCAGAACTACCAGACCAGATATCACGTCTACACATACGTACTTATGATCATCAATCGAATTGGAGACGGAAAATTACTGAATCATAGTTTTGTAAGACTCAGCTAAAGCCACATCAAGTAAACAGGAAAAAAGTAATATGTCACAGGTTCCACACCAATCGCACGGCTATAAGGACGACCCAGAGAGAAGAAAAAGAGCATAAGGTACACAAAGATACAAATCTACCAACCTCTGGCATGGATGCATAAGAGCGAAGAAAAAGGGTACAACAAACCGCCACTGCAAATGCACAATGCATAACCAACCCACAGCGAATCAATCATCACGCCATGGGCCTAGAGCTGGCCATCTCACCATACCGCCCACGACTCTGGGTAGTATCGTAAGCATTGAGAACACGCATCTGGCCGCCATCGTCGGCCTGGGAGAAAGCGTAGCCGCGCTGCTTGCGCATGCGCTGGACCTGGCGGACCTTCCGGATGGCTTTTTGGAACTGCTCCATGCGTGGACGGTAGTCCTGGACATTGTATTTCTGGATTTCCTGGACGTGGTGGTATTGCTGTGGGTAGTACATGCGCTTGGCGTACTTCCAGGCATAATCACGTAGGAGGCAAATACAAGGCAGGACGATGGCCATCAGGTAGAAGATGGGGGACTTGAAGAGCACGGGGATGGTGCCGTAGTATTCGTTCGAGAAGCCCAGAGCCGGGGCGGCGTAGCCGTAAGCCGGGAGGAAGATGAGCCACAGGGCCATTGATCCTGGAATGGCAATGAAGGTGTACTTAGTCCAGATGTTGGTAATCAGAGCGGCTTTGCCGAGAACGGTAGCTAACACGGCGGTGTACAGAGCTTCACCCCAGACCCAGTGGCCAGCGACCTTGCCGTCTGCCATGGGAAGATCCCAGTAGTAGAGCAACTCAGAGACAATGTAGAGGACGAGAGAGTGGAAGAATCCATTCAGAATCCAGGCCCAAAAGCTGTGCTTCTGAAAGAAGACGCCTTTCTGGCCCAGCTGATACAGCTGTGGGTAGCGGTCCAGCAATCGGGCGGAGATAAACTGGTCAAAGATTCCCATCGCGAATGGAGGTAAGACAGTGAAGAGCACGTTGTAGAATGAGAGCGTCCAAGATTCGTAGATAACCTGTCCAGAGAATGCGTTTTGGAAAGAATACTGCGACAAGTCAGATACCACTCCAAATAATCCATCAAGGTCAAACTTACCCAGAATTGAGTCATGTACAGAGTAATGTTCTTATAGTATGAGTATAAAATGACTCGACTGATGCGAGAATAACTCCACGCTCCATGAACCAAAAGCAACTTTCGAAGGAACCTGAACTGGCCAATTGCAACATCAGCAGATCGTGCGGCTTGGAGACCTTCGACACCGCTGATGCCGACTCCGACATGAGCGGCTTGAATCATGGACACATCATTAGCACCGTCGCCGATGGCCAATAGGAGAGCCTTCTTGTGACGCTTGACAAGCTTGACGACCAAAGCCTTTTGAAGAGGAGAGACGCGACTAAAGAACATGTTAGAACAAAGGTACAACATCAAAAGCTCAACGGCACTTACCAGCAAACAACAGCTTTGCAAATGACAGCCAGGTCCAAGAACAACTTCTCCATATCTTTCTCTAAAGCAAAAGTCAATGACCGCCCGTCGATGATCAAAGCCAAAGGCTCGGAGTCCCCAGAGGCAAGTTGACTCTGAACAGCGTCCATTTTCTTTTGCAAACTGTCACGGGTGGCTTCTGCCGACTCCTCATTGATGATGAGAAGCGTCATGTCTTCCGAGATGAGTTTGCAAGACATGCCGATGTTGATTGCAGTCTCTTGCCGGTCACCAGTCAAGACCCAAATCTTGATGCCTGCAGTCTGCAGGGTGTGGATAGTATCCGGAACACCGTCCTGCAAGCGATCCTCAATAGCCGTGGCGCCCAGAAGATAGAAATCCCGTTCGATCAGCTCGGCCGCTTTGTCCAGTTCATCCGCACGACTGCCGTCAACAGTAGTGGAAGCCTTGTCATATATCTGGTACCATTGCTGGAACTCGTCTTCTGGGACTTCCCGCATAGCCAAACACAACGTCCGTAGACCATCAGAGGCATACTCCTCCAGGTGCTGGAGAGTTGCTTCCACGGTGGGGTTATCAGGATGCAACCGCTCAAGAATAACTGTGTCAGCACCCTTACAATAGACGCGGACCTTTCCATCAGGACACCGGAAGATAGTGGACATTCGTTTTCTAGTAGAGTTGAATTCGCACACTGCTAGCAGTTCGTATTCAAGCTCCTGCCCCCCAACCTCAAAGATCACCGATCTCGGTCTTCGGTTGGTGAATCTGAAACCTAACGAGGCGGCTCCGTCTACCAAGGCTCCCTCGTCTGGCGATGCTGCTTGGTACTTGATCACATTTGGGTCATCGCTATTTCGCTCAGGAATAACAGTATGACAAGTGGCAAGGAGAGTGAGAAATTCGCGAATAGCGTTCTGGCTTGGGTGCGATTGAAGGTTCTCTCTGAGCTTTTTGAAGTCATGAATACCATATTCAGCGCCATCCTCCACGGTGGCACGTCGATCTTCAGGCACGTCATCGCCATATTGGATACCAGCAATGCTGACTTGCTTGAACTCCATCATGTTGCAGGTAAGGGTACCTGTTTTGTCCGAGAAGATGTACTCAATTTGACCAAGCTCCTCGACAAGGGAGGATGTGCGGCAGGTGGCCGGGGTGTCGGTCTTATCGTAGTACATGTCGAGGTCGGAGTTGATAAGGAAGGCCTGGAAATATTTGACGATTTCAATGGTGACGAAGAGGGAGATCGGAACCAAATTCGAATAGAGCACCCAGTACGTGAAAATGTCGTAAAAGAACTGCTTTACCATTTTGACCGATCCATAATCGAGGTATGCAAGCTGTGAGGATTTGGTTTTCCGAATAGCGAGATCGCCGACAGAACTGATGACACTGAGAATGATAAGAATGCTGACAAGCATCAAAATCTGCATGTTGACTGTTCGCTCCACAGCTGTTCGCTTGATCGGGGTTGCTGTCGCATTTCGCATCAGTTTCGTCTCATGACCACTAAAAACCACAATGCCATGAATCCAGGGAGTGTTGCGCAGCGTTGCACCACGAAGGAGAAGTTGATCCGGAGCCAAGGGCAACTCTTTCTCACCACCTCCGGCATTCATAGTCAAAGTGGCTTCGTAAGTATACAGACTGCTATTTGGCTGTTCTGACCGAACACGACCACTCAGACGGCTCAGATCACTGGGGCTGACCAGGTGCGCAGTCTCCGGAATGGCTTGCTTGATTTTGAGATTGGTCTCGCCGTCCAAGTTTGCCGTTTCGATGTAGCATAGACCCTCAGGCTCGGATGACGCTAGTAGTACCAAGTCGGCTGGAAAAGGCTGCTCAGACTCAACCCGAACTATATCCCCGACCACAACATCCACCCATTTTGTATCGTGGAACGAAGACCCCTTAAGAATTTGGGTTTTTGAGTAGTTCAGTCCTCTGTCCGACATTCTCCGCTTGTAGTCCTCAACCAATTCTTTGATCGCCGACACAGCCAAGACGATAGCCAGCGGAACGATAGTTGTGAATTTATTCGTCGGCGACACATTTGGGATTTGCTGCAGGATGGCGGTAAACAAGAAGAACAGGTTGGCGTATTTAGAAAATTGCTCGAAGAGGAATTTAGGAATAAAGGTAAAGATGTTGTACTTGGCCGTCGATACGAAGTTGCTGACGAACTTGTGGGTGGAATTGGCGGGCGGGTTGTTGAGCTGAATCATGCGCGGGCCCAGTGTCGAAGGATCAACCTTGCGTCCAAAGGGATTGAGGTCAGACGCACGGAACTTCTTGCGTTCCTTCGGGCGCGGCGCCGGAGAAGCACTGCTATCGACTGTTGCCCTTCTTGCGCCTGACTCAGTCAATGGAAGATCCATTTCCGAATATTGCGATGACCCCATGCCAAACATGTATTTCGCCTTGCCCATCAATCCACCCCCGAGTCCGAGGACGCTGTTGCGCTCATTTGCCTTGCGGACATGGTGTGAACTGGCAATTCGGTCTTCGTCCGCGTCGAGATCATAATAACCTGAATGCCCGTCGTCAAAGTCGTCTAAAGAATATCGCCGATAATTGTCCAGGCCAGAGGTCTGAGAGTAGGTGCGATCTCGCGTGCCGCTGGAGTAGGGGTCATTTGGTTGGAGACCGGGGTTGACAGGCGGATGCGCCGGTCCAGAAGCAGTATTGTGTTGCGTTGCGCCGTGCGGCACGCGAGATCCGACAAAGTTATCGTAGGAGACGGAAGGGCGCGGTTGTGTTTCAGTGTACGGTTGTTCGGAGTCATCAATGTCATAGCGTTCTAATAGGTGTTCATCATTCACGGGAGGGCCTTGACCACTATTATAGATAGGTTCGGAATCCAGCAGCAGGTCGTCATCGAGGCCAGCGGCTGGATGCGACCCAGGAGGCCTACCGCTGGCCATGATGCCGCGGGGAAGCTGACAGCCTCACTGTTGTAGCGCAGTAGCAATGCCCCTGAGGCATTGATCGCAAGGCCAGGTCGACAGAAAGCACTCTGCTATATCTGTCGGAAGCAGGGCTAATTGGAAACGAGGTATGACGAGCAAATAACAGATTTGACGGGGCTTGTATTGGAAAAATGTGGGAGTGAGTGAGAATGAGGTCCAAGGGTGGCTTAGCGGGCGAAGGCAGCAATTAAGCTATGTTGATTTGATGCGCGGGTAGGCGGTAAAGCGCTTCACAACAATCTAAGAGCTCGAATATTCGGACAGATATTCTGAAATTATTAGTACAGTGGTTGTATAGGTTCACAAAGACTTTATTTCTATACTTTTTTTTTGTATACTATCGTCAAAATGCACTTCTATTCATTGGCCGCCCCGGGGTCTACAACAAATTGAGTTAAGAATAGGGGGTTCTTGGCAGCCGGAAATATACTAACCGCTTTGTTTGTATGCAGAGTATACAACATTGCTCCCACTTCAGAAATAAAAGATATGTCGGAGAAGAAAGGATTAGTAGAGGGGACTTGAATCATTTCCATGAAGATTCAGATACACAATTTACATTTAAAAAATAGGAAAAATGGTTAAGTTCATTCATCTACTAGCGCCCATATGTGGCAGCCAAGTGTCATTGATGTAAACGCCATGCGAAACTCCAGTCCCCCGATCGTCAAAGTAATGGTAGTACATGCTGTTCATTCGATTTGAACCAACCGGTCGTTTTCTGCCCGAGACTCATCGGCCATGCCAATCTTCGCCCGCTTAGCCAGGTCGGCCTGGAGGACCTTGTCAACAGCAGCATTGATCTCTTTGACTTTTTCCCATGCCACATTTGTCTTGTTCACAACTGCCATGGCATCTGCTGGTGCACCTGCATACTTCGAGAGGTAACAGACATCGCCTGCGCTGTTGATGCCAATGACAAGATCTCCCTCGGCAGCCTGCTCCTCCTTGAGGGTGGCGTCAACAATGACCTGCTTGCTGTCATTGAAGGTGTGGAATGTGACTGAGAGTGGCTTGTGTGTGATATTAAGTGCGACAGGTACACGTTGTTCCACGCCGTAGACTATGACACGTCCGTCTCTCACCACAGCATCCGGCCGGCGGAAGTGTTGCAGTCCAGCCATGATCGCAATACAGGCCGCATCAGTAATGTTTCCATCGTAGTCGATAATGTGAACATCGGCTCGAATCGCCCAGCAGCTCACACCCTTTAGAATACACAGAGATTCAGTATCGAGGGCGTTAGAATGGCGGATGATACGGTCAAGGGTGTTGGTGGCGTATGCCTCGATGTCGTTGGTTCTGCAAGAGGTAATTGTGAGCACAATCAATATATGACGAAATTTCTGGGTGGTATATACCGTCCATTTTCCCAGGCTGGTGAACCCATTGCACTCAGCTCCAGGTTGATGTTGAAGAGACCATCGAAGGGTCGGTCTTCACGCGGTTTAGTAACCTCAGCGGAGATGCGAACGATAATGCTGCAGAATTGATTAGCGATGGTCCTTCGTGGTAGACCGACAAAATATCTGGAACTCACTGTGTCTTCCCCAGCTGCAGCTTCACATGTCCATATTCCTCACCAAAGGAGATATCGAGAGGACGATAGTCGTCAGGCTGGCGACCATCGAGACGCACATCCTCACGGAGCGCCTCGAGAATAAAGTCGCGCTCTGCGATTGAGAGTTGCGCTTCTTTCGACATCGTTGAGGGAGGTCTAACAGCCCCGGCGCGGGGATCAGAGATGCTTTCTTTTTTGGGCCATTTTGCCCGTGCAGGCCGCATTGCATCGGTTCGGAATATGAATATTCCGTAATTTGCGCCAATAATAACGGAGGATACATAAGGCGGTGGGTAGAACGTGAGGAGAATGTTGGTGCCTGAGGCGACTACGTACATCGAAAGCTGGGAGCCGTAACGTCCTAGGACTTCCAACTTTCACTTAGTAACCACACAACAAAATGACGACAGGTATGCCTTTAGAAACATAATTTGCGAATTTGGATAGTTATAGTTAACATTTATTTAGCCCACAGACCTACTTTTGACCCAGTACGGCAACTTTCCTCAACACGACTATTCATGGACACTGACTGATTTCAACAGGCGCAAGGCAAAGAAGCCCTCCGTGGCCCAGCTTACCACCAGAGACTCCTCCCTGCGCATAAACACCTGAAAGTTCGGTATGTAGAACGAACTTGGCCAGACCTCACCGATAACTGACGCTATTCTAGCCAACCTGGACAAGGCGGCGCCGCCGACGCCGACCCATCGCCCCGTGACCTTCGCGCAGAGCTTCTCCGGGCCGAGGCAGCACACTTTGCCAAGAAGAATGGCGTCCCCGTCGAACAACCAGCTATTGCTGAATCCTCAGCCCCCAAGCGACAAATTGAAGCTGCGCCCCAAGATGGAAGCGATGGCGACATCCAGGAAGAAGACCCAGAGGCCAAACGCCGACGCATATTGGAGGAGACACGCGACATAGATGCCGACTCAGACGAGTCAGCAGAAGACAGCAGTGATGAGGATAGGTGGGTTGAATCCAGGATCTTGTGATTAGGACGAATAAACTGACAAACTGCAGCGACGAGGAAGACGAAGCAGCCGAGTTAATGCGGGAGCTTGAAAAGATCAAAAAAGAGCGATTGGAACAAAAGGAGAAAGAGGTATCTCGCATTCTCGCACCCTAGATTCGAAACTAGTGGCTAATGCATAACAGGAGCGTGAACGGGCAGCTGAGGAAGAAGAGAAGCGAGAGGTTGATATCGCTCGCGGCAATCCTCTGCTCAATTCCCAGGATTTCAGCATGAAACGACGTTGGGATGACGATGTTGTATTCAAGAACCAGGCTCGTGGAACAGAGAACAGAGACGGCAAGGAATTCGTCAACGTATGCTTACTTTCCTTTGGCTTGTTCTTATGACGCTAAACTAATTTATTTCCAGGATCTTCTTCGTTCTGATTTCCACAAGCGCTTCATGGTATGTACTTGTATTCGCTATTATTCTTATACATTCACTGACCAGGCCTTCAGGGAAAATACGTGCGTTAGACTCTCCTATCATATTTGGGTATCCAGATGTCAGTTCAAGAGGTATTTCAACTTAGCGAATGGATATGTATTATGTTATGGCTGATGCTGTGATTCTCGCAAAATACTGGCTGGGGGAAACTCGTGCTCATAGGGTAATTCTTAACTAACCGAGAACGTATCTTCCATAACGACGGAGAAGAAATATGAGAAGGAAAGGGAAACTTAGCACTAGATCCATCCCTAGTTATACATAGAAACCTCGTCTGTACGCTTTTATATTCTTGTAGACTGATAATCCCAGCATGTCTACTCCGCGCTATTATTCCTATTATTCCAGCTATCACACAAAAAAGAACGTCAAGAAAAGAAATTGGAGTATTATCTTGCATACAACATCCTATATCTCATCTCGAGTCAGATAAATCAAATTATTCCAAAGACTACAGAAATCAAGGAATCCACTGGAAGAAAGGGTCTCTGGGAAATCTGTAAGATGCGTAAAGAGCAATCTAATCAGCACTTCAAGTAGTACTCTGTACTTCAACCTAGCAAAAAAAAGCCTATCTGCAAGTTGAAGACTAAATACGCTGAGCAAACACCCTATGCCACGTGATGTCTAACAGCTCTATTATCCCATGTCGTTAGGAGTAGATCTACCCGACCCAGGAACGCTCGTGGTGTTGATATCTAATACAAAAGCTACATAATTTGATGTAAATGATTAAAATATCTATATAGTTTTTTAAGCTAAATTTGTCCAATTGATCTTACTGAGTGAAGCAGAAGTGAGAAAAAATAGATGGATAAATGGGTAGATAGTGAGGCTGAACGTGGTACTACGCTGAAAGTGTAGTGTCATGGACAGTAAAAGAACAAAGAGACAAAGGCGGTGAGCATTGCGTCAAATACCGAGTCACGTGACCTATTGGGTAATGTCGGCTTTACTCCCGTATATACCCGTATCTATCCGCCCCACAATATTCCTTATCGTTATCGTTAATCAAGATGGATTCCCCTTCGGATTATCTCTCTTCGGATTTATCCTCACCTTCATCCGAAGAGAATAACAAGAACATTCCAACCATGGATTCCCGTCCAGTCGCCAAAGAGTTGCTTGGTACGTATTAGCCTTGAGCTGCTACAGCTACATCCCGTGTCTCCCATGTCATTCTACTAACACCGTGATGTGATAGACCGCGTCGACTATGATATCTCGCAGCTGCTGCAGCGGTTCGAAAACATTGTCGCCATTGCTGCCAACAAGTTCGACGGAACCAGTCACGTTGATGCCGCTGTTGAAGCGTTCCAAATAGATGTTGAGTCCACTGCCCTGGTATGTTGATCTGCGCCCTAGTACTCAATTACCTAGCTACCTGCCCCCTTCCCGATACGAACGTAATTGAGCTTCCAACTTCACACTAAAACGTGACATTAACATCTCGCTACCTCAGATCCGTGCCGCGGAGGACCTCCTCGCCTTGTCCCGCCTCATGAAGGAGCTTTGGCTCTTCGGCAAGCTCGATACCCTCGGCGAAGACGAACGCGACGTCCAGCGTCGCGAGAAGCTCGAGGACGATGTGAAGGCCATTCAGAAGGTCATTCAGAAGTCCCTTGATGAAGGACTGTTGATGCCATCTTTGGGTGTGTCCGGAGAGCCCGAGAAGCCCGAACAGTCTGAGAAGTCTGAGAAGCCCGTGAAGACCGAAAAGTAGCGGTGATTTCCAAGGCAGTCCTTTGAAGCATTTTGCTTGTCGGCCCTTGAAACTGTTTCGCATGTGATACCCACTTGTTTCCTTACGTCTGGCGTTCGACCGGTGTTATGGCGCATTCAGTTTACTTGCGATATTGAATCCAAATTCATTTTTTTACCATTGCTTTGCTGCTTCGTTTACTGAGCTAGTCTCGTAGATTTACCAAGTGGAGGAGCTTGAATGGCAGTTAAACGCCTAGAGCCTATCAGCAAAAGACGCCGTGCGGACTGAACGGCCTTCATAATTCAGGCAACTGTAACCTCAAACGATATCGTAGCATGAATCACCTCCCAAAAAAAAGGGACCATGTCAAGCTCACCTGCAACTAACTGTCCACGGGTATAGGTAGTGGGGGGCGATAAGCAGCCTAGCTCCGATAACGATTTCTCCCCTCGCGACGCGAACCTCCATTCAATATCTCTCTCACAACCGAAACCTCGAACCCCAAACTGTAATCACCTCTCACCAAAATGCCACCTCACAACTCACACCCGCTCCCCTCCCTCACCCTAATCGTGGCAACGACCCCAATCCGCACCGCGTCGACAACCACAAAAGACGAAATCACGCGTCTAGGCATCGGCCTAAACGGCACGCTCCCATGGCCTCGCATAAAAACAGACATGTCATTCTTCGCTCGTGTGACATCCCGCCCACCAAGCCCAGGCACGACAAACGCGATAATCATGGGCCGCAAAACATACGACTCAGTTCCCGCCTCGCTGCGCCCTCTCGCAAAGCGAATTAACGTCGTGATCACGCGCGACACATCCGGTTCTGTTCGCGAGAGTGTACATGCGGAGCTGGGGAAGATGAGGCAGAAGATTGCGGTCAAGGCCGCTGAGGCTCAGGCTCAGACACAAGCTACGAGTGCGGAAAAGGAGGCTTTTATCCCGCCCACGGATGCAGTTCCGGCTCCACCAGTGGTCCCGATGACTGATGCGATTGTAACGCCGAGTCTTGGTGCGGCACTGGAGCAGCTGGACTCTGTGTACGGGGCGCAGGGGACGCTTGGGAAGATTTTTGTGATCGGTGGAGCGGAGATTTATAATGCTACGTTGAAGATGGGCTCTGAGGAGCTGCGGGGGAGACCTGTTAGGGTTATTATGACGAATGTTGTGCGGAATGGGGCTGTTGATGCGTCTGCTTCGTTTGAGTGTGATACTTTCTTCCCGTTGGATGGGCTTAACGAGGGGAATGGGTGGCGGGCTGCTAGCTCTGAGGAGGTTTCTGAGTGGGTTGGGGAGCAGGTTGATGGGGAGTGGAAGAGGGATGGGGATGTTGAGGTTCAGATGGTTGGATATGAAAAATTAACTTAGATATGCGTAGGATTTGGCCCTCCCTGTGGATGATTGACTAGTTAAATATGTTCAAAGATTTATACTTAGTGTGTGTCTGTCTGAATCAAACAAAATGTGTACAACCAAACTATGCACAGTGCCAATGTTGGCTGAGTGACCACATAATATATAGACGGGAAATGAGAGGACATGCAAGGGTATGCGGACAATTAAATCAGAAGGCCTTGACAACGCCGGAAAATGCAAATGGAAAACATTGCAATGGTCGATCAAAGTCCACGGCCTAGTCGCTATTCTCCTTCATGAATTTCACGAATGCTTTCTTGTGTACCAGGCCGGCATATTTTCCATCCCGAGTAACGCAGAGGTAACGAAGACCCAGCTTGGCGAAGCATTGGTAGACTAAATCGATAGGGGAGTGGACATCAAGAGCGACTGGAGCCTATAAATAAACACATTAGTACGGGCCAAGATATCGAAGAGGGGAATCAAGCTTACAGGGTCAATATATTGACTGAAATCTACCTGGTAGGCATCCTCGTTTTCGCTGTCATAGACGGCCGTGGAAGAATCCATAGTCATCAGACATATCGTATTATCTTCCTCATCGCCCAGCGTATCCAGTGCGTACTCAAGATCCGGTGCTGGGATCAGACCGGCTAGAACACCCTCACGTAGAATGGGAAGCCCGCTGTCCAGCTCACCTGCCATGAGCAGCTGTTCCAGTTTCAAACGGAGGTCCGTGGCCGCGACGAATGGTGATGCGGAGATATCGATAATACGATTCTTCCGCACTGGTCGGACTATGTCTCCCAGCTCGGCATCGGTGGTCGGTTGGAGTTTGCTATCAAGGAAGGGATAGGAGTTCATATCGGTCAAGAGGTCCTGGTTTCAATGAGTACAACGTCGGGGCTGGATTACCAGATGGAGGGCAAGACTTACATAAATACTGCGAGGTTCAATGGCATCCGCAGTCCACTTGGCGCAGAGCACGGACAGGGAAAACGGAAGCACATGGTTGAGACTTCCTGTCAATTCGAACAGAATCACAGGCAAAGTTACCGACAGCCGTGTCACACCGCACATGGTCGCTCCAGCGGCAATCAATGCGTAGACCCCTGGAGTCACACACGACTCAATCCCAGCAACAGCAGGACAAGAGTCGAACAAGAAAAAGGTTGGATGTCTGAGAGCCCAGTACTGGATCAAATGTCCAACGATCCGGCCCATCAAGCCGCCAACAACCATGGATGGCACATAGATGCCCGCAGGTACTTTGATACCGAACGTAATAATGGTCAGGAAACTCTTGATAACAAACGCCACCAGAAGGTACTGGACAACCTCAAGAATGCCGTCTGTGCGGGGACATAGCCCCGTACTCTCCACATCTGATTCACAAGGAGAAGCGAGCTCGAATAGAAGTTCGGTGACAGGAAGTTTGGTGTATCGATTCCAGAAGCTGACAACGCCTGTAAACAGTGCAACGAGGAAAACTTCAAGCATTGGCCAACGCTTGATGGCTGGGATGCGACGGAATGATCGTGCCCATAGGCTCGAGGCTTTGATGAAGAGGGCACCAGCGGCGCCTCCCATAATACCGAGAAGGATGAAGATGAAAATCTCGAAGATCTGCCAGTCGGAAAGGTATCGGACTTCAAATAGGACAATCTTACCTGTTCCATAGGGGTTTAGGAACTTGAGGGACAATGTAGCCGCAATGCAACAAAAGAACGTCCGGAAAAGGGTCTTGGGTGGGAAATAATAGCTGACTTCTTCCAAGCTGAAGAGGACACCGCCAATCGGAGCACCAAAGGCAACAGCAACACCACTAGCGGCACTCGCGCTCAAGACCTCTCGTCGCTTTCCATCGTTTTGGTTATACTTGGCGAACAGACGACAGCAGATATTGCCCACGCAGGTGGCGATATGAACGTATGGGCCCTCTTTGCCCAAACTCAAGCCAGACGAAACACTGAAGATCAAGCCAATGGTTTTGATAACTAGCGTTTTGAGTCCCATATATCCGTGGAGGACAAAGCCACTATTAATGACCTTGACTTCTGCTACTCCACTGCCAGCAGCAGAGTAGTAGATCATAGCTGGACTGGATGGAAGAGTAGGCAAGGTTCCATGTGGCGGACTCATACTTGGCTCCGAATGAGGAGAACCTGAGGCACCGGGTCCATTGCCAGATTTTGTCCCATGGGGGTCGGCGCCCAGGTTTTCATCCAGTGTGGCAAGAGAAATGGACGAAGGAACGACGGTTTTTGTGAGCAGAGTTAAAGCACAGGAGATGAGGGCCAACGTCACAACCCAAAAGACAAACATGACAAAGTCAACCCACTGGCGTTCTGTACCCGATGGCGAGAAGATCCCGGACCAGGGCCGCCATGCATCACAAACACCCAGACCTTGGCAGCAGGTCCGCCGATTACGGAAAAACTGAGTCGTGCAGAAGCCTTCCTTCAAATCAAAGACCGACCCTTCAGTGACATCGACGAAGTAAGCAATAGCAGCCGTGATGCACCCAATGAGCGCGACCAAGATCCATCCTTGCGCACCGTCGAAGGCCGCCAACAATCGACCGCGCACATCTTTTCGCTGGCGGAGCAGGCGAAGTCGTGCGCCATCGGCGATACTGTCATGCACCCAATCTGTGGAAGTGAATTGATCGTACCATGTCCGCTCATCCAGATATGAAGAGGCAGTAAGATTGTCCTTTGTGGACGGAGGAAGGCTAGCGGGTCTGCTATCGCCATCTATACTCGCTCGTCGACTGAACCGCCTGCCCATGGAATTGGCACGGCTATGATTTCGCGTTCGCCGCAGGCTACCGGCGGCCAGGAGATGTCTAAATGGGTCCGTACCGGTACCCGACACTCCGGAAGTGCTCGTGTAGGACCGTCGCGGAGCTCGTCGGCGGAACTCTTGAGCAGGCCCGAGGAGGCTTGTTGTTTCCGTAATCTCCAACGGCGCATCGAGAGACTGGTATTCGGTATGCGTTTCGGAGAGGTAGCTTTGAGATCGTCTGTAAGCACTCGGTGAGGGGGGAGCTGTCTGGGCAGTGCGCGTGTGTTCGGTGTCATCTTGCTCGGGCAAGGGAGCACTGGACTTTGGAAGAGACCGAGGCATGTCGCCTAGAATAATTTATGCTTGAACTATACGCAGTGGAGCTGGCAAGGGTCAGTTTTGGCCGCACTTGGAGATATGCCGACGCCGATCCACATTAAACGTAAACACGGGGTAAGCCTCACACGATCAAAGAGATCAAGGAACTGTACTTACTAGGTAGCATATCTCTCCCAAGGCTCAATTCATAGAAAGATAAAAACAAAAACAAAACCGACACAGAGATAAGAGCGAGAAAAGAGGGTCCGAGGGCTAAGATGAGGTGACCCCATCGATCATCGACTTTAAACGGCGGGGACGCGTCAGGCGGAAGTTCAGTGCTGACCCAACTATGGTCATTTTTGTCTTATTTTTAATATCTTTTACTTCAATGTTCAACGCTCGGCATTTTGTGATGGTGATTCGATGGTTTGTTTTTCGGTGTTACATTTCTCTGATCATCACGTTTCCCGCCGATCAATATGTCTACTGAGGGGCATGCTCTTCTGCTTCTGTCTATATCATAGGGTATACCCGTACTGATGATGCCGCTCTGGACTTGACGATAAATGGTAGCACTGAAGAATGTCGGTGTCACAGCCCTAGAAGCATCTCCTTGGATTACTAACATAAGTTAGGATGTTGAATCCATTTTCGATATTTCCACTTTGGGGGTGCCTCCACCCCGGCTGGAGGGATCCCTGTGGCAAACGCTGCCCAATCCGATGGTCATCCGACGCTGATCTCTTGGCATGCTTCATGAAGTATACGCCACCGTGGGAGGACCGGGTGTGAGATTCTGTCATGTCAAACAGCGTTGGCCCTCTTTCGGATGTCTGATATCACTAGGATATAAATATCAGCTCGACCACACGGCTGATTTGAGGCCCATCTTACCCTATAAACTTTCCACACTGTCTAACAGTATATAGAGATCGGTACATTCCAATTTCACTAGTTCCAGTTTCACGTGTACCATGTTATAGGGAAGCAAATATCGCTACTCTATGGAAAAGAATACTCGCACATATCCACGTCCGTCATTCTGAAATTTTTTTAGAACCTTTTTCAACACGCAGGCGAAGAGATTTATTTGCTGAATAACCCAGCCCTGTTGAAGTCAGCAAATTAGGGATTCCTTTATCGCAAAAGAGGAAGCCCGAAATAGTAAGCCATAGAAAAACAAATCCATGTATACTCTTGAACCTTCTGGAAAATAATCCCTCGAGCGGGCTTCCAAAACAACTCCAAAGCTGCACCTGGACGGGGTTTAGGGAAATCAACCTCAACGACTCGAATCCTTGTATTCTTGCTGAAGTCTTCAGTTCGATCAAGATCCCACTTGCCTCAAATATTGGTAAATGCGATGGATTCCCTGGTCCTGACCCTAACAGCGTTGAGCCACTCAATTTGTTGCTCACTGCCATAAAAGGCTTTTGATATGATTTTCCTAACAAAAAACTAGAATGGCCAAGGCTTGTTGGAGTCATAGGGAATTCTAATAACAGACTGCATGATTGAATCCAGTCTCTTGTCAGAAAGCCTGTTATAAAATCACATTGTTAGGAGCTTAGCTAAAGCGAGAGTGAGGAGAGAACATCCATGGGGTTGTGACCTATTGGACAACAAAATGAGTGATATCTTTTAGCAAGAGAGCTTTGAATTGGTCCTCGACAGTTATCTCAACGGAAGGAACTGGAACCGTAATGGCCTGATCATCCGGAAGTGTTTCATCCATTGTTTCCGACGCACAGGCTTCGGTGTTAAAATCGATGTCTGATACTGTGAGCTGAGATATTGATTGAAACACAAGCTGGATTAAGATGTGTTTGATATCGTGTTCCTGTTGTACATCGGCACTCGCCTGTTGCTTTTGTCCGCCTGCATCTCATATGTTGCTTTCAGAATTTTCGTTGTCATCGTTGCGATCATGGTCGTCGGTAGGTATTTCATATACGATTCGCTTCGGGGGTATTCAACAATTCATACTTCTTCTTAATGACGAGCGCTTGCTTGGAGAGGTCGTCAATGTAATCGTAGTCCTTGTTGACATCGTCATTAAGCTCACCAAGCACCTCTCTGATGTTGATTGTGGGGCTGACCCATATTCTCTTGTGTCGTGTCGAGGCTTGAACGCGTTCATTGGATAGCGGCGATGGTGTCACGTATTGGGTGGATTTTCTTCCACAGGTTTAGGTGTTTACTTTGGGTCCTTGGGCCGTATCGCGACGTAAGTGGGAATGAAGAATACTTATTCCCTATTGTTGAATTCGGTAGCGGTCGCTTTCGCGTAGGGAATTTCTTTGAGTTTGTTCCATTCGACATTATCGATGTCATTGGGTTTGTCAGCGAATTCCTGCGCGACTGGGCCTGTTGCGGGATGAAAAGCATAGTGGTTCGTCAAGCGAGTGAGAACTAACTTATGCTTTATGTACATGAGAATGTTTTGCGAGGTGTCACCTCGCACATCGGGAGCATTGATGAATCTCCCACAGTCGTAGTTTTCATAGTCAATTTGAAAGCTGCGATCCGGTGTGTTTCTCTTAACATCGTTGGGGAGACCACGACTTCGCCAAAGTGAAAGCCGCCGTGTTTCAATGCATAGTGTCCTGGCTTCTTGTCGATTTCCCAGAGATAGTGTCGCAAAGGAGTACTGCCCACAACGTAATAGTCGCCGTAGACAGCCACAAATGGGAATCCGAAACACCACATGATCACCGGGTCCCCTATGGGCCATCTATCGCAATAAATGTCGCCGGTGACATCGAAGTCCGCCAGCCATTTCCCATGACGATGACGCGCTGCAACCGTGTTCTACCCGATAAGCAGGAACATGAGGGCGTCGGAGAGACGATGTTCGCCTGGTGGACAAATCAGAGTGCCGGTTGGTGTCATTTGTATCTCGTCATAGTATGCAGGTCGGTTCGGTTAGGCGCCTTTCCAAGGGTGAATTGTGCTCGTCGATTCATCGTCTCAACGTGCTGGGCGCCCTCTTGAATCTATTTCTTGTCATCACAGAACCCATGGCGAGGCTTCGATGGTCGCTTTGACGTTGGCTTCCTCATGGCCAACGACAATGAAAAGAGCGAAATTGAGGATGAAACGTGATATAAACAGATGGAGTTAGAAGAGATGAAAAGGTATGATGATAGAAATAAGTTGAAAGTGAGAGATAAAGAAGGTATAAATGTTTGACTGTTGAAATAATTTGTTGGGTTGTATGCGTCCGGTTGCCGCGAATGTTAGCAACGTATATTGATGGTAGAGATTTTTCTAATTGTCGAAGTTTTGGCGACTGTTATAGTCGTCGACTAACTCCATATGCGCGGTAGAATCCGAGATATTGAATATCGTCGTGATTCTCCTGAAAGATGTCGGTCTCTTTGGTAGCTAGAATACTTAGTCTTTCTATTCCTCCGACGTCGACGAAAAACAGCAGGCCGTCTTTTTTCTTCAAGCAGAATGTTCTGGATTTGTCGTCCACCTCTATCCAGATTCGGGAAAGTTTATCACGTATCAATAGTCACGGTCAGTTTTCATTCCTCCCCATCTGTTCTCATCACCTCCACCACATCCCCACTACATCACTTAGTTGCGGACGTCAATTTGTTTATTGTCTTGCGTTTTCTTATCATCGTTGAGATCACACTGTTTACCAAGCATTCTTTCGAAGCCGAGCATGGAGTCGTCAACGTCATGTCAGCCTCCCAGCGAGGTTCCCATGCAGTCGTCGACGTCAGGTAATCCCCCAAGCCACGCTTCCCAGTCAACAAAGCGTCGAAAAATAGTTCCTGCGGTTGGTCCTGAAATGTTAAAAACGGTCGTCGGTTTTTTGGATACGCTGGCAGATATGAAAAGCGATAATCATGCCATTCGGTCTAGTGCGTTTCAAAAGCTAACAGAGTTGTCACCCTTAATGCAACAACTCGCACAATCAAAGAAACCTGCAACCGTCCATTATGCTGATGGGAAATGGAAGTCCCTTAAAGAGGCATGCACTGTTTTGCAGGTGTTGCATCAAGTCTCAACTTCTAATCACTTGAACACTAATACTACGTTAAGCAGGCGATATTCAATCGGCTTCTTTGTTCTACCCGACTTTGATCTGGTTATCAACCCTCTTCCAGGTTGCGAGGTTAAAGGCAAATGATCATCCTTGGAGTGGGAGGATGAAATTTCTGCTGGAGACTGGCTGAACAGGAGAGTTGCTCTAGAATACCAACTCAAGGGCTCATCTAAGTCTGCTGTGTAGTCGAAGAACGCCTTTTCTATTCTTCGCTTCATTTAGAACACAGTGTAAGAATGAACGTTAAATTTATTTCGGGTTTCATAATAGCTAGCTTGTCGTATCATGACTGATTGAACATTCTCTCTTTTCGATCGGGGTTGTAAGACCGTCAGCCTATTTTCGATGTCCTGCAACGGGGAGGATATTTCCACCAACATCGTCTGGATACTGGATGATTATCAGATATAATAGTCATCGCTAGTTAAGGCTTGCGACCTTTAGCGATATACACCGTACTCTGCGATCAAATATTGCACCTACCTGCCGTCGATACTCACTTTTATTAAACACCACGAAGCACCAAGGTCAGCGTCAAATTATCCATCACGTCAAGCGAACCCAGCCCAAGGGGTAAACTGGCCTTAATAGTTGGGTTATCCTATATTAATCAATCCGTTGAAACTATCTTACTATTCGTGCATTACTCGCTACAAAAGTCGGCAAAAATTACCCCTTCTTAAGTATATTCGCTTACAGCATAAGCGCTAAAGGAGTATGACATATTAAGGGGCTCGATCATTGAGTGTTCTTTGAGGCGTCGAAACTCATAAATAGAGAGCACAGCTTAGATTCCATATGGCATATCCCCCACAGTCCACTTATCCGAGGTGCTATGATATGTGAGCATGTCTAAGTACGCACCCCATTTGGCCGTCGTGATTATGGGGGATGTTGGTGTTGGGAAAGAAGCGCTAGCTGAGCGGGTTTGTCATCCTATCCCAACGCCCTCAGGCTCGTTTTAACAAAAGGTATTTCTAGTTTAGTCCAAACGATGTTCATGATCCAACATATGACGGCACCCATATGGCAAGAATCGATGTTGATGGCTCGCCTTGTGTCCTCAATATCGAGAGATGTGGGGGAAAAGAATTCATCGTGGTAAGAGACCTGCTTATCAGGCACGCAGATGTCTTCATTCTTGCGTACAGCGTGACTTCACGAACGTCATTTTCTTATATACGGGCGCTCGACAATCATATCAAGGAGACCGAGGAGAGGCTACGGGCTGATGGGATTATAAAACTGTGCAAGTCGCCCGTTATTTTTGTCGGTACCAAGAATGACTTAGAAGCCCAGCGCGAAGTATCAGTTGAAGAAGGCCAGATGCTTGCAAAGTCACTGAATTGTCCGTTCATCGAAACATCGGCAAAGCACAACACAAATGTAAAGAATTTGTTCCATGAGGCTGTGAGATGTTTTCGACAGCAAAATCCTCCTACTCCTAGTGAGCCTGAAACACCAACCCCTTCACGATCAAGGAAAGGCCTGGGGAGATTGTTGGGACCAAGGCAACGAAACAATGACAATGGGCCACGATGCATTGTTATGTGATTGAATAGCTCATGCAATATACAATCGAGTATTGGCCTAGGTTTGACATATCAAGTATCGTTAGGACAAAGCACAAATATATATTCTCTTATATTGTGTCGCATAAGGACTGTATAAATGCCAAGGCATCATCATATGGTAAGGTAAACAATGCATCCGCTAGGATAGAGATGGCGATTATCTCCGATGGTAGTAATGTCACCCTGGCAGGCTCGACGGCAGCAACAAGCTACAAGCTTTGAAGTTACTCATACTTCCTGAATAGGCAATTTCCGAGGTTGGAGGTGAATTTGATTTTATTGGCCGAGCAAGTTCCCGGACTCATAATCATTTTGCATATACGGACTAGCAGATAATATCATGAAGCAATGCACTTTGTGTATTGGAAGTTGTTGAACTATGAAAGAAAGTAAAGTTGGCCATTAAGTCTGATAATATTGGTTTAGTTATATGACGAGAGAAGATATCAACAAGTGCCGCGCTTGTATACATTTACTATGTAAAAATATATAGTAAATAAACACAGAAGTTGTTTACTCCTCCGGGGCACCTCTCTCCTCCATCTTCTTAGCAGCTCTCTGCTTCCCGCCCTCTGTCACTCTAGGATTATGCTGCGCTCTATATAGGCCAGTTAGTAGACATTGAAACGATTCCTTGAAGGTCGTACTAACGCCTTGAGCCCAGCTGAGACCCTCGTTGGGTCTTTGCTTTCGTCTTCTGCCTGGTATCTTTGTTCGCGAGCCTGATCACTGCCGAGCTCATGAAGCATCTCGTGTGCATGCTGCTTGGCCTCTGGTGAGACCTTCCGGTTGCTCAGCGCGCTGTACAAGACGGTGTTAGACTTTAGATGCGCTCGAGAGTTTATGGTCTGGAATGTAATGCTTACGCCTTGTACCCACGCATCTCGTTGTTTTGTCTCGGCATATTGGTCTATATGAGTGATCGTTTCAGGCGAGTGATAGTTGAACAAAGTCTAGGTCTGTTTTTGACAGATAATCCTTCTGTTTAAATGTTTTACTCTCATCAGCGGCGTCACATATCATTTCTCCGTCACTACATCCTGCGGCGATTTATTCGCCGTTTATGATATAATTATGATGTCCCGTGACCGCACCCTAGGTAAAGAGAATAGACCTTCATCCTATTATATGGCCGTGGCGTTAGAATAAGAACCTGTTCTAGTTTTCAAGTTGCCATCAATTCCTTGCTAAGTAAAGGTTGACTGGGTGGCTGAAAACAGACTGAAAGGCATTCAATTACAGCCTCGCCACAGATAGATGTTTTACATATGATAAACTTCTTGGATATAGAAAATGTGGCGATGCAAACTCTGGGAGCGCAGCCTAAGTGCTCACTGAGTAGGACCTCGAACGCCCTCATAAAGCAGCGACACCCCGATCAGGGAACTCGCATTCACGGCCGCGAATCCGGTGCATACTGCTACATACAGACCGGGTTTTAACCCGCGCATCATGGCCTTTCCCTTTGCGTTTTAGTGCTCGCTCTTTGCCTCTGGCCATTCTTCTTGCTGGAGTATGAGTAACGAGACGAGAAATGCGGCTTTGGGTGCAGTGAAGCGGATTGTGAAGTCCAAGTGTTGCAAAGTTCTTCCCAACAGAACCTTGCGATGTGATTATAAAAAGGGGTTTCTCGGAATTTTTCAAAGTAAAAGAGACCTATCTGTATACGATATCTAGTCTAACAATCCTGTGAGCTTAGGCAAAATCTATGCTAGATGCTACGTTGGCAAGGAGTAACTCAGTTGGATATGTTCTATTTCCAGGAGTTTCGTGGTTTCAGTCAACCTTCACGCTCATAATGCCTTTGAACATAACTGGCAAAGTTGAACTTGATGGGGTGATAAACACAGATCACCACTACTTCCAGAGAAACTAGAAGGACCAGAGGAGCACACTGAAAGTGCACGAGGGTTCCAAAATAGTGGTGCTACTTGTAACGAACCTGATTATACTCATGTAGCTAACAGCAATCCTGCATGGCTATCCTTCTGTATAGTGCGGGGCTCAGATCTGGCCCCCAATATTACCAATAAAACGATTAGTGGATAAATTACTTGGAGATTAGACAGATTTGGATAAGCAATATTATACTCCGTGGCTTTCATTGCGTCTTAATATTTTCATACAGTCGACAGGCGAAGCTCCACCAATTTCCCTTTTGTCCGCGGAGTGACTTCCCCCACTTCCTTTTCTGTTTATAAGCCCCCCCCGATCCCCCCATAACTTCAATTTGAAACTCCCAAGTAATCTAATCTTATCACCAGATTGTTGCCTCACCATGGCTGCCACCGAGACTCAAGATGCTTTCAAGCCCTATGATCAATTTCTTCTCTTCGGAGACTCCATCACACAGATGGCCTGCAACCAAGAACTAGGTTTCGCGTTCCATGCTGCACTCCAAGAAGGTGAGTCATTCTCCTGAAACCTCCAGGCATTCGCATGGGCAGTAAGCTAATGAAAAAAAAATAGCGTACAGTCGCAGATTGGATGTTGTCAACCGCGGCCTCGCGTAAGATCATCCAAGGCTATACTAGACTGACATATGCTCACAAGCAACAGTGGATATACAACCGCTCACGCTGTCAAGGTCTTTGATAAATTCTTCCCTTCACCGCAGACGGCTAATGTGCGGCTCATGGTAAGCTCCCCTTATCGGCAGCTCCATTTGAAAATTTGAAAATTCGAATGTATTCAAAAGATAATTGACCAACATCCGATAGACTATCTTCTTCGGTGCCAATGATGCATGTGTTCCAGCCCACGAGCAGCATGTGCCCCTGGATCAATACAAAGAGAACCTGAAGACGATCATTCAGCACCCAGCGACACGCGCACAGAACCCGCGACTCATTCTGATCAGCCCACCTCCCGTCAACGAATATCAAGTGGAGAAGTTCGACGCTGAAAAGGGATGCCCGTTCCCGAGCAGAACTGCTAGCTACACTAAGTCATATGCAGCGGCTGCATGCGAAGTTGGTTCCGCGCTCAATATCCCGGTCGTGGATTTATGGACTGCCTTCATGAAGACCACTGGCTGGAAGGAGGGAGAGCCTCTGATTGGAAGTCGTGATGCGCCGGACAATGAGAAACTGTCTAGTCTTCTTACTGATGGTATGTGGAAATGTGCATATTTTCCTTTTTTTTCTTGAACTCACTCGTCATACAGGTTTGCATCTCACCCCCTCCGGTAACCGCATCGTCTACGATGAACTTATGAAGGTAGTCGAGGCCAATTGGCCAGATCAGACTCCGGAGGCTCTTCCAATGGTGTTCCCCCCGTGGGGTGAGGCACCGAAATAATTTGCCTAGATCACAGATTGAGTTCTTGAGGAGAAACAAGCATTAAGGTTTCTATTTACAAGATAGATATGAGCAATGAAGGATTCTTGAACTTACATGTGCAATTATAAGTACCGTGCTTCCCGCGCAAGAATGAATTAATGAGATTCTCACTGGGTCATGGCGAATTACGAAATAGGTCCCGGGCTGCCTGTGCAATCGTGTAGAACTAGGACAAAATTGGCTGGTGAAGTTTCTTATTTCCATTTCGTCATCTCAATAACCCGAAAACCTGACTTTGAATTCAACAAGCCAAGGAGTAAGCCGTCGTCTTTCCATCTGTTGAGAGCCTTGCTCTTCCATGTCCCCCACCTCTCGCCTTCGAAGTTGAAGGCGCGCTGGAGTTCTGTGAATAGACGTCAAAACGTCTCCATATGACGATATAGTCGGCAAGATCTTCACGACCCTTCTCACGAAAGATGGCAGCTAGCCGAAATTCATCCCTAGATAGCTCATTGGAGCCATTGTAGAACTCAGATACCGGCCATATCATACACGGGAAACAGAATGCCCCTGCCCTAGAGACGGTTTGCGCCCACAATATCGAAACACGAAACAGTCATTAACTAGAATATGGTCACCCTTGTCGTCCGGGTGCTTGAGAAAGAAGTGGTCGCCTGCTGGGAGAGCTTTGTTAATATCCTGGCGAAATCGATGGATAAGATGGGTGTCTACCGGGTAGTATGGGTCAGTCTCCCTGCCGGCTATCATTGCGATGTATGACTCGAGCATAACCTATACGCGCTCGAGTGGGGAAGAGAATGGACCGAGCGGAGCTTTTCCCACCTGGTATGTTAATGGCTCTGCGAGACCTTGGACTTCTATAACACCTCTCGAGATAAGTAAGCCTATTACTTTAAAGGGAAGCTTCTCAATCTCGACGAATATATCAGCTAACTGTTGTATAGCCTTCTCTTTCTGCCAGGGAGTCGCCGCCTGCTAATTCTGAGCTTTTTTATCTAGCCTTTCTGTAAAAATATAGTTATTTCCAAGTGGATTTCCCTGATCTGATTCGCATGCCCAGTCGAAGATTTTAGGCGTGGGAATACATGTGTGCCGTTGGGGATGGGTTATAGTAGTAGCTTCGGTTCGAAATATCTAATCACGGGGACCTCCCGTGGCGGTGATCAGGTCCTTACGAGGCGAAAACGTAGGAGCCACTTAACGTTATCATCAAATGTGATCTCGGTGTGGCAGTTCTGGTTCCCCATCATAGCAGACAAGCTCTTACGAGACAGGTCAACGGTACATAAGATGCCATTAGATGCCTTCCCTAAGCACCAATGCACGGGAACATAGCTTAGAAGGGTCTATTCGAAGACATAGCTCGTTTATATAACGAGCCTCGGTGGCCGCATATCGAGCAGAGTAGGATTTCCAGTTTTCCTAATAGATGAAAATAAGCATTGCTACTATAGTCGATCTTCGAGCACATATAAGCCTCCGGATTTGGGCATTCATGCCATGCCATGGCTCTTGGCAGTGTGTGCGACAGAGGTGCCTGTCACATAGCAAGCAATCTCCTGCTCTCTGCGCAGCTGGTTCCCCGTAATTATCCCATTCGCACAGCCAGTGAGACATTAGGAAAACTATATCATAATCACATGATCTACCAGAGGTGGTAATGGGTGTAACCGTTTGACAAGGAACAGTGATAAAACGAATGAGGTGCATAAAGGCAACTCATTAAGCCGTCAGGCGGTGTGAAAGAATAGCAAGTTTCAGTCATCATAATAAACAGTTAATATATTGAATTGTCCACATGGCCAATCTTGCTAGCAAGGTTGAAAGTGGTTTGAAATAGTATATCAGGTACATTGTAGCATGGAATATGAGAGTGGAGCATATAGAACATGACAGACAGTCCAGAGCCAGTCTAGCCCGCCTATCTCCTTTTGACCTCCACTTTACTCTCCGCCGTACTCTCCGCCTTATTGCGCCACCGCCTAGCAGATGGAGTACCCTTTGGCTACAATGGTTTCTCTACTACACTCATAACCATTTTCTCCTATTCCTAGGTTTGTTACCTAGACAATTTTCCCTTGCCTCTATCATCATCTCAAAACCTCCATCATTAAAAACCTCCGATCTCAGAATACTCAGCTCTCGATTTGGCATCCTTCCGCTCGCACTCCGTTGGCCAAATAACCCGTAACTTAACTTGTGTCCGGCACATCACATATCGCACGCCACCAAATACTTCGTCGCGTCTTTCTGTGAAATTGGAATTCCTGTGAATTGCCTACAATCCACCGAGAATCCCTCATTACGATACCAACCATCTTGAAACACGTCCCCTCCACCTGTGCCAATACCATCGTCTATCTTTCCTAAACTCCTGGATGTTCTGATCAGGTCCCAGATATTTGTCCTTTGAAGACAGGGTGGACGGCCGGTGGGCCGTCTCACGGATCGAAGGCGGCAGGAGATATTGGACAAAAGGTGTCGAATTCAAGTGACGCCTTTCGCGCCCCTGCTTTTTAGGGCAGACTGTTTCAACTACCCCGCGAATTTCTCTGTTTTCTTTTTTTTACCTTGAATTCTGAATACTAGACTGGCTATGGATGCGCAGTACCCTTTTGCTTCCCGTGACGATATTTGGCGTGTCTTTGATGAGTTGAAGGAGCTCCACATTGCCCAGTACGAGCAAGGTGAACGGCTTGCGCAACTGGAGCGTCGTCGGGACGATGATGCCAGACTGAGGAGTCCTTGGTGTTCTGTCTCGCCATTTCCGCACTCGGTTGGGGCAATGGCTCCAGGTAGTCCACCTCTGCCCTCCGGAATCAGCTCGCCACTTACCAAGACATCCCTTCCAGACCCCGCTTTTCACTCCCCCCGGATGCTTTCAAAGGGTTCGATCAAGGCCACCACTCTGCAATGGCTAGTTCTGCTGTGGGGTTTGATGGCGAGGATGAGCCCAGACGAGGTGCATCGCGAGCCAATAGTGTCCGTTTTGACGAAAGTGCCATCCACGGGAACGCCCAGACTAGCCGTTCCAGCAACGACCTTCCTCCGCGGACTGGTAGCAGCTTAAGTACCCACCCGCTTCTTGAGCGGACATTTTCTCACCAATCTGACGGACGATTGAGCTCATCTGGTCACTCGCACCACTCCGCTCGGACTAATAGCCTGCGCCTGAACACTACCCGGCTGCTTGGTACTACGCCTATCGAGTCCCCTTTGATTCCCCCTCCTGGACTCTTCTTGCTGGGACCGGTCCCATCCATCATTCGGTGCTGGTTGACTGATACTTTCACTAACGACTCTCTCTTGTATGCAGCCGTTTGCTCGGGCTCTTACGTCTCCACTTTGGGTCTCTCCATGGTCCGCGATTTTGGCATGGAGAACATGATCGTGCGCGAAGGCGATGTGCAGCACATCAAGCTTCCGCTCTATCTCCCCGAGGCACTTATTCACCCATCTTCATCCCGTCCCGGAACCCCTACTCACCAAGTTCCTACCGTGACCATCCGCTTCGTGGTTCGGGAGACCGAAGTCGACAATGACTCGATTCAAGTCATCATAGGAAGCGATGTGATGCGCGCCCACAATGCTGATATTTTGTTCTCGCAAGATAAACTGATCATGGTGGACGATGACCACAACCGTGTATCTGTCCCCCTCGTGCGTCCCGAGAAGGACTCCGTGTTCAAATCTCTTTACACTTCCCCTGGTACAGCCCGTCCTGGAGACATACTGGGACCCCCTACTAACGGACATCAATCCGTTGGCATCATCGGCCGACCGGTCAATGTTCAACAAAAGCCTGTCTCTGCGCCTCCGTCAGCTCGTCTACCTAGCAGCGAGAATAACGATCCTCAGAAGTCCCACCTACAGAACCAGCAGGCTGATGCTCACATTTCAGCTGAAATTCACCCAGCCGCTGTCAATCCCTCGACTTCTGAGTCTACTAAAACCGAGGATACTCCTTGGGGCGGCCCATGGCGTCGCGATGCCAAGAAACCCACCACTACCAAAAAGGCGACCGATAAACGTGAGATGAAAGTCTTCCGAAAATCTAGCAGCCACACGAACTCCTCGGCTTCAGCCTCGGCTCCTGGCAGTGTTACCGCTGAGCAGGCGGACAAGTCGTCCCTGCCGACCGCTTCAACCCACCTAATCACTCCTTCGGACAAGCATGGTACGCTGAATCCCGTGGGCAGTGCATCGGCGTTTGGATGGCTCAACCCAGCCCCTCACAACCCCTCGTCCTAGATGAAATACACTAGGCTTGGATTTTATGTTTGATTACATCCGGATCTGAAATGATCTCGGTTTTACGGCATGATATGGAAGGGTTTCGATTCTCTTGGAATCAAGAAAGAAAAGTGAGAATGGGATCAGGCGCTGGGTTCCAAAGCTGCCCTACAAGGAAGAGAGACCACTTTTTCTCTTTAGCTTGTAGCATTGCCGGAATTGATAGCAACGGACATGACATACTAAGTAACAAAAAAATGGAAAAAAAAGTTATGATTACCACTTAATTGGCCAATATCAACTAGAAATACCAATTAGTATATAAACAACCCGGTCCGTGCCCTGGTGCCTGGGAGGTCCACTAGTAAATACAGTCGAGTGAGCCCTCGAGCGCTCCGGGTCTGAAGCCTGGAGGGTCGGTCAGATTCCTGGCAAAATCACTGTCTTCAACTTTCGTTTTCACCTCACTTGCTGAACCATTCGAGAGCAACATTGAAGAACAATGGCACGTCTGTTGGATCTTCCAGCGGAAGTGATTCTATCCATTTATGAATATCTACAAATGGACACAAAGCAGACACCACTGCTATTCTATGAATATGGAGATGCCTATCGGTACGTGAAAGACCGTGATCCTCCACCCAGCGTCAAAAACCTCCATTCTTTCCTGCTCGCCTCCGATCGCCTCCATGGTCGTTTTATTCAGGCAATGTTCTATCGCGATGTATTTGTCCCCAGCCGTGATTACCTCCGTAGAAATTGTGCCAAAAATACTCCGCTGCAACAGCTAGACCGGACTCTTAAGGACGATCCGAGTCGCCAGGAACACATCATTTCAGCGACCATTCCATGTGAAGATTCTGTTGATTTCCGTCAATTCTTCTGGTTCAATAACATACGAAACCTTACTATCATTGATTCGTACGACGGCCATTGGGATCCTTTGAAGTTTGAAGACGACTCCCATATCGGCACTTCACCCGTCGAGTGTCTAAGGCTGATCAGTTGTGAGGCGGATGAGGAGGCCCTGACTACTATATTCAGCTGGCCAGCAGCGTTGAAAAAGGTTCACTACGATGTCGAACAAAGCGCATGGGGGTGCAATTGCGGGGATTGCGGACTCCCACCATGGTCATGTGCTGCTTTTGTGCGTCCACTACAATCCCAAAAAGCATCTTTGGAAGAATTGACAATGACGCGGCCGCCGCTTGTCCATGGAGGACTGGGGGATGGACCTCACATTGACTTGAGCGAGTTCACGGCTCTTAAAACTCTGCGCATTTACCACGTCTTTCTCTGCGGGTGGGGGCATTACTCCCTCTGGGAAAGCTTACCTCGCAGTCTGGAGGTATTGGAGGTCTATTACGATGATTTACAGATCACCGACTACTTATCTGGGGCCGATCAAGGATTGGGCGGTCATTTCATTCCTGATTTGATCAAGCATAAGAGGTCGCACTTTCCACATTTACACACTATGATCATCCACTCGTCCGAAGGGGTCCCTGAGCCGGAGACAGATATGGGTTGGACTATCGGACTCTGGACGGTGCCACCTTTGCTCGCGCAAGAATGTGACGAAGCTGGCGTGAAGCTGAATGTATGGCTGGGGAGTAGAGAGCGTCTCAAGTTTGATGAGGAAGATGACATTCTTCAGTCACTTAAAAGAAGTCAAAGCAAACATCCTATTCCACCAAGCAACAAAGTGGCAGCTCCAAATAACTATATATCAGATTGAATTCCTTTCTAGGGCCTCTGGTATTGATAATCATGTACTATGTGTTATCCTAAACTAAATTACATCAACTCAAATCTTCGAAAAAACACCCAAAGCACCCTTCGTACTCTCCTTCGTCTCCTTAACAAGCCCACTAACGGCCCGGAACGCCTCATGCGAAGCGTCACCAAGAATCTCAAAAAGCACACTCTCACTACTCGTAACAACAGCTCCAGCATCCCTCAGTCTAGCAAGCGCAATCCCTCTCTCCTCGGGATTAATACTGCTAACGCCATCGACGAGGATGTAAACGCGGTGACCGCGCTCGAGGAGATCGAGCGTTGTCTGCGTCACGCAGATGTGCGTCTCGATCCCGACAATTATCACATCGAGCGGTGCTGAGCCTGGGGCTGGGAGCAGCTTCTCGATTTCCGGGGTTATCATTGAGAAGAGGGTTTTGTCTACGTCGGCTCGGATGTGCGGGCCGTTGAGGTGTTGTTGGAGTTCTGGCACGGTGTTGCCGAGTTTGGCGCGGCTTTGGGTTGTTACGAATACGGGGACTTGGAGGGCCGAAGCTGCGCGGAGCATTTTTTCTGTTGTTGAGACGCTAGTTGGTTGGTTAGCCTTTTTTTTGGGTTCAGCTGAGTTTGGGATATGATGCGATTCGTACAGTTTGGGGAACTCGTAGATTCCATTGCGGAATTTGTCTTGGATGTCGCAGATGCTGTGGTAGGAATGGGATGTTAGTTCTGGACTTGGAGTTGTCTCTGTTCTTTTGATATCGTTCTGCGTACAAGAGTGCGGGATTGCCTGTTTGATGTTAGTTACCTGCATTGCATCGAGAGTCGGGGTTTTTCTTACGGATTCGAGATGCGCGGGTGGGAGCAGCCATGATTGCGACGGTTAAGTAGTTTCTATGTGACGATTGAGGGATTCGGGTAGACGTAGGAGTCGAAGAAGTAAAGAGAAGAATTCGCGGGGGGGAATCGGAGTCGGAGATGCGGGGAAGCCGAGGGAAAGTCTGGTATACTTTGAAATTTGTGATTTTTTTATAACATTCAATCAATTATAGTCAGACTTTTGCTTTCGTATGTACACGTATTTACTGATCTCGGTATTCGGTATCTATAGCTTCACCTCATGCACCTTGGCCCGGCCGGCAAACCAGCTATCATCACCGTTTGCCGCAGCTGTACGGATGGCGTAAAGCTCGTCGACGAATGCCGGGACGAAGCTACCCGGTCCGCGAACATACTCTTTGGTCGCTGCATTCTCCGCTGCGATCTCGTACATGAGAATTCCAGACAGCACTGCGAGGAGTCTGTCGGAGCGGTGGGAAGCCAAGAAGCAGCCGGAGATTGTGCCGATGGCACAGCCGGTCTGTCAATTATGTTAGCTGTGTACTGGAAAAAAGGACTTGGAGAGGTTGCGTACTCCGGTCACTTGGCCCAGGTATGGGTGGCCGTTCTCGACGGCAATAACCCGCTCCCCATCGCTGAGGTAGTCTGTTGCTCCGGTCAATAGCACAATGTTTCCTATATGAAATTAGAAAAAGAAAATCACGCAGAGAGATGATCGGGATACTTACGCTCCCTGCGAGCCAGGTCCCGAGCCAAGGTGGCTTTTTGATTGCCGTCAAGGGTACTCGGTCCACTGTCGACACCACGCTGCTGAACAGCACCGCTACCCCAGACTTGGCGGATCTCGCCCTCGTTACCCTTGATCAGATCAAAGTAACCACCGGCCATAAGTTGGGTCACTGCGTTGCGGCGGATTTGTGTCGCAGCCGCACCGACAGGGTCGTAGATCACTGGGTTGCCCCGCTCATTGTATGCCTTGATAGCTTTTAAGTAGTTTGAAACACTATCGCTTGTCAAAGTTCCCATATTGATTAGAAGGGCGCCATCGAACTTGCACAGGTCCGTGGCTTCGTCGCCATACGGAGACATAATGGGAGATGCACCACTGTAGAACGGTCAGCATGGAACATGGCTTGGCTAGGTGCAATATGCTGACATGGACAGGGCAACATTGGCCACGAAGTTCGACACAACGAAATTGATCATGTTGTGCACGAGAGGATGCACCTCTACCATCTTACGGATGATTTGAGGCACCTCGTTCAACAAAACCTCGGCCTCATTAGCACGAGGGGGGTTGGAAGCCTGCGCAAACCGGGGAGGACTTTTGATGAGCTCGGCGAATTGCTCGGCAGATGCTTTGGGGTCATCGGCTCCCACGATGGCACTGACAATGGCCACTCCATCTAGTGCTTTATTTGGTGACTGAGACTGATAGAGCACTCTTTGCACGTTGGAGTGGTTGATACCGCCAATGGAAACAGTGCCTATGGCGGAATCTTTAATGGCATCTAGGATGACTTGAGTACCAGCCGTCCCGATGACTGACTTGGTATTGGTTTTGCTATGGATGTTTAGCGTCTATCGCTATAGCGGAATGCTGGACATGTATGGATGCGGACTTACGTAGGGGTGGCAAACATGGTACCAATTCCGATATAGTCGGCGCCATCTGCGGTGGCCTTTTTTGCCTCTGCGACTGAAGATGTACTGATACCGATAATGGCATTCTTAGGAAGGAGCCTCTTTGCCTCCTCGAAGTCTATATTGGACATTAGTGCACGTACTTTGTGTAGAATCGTAGCAACGAACTCATATCATCTTGACCAAGATGAACGCCCTCGGCACCAATGGCAAGAGCCACATCAACCCGGTCATTGATCAGAAGAGGAACATTGTATTTCTTGGTTACCTGGTGTAGTTTCCAGGCAGTTTCCACCAGAAGACCAGTATCATTGGTTTTGTCCCGGTATTGCACAACCGTCACGCCTGCAGCGGGTTAGCCGAATGATTGGCAAGGCTGGAGCATCACTCACCTCCTTGCAAAGCACTTTCTACCACTGTACACAAATCTCGCCCCTTGAGAATGGCCGGGGTCGAATCTGTGACCAAATAGAGCGATAGATCTACGGGCATGATGTCTTGGCTCCGGACAAAGGCAGAGTGGGGGATTTCGGAGTAATAGATCCAAAGTGTTTGTAACAAAGTGAATCAAACCGGAGGTAAACAGTGAATTCACAGGGTCAGCAGGCTATATTCGTACAACACAAAACACTGTACTTAAGTTGACCGAAGGAGATTGCCGTTTATCGCTGTGTGTCCGTGGTGGGGTCTTGGAAGGTTCGGCCTGTACTCGTCCGGATGTATATAACACTGAACAATTCACTTCTATGGGCTTCAATGTTGGATAAATATCTACTTTGGAACACAAAGAATCTTGAATTTGAAAGCCGATCTTCAACATCACCCTCCTGAAACATCTAGGAGCCCGTGCTGCTATATTCAACGGTCAATGGTCCTCTATACTCCGAGTTATTCCCGACACGTGCTCGCTGACATAACCATGATTTGTCAAATTCTGCTTTTCCTCTTCTTTTTCTTCCTTTTCCCCAATAACACACAAACACTAGGCATCGAGTTAGTTTCGAAGCCTTTTATCTATCCATCGCGTGGACTTATAGTTCTACGCTCTTCATTTTTCCATCACTGGTTAGTTCGGCCTCGCCACCATCAATTTCCATCGTCCGCCAGGCCTCCGACCTCTGACTCGGATTCCCCAAAGAACTTCAATCGTTCCCAGAAAGCTACACGTTGAGAAGTTTCCCGCGAACTTGTCTATGTATTCGTCCTCCGTCCAAAATTTCGAACATCACCTGCCGCTCAAGCTGCAAACGTTTCGCGCGCCGAAACCTTGCAGCATACACCTTCGATCCTGTGGCTGAATACCCCGGATCTTTCCTCGATTTGTTGTGACTTTTCCCCAAGAAATCACATCCTATACCCAAAAAAAAAAGCTTGACACGCATGTCTTGTCTCGTCAACAACATCATCATCCATAAATCTCCCAGCTTTCCTTTAGGCAAGCCAAGCGTTCCATTCTAGAACCAATAGCTCAATCAAACCGTCATCATGGCCACCGTCAACATTCGCCGGGATATCACCGATCCCTTCTATCGCTACAAGATGGAGAAGCTCCAGGCTAAGGTCGAGGGCAAGGGCAACGGTATCAAGACCGTTGTCGTCAACCTGAACTCGGTTGCTCAGTCCCTCAGTCGCCCCCCTGCCTATCTCATCAAGTACTTCGGCTTTGAACTTGGTGCCCAGGCCAACGCTAAGCCCTCTGACGATCGTTGGATCATCAACGGTTCTCACGACGCCCCCAAGCTCCAGGACTATCTTGACGGCTTCATCTCCAAGTTTGTGCTGTGCAAGAAGTGCAAGAACCCCGAGACCGACGTCTCCATCAAGGACGAGAAGATCACCCTGGACTGCAAGGCCTGTGGTCAGCGCTCCGATGTCGACCCTCGCCTCAAGCTGAGCACCTTCATTGTTCGCAACAACCCCAAGGGTGGCAAGAAGGAGAAGAAGAAGTCTCGCCGCGAGCGAAACAAGGAGAAGGCTGCCAATGGCGAGGATGCTAGCCCTGGCGACAGCAACAACTCCGAGAATGATGATGGAGATTTTGCCCTCGAGGCTCATAGCGATGATGAAGTGACCCGTCAAGCCCAGGCCATCGAGGCTGAGGCTGAGATCAAGGATGATGAGTGGGCCGTCGACGTTTCCGAGGAGGCCGTGAAGGCACGTGCCAAGGACCTCCCCTCCGACCTCAAGCGTGCTCTTGTCATTGAGGATGGTGACGACGAGGGAGCTGATGGACCCTCGTCCTACGAGCAGCTGGGCAGCTGGATCGTTGAGACTGCTGCTGAGAAGGGCGGTGTTACCAAGGTCACTGATGTTGAGATCTACATGAAGGCGAAGGAGTTTGGTATTGAGACCAAGCACAAGACTTGCGCCGTGCTGGCACAGAGCATCTTCGACGAGAAGATCGCCAAGCAGATCGAATCCCGCGCTGGTTTGCTCAAGAAGCTGATCACCTCCGATCGTCACGAGAAGGCTTTCCTCGGTGGTACCGAGCGCTTCGTTGGCCAGGATCACCCGGAACTTGTCGCCCAGATCCCTGCCATCCTGCTGGGCTACTACCAGAACGACCTTGTGTCTGAGGAAACCCTCAAGGCTTGGGGTGCCAAGACCAGCAAGAAGTACGTCGATATCTCGACCAGCAAGAAGATCCACAAGGCTGCTAAGCCCTTCATCGAGTGGCTCGAGAATGCCGAGAGCGACGAGGAGAGCGAGGAAGACAGCGAGTAGACGATAAACGTTGCGTAAGCTGTTATGTATCCTTCGTTATTTGCTATCTGCGTCCATTCTTAGATTGAACCCAGGCATTTTTGGACCTCCGTCGGATCTACCCATCTCGCATAGGCTGATCATTTCGCCCGTCATTTTAGTTTAGCTCACCATTCGCCACTCCTTTGCAATGAATATCAATATGGTATCAATAAGACGAGTTTTATCCCCATTAGTAGCTGCTGAAGTACATGTACAAGTGAAGTAGAGCAAAATACAATATAGTCATACCTTATGCCATTGCTATCAACAACGAAAAGGAACAACTAGAACACCACCTCGGCAAGTCTAACCTGCTCCCCCTCGCCATTGAAAGGGAGATTGATAGCACCACCATAGTTCCCAACATTCCCTGTGGTAGCCACATCCGCTCTCAAGCGATGCTGCATAAAGACAAACCATGTCAAATCCACATTCCAAGCCTCCATCGCCCGAATCGCATCCTCAACAGAACCCATACCTTCACCAGACGCAGTATCCTTCACAGACAATGCAGTCCTCGAAGAAATGAAGTAATACTCAGGTCCGACAAACAGCGCAATCCACCCACCAAGCATCTCGCAAATCCTATCACCCACCTCCAACGGTAACCGGACATGCGAGAGAACCGTAATAAAGAGGGAGATCAATGCACGCCACAGACGGTGGTGCAGCGTGAAGAATCTCGACCCCGGCGTCGATGGCGAAAGCGAAAGAGACGAAGAGAGGGCTAAACGTAGAGTGGACGCCGGGTCTCCTAACTCAGCGACGGCCGTAGCCTGAGATCTGGCACGGCGCTCGTTCACGGCCTCGGCGTCAGCGCGCACTTTCTCCCACACACGCCGGTACAGCCGGTCCCAGCGGGAGAACTCCGTTTCGACGCGCGTGGCCATGAAATCTCCTGCGCCTTTGCACATTGCTTCGATGACTTCACAGGCTGTTACCGTGACAAAGGTTTCCTCTTGGTGGTCTGGGGTTTCGGGGTTCCGGGTTGATTCTGTAGATGGGGTGATGAGGGATTTGGATGTCTCGTTTGCTTGTGACGAGGGGAAGATTATTCGGCTTGCTACTGTGGGCCAGAGTTCGTTTATTAGAGGGAGGAAGCTGGTTTCGTTTTGGGATAGAGCGGGTAGGACATCGATGAGGATCGAGAGGAGGGAGCGTCGGAGGTAGGGAGATGGTGAGCTTAGGTGGGATGGGATTGATTTGACGATGTGGAGGAGGAGGGCGTGGGTTTTGCTGAGCAGCTTCTCGGCGTCTTCTGGTTCTTTAGGGGGTGGGAGTGGTGGCTCGTCCGATTCGGCCTGGTTTAGAAGCTCTTCGATGGACGGCTCTGGAGGCGGTTTGTCGTATGTTTCTGACCATGGCTTTTTGGGATGGGGGATTTTGCCATCAGCATCTACTAGTTCATCCTCAGCATGTCGTTTGGCTTTGCGGTTGACAATGTTGGCGGCGATGGCGGAGATTGAGAGGTTTTGGTATTGAGACTTGCGGGTATCGTGGGCACCATTTTCTTTGCCCTCGTCGATGGTGAGCAAAGACGGTTTCTTCGCCCCTTCCTCGACGACGGCAGCTAGAGTTTTGAACATCATCTCAACGAGCTTGGGATAACCGTGGTATAGATCCAGGATACCAAATATAGAATCAACTAGATCATCCAGATAAGGTATCAACCGGGCACCACAAAGCTTGACCATCATGAACAAGACCTGTGGCGGATATGGAGATACATCGAAAGTATTAAGTTTCAAGGCCACCGAGTTCACCAAATAGTCCACATTTTCAATGATCATAGTACTCGTGTCTGGGTAGTTGCAGGCATTGGTCAAAATATTCAGGCATGTCATGGCGTGGCGTTGAAGATTAGAATTATGTGATGCCAACAGCTGTAAAGTTGGGTAGAGCGCGTCTATGAGTTCAGGTCGGAAAGCCTCGCCAAGTTGTTCGGCTTGGAGAGCCACAGATTCCAGAGCGAGTGCTGATGTACGCCAGTCACCCGTTCCATCAACTGGCAGTTCGTTCAATATATTTAATGAGATATAATATAACTCTTCAATCATTTCACCACGGCCAGTTGACGAGACAGACCCTTCAACATTATCAAGAGAGATGAAATCGTCAAAGTCGGCTGTTGCGGTGGTGCTGTCCCGCAAAAAAGTCATCGCCAACCAGAAAGGTGCAATAGCAGAATCACTTGATGTCGTGTGCATATGGTTGACAATTGATCGAGTGATTTCATTCCCAGACTCTGACAGGTTCAATCTAGTAATCATTGACCGTAGATCTTTGAGAGTTTGCTGCTGGCTTTGGTGTTCCAAAATGATGGGTGGAAACACCTTAGATCTAGGATCAGTGCTGAGCACCTCCCAGTTGAAGTCAGGATCCATTGAGGTCAACGGCTGGAGAGCATTGGTGTTTTGCTTGACAACGGCACCAACGCTATCACATAGGCCGGATGCCAAACTGCTGGTAAGCAAATCTGATCCAGATTGAACTTGGGACAGGACTTGAAAGACAGTGGAGATCTGACGAAGCCCCCACTGCTTAGCAGTTTCATCGTTGCCTTGCATGATTCGAGGGAAAGAAGTGAGCCAGGTATGCAACGATTCTTTCAAGGAATCCAACACCGTATGGTAAGTTGTGGCAAGATGAGTTAGATTCTTGTAGGCTTCATTCACCCCTTCGTCCTCTTTATCTGCCAGAACAACAACTGTTTCAACCATTATAGGGATCGACTCTGAAAGTGTAGTCTGGCACTCTTCGATTACCATCAGGGAGAGGTCTAGGACGGCGGACTGGACCTCTGATCGCTGATGGCGGCGAACCTGGATAACATTGGCAAGCGCAAGCTTGATCTGTGTTGTGGTGGCCTTCAACCAGGATTCATCCAAAGCTATCTTATCGCTTCCCAGCTCGGGCGGGGAGACCTCCGAGGCGACACGGTCATTGAGAACAGCTCTTAGGAGCTGCGTGAGAATCTGCAAGGAAGTCTGGAGGAGCTTGTATGACCTGCGAGTCTGTGTTGACGGCCTTAGAACCTTGGCCAGTGCCGACACAGTTCGCGGCATGATGCTGGCAAGCACCACACGGTCCGTGACACGAGCATAAAGTACTTGCAAAGCCTTGGCGGCTGCCAGACAGAGGTCATCTGATCTATCATCAACAATCCCCTCAAGCAGAATATATACTGTTTGATCAACAACCGTCGCCGTGCCGATCTCGTGATAGATTGTTCGTTCTGCCACAGCTCCTTCCAAGACCGTAAAGATAGCACTGAGGCAGTCAAATCCAGCAATACACAGTTCTTCTGAGACCTTAGGCTTCGGTAGCTGCTTCTCTTCCGCTTTGTTTGGGGAGCCCCCCACGATCAATGTCAACAAGATTATGAGTTGCTTGCCCATTGCAGGAGACAGCCGTTGCCGCCATCCATTGGCGACCAGGATCCGCAAGCATTGAACGGCGGACTCCAGGCATTGTGCGGGCAGTCTTTGGGTCTCATTGAAGATATGTGACAACGGAAAGAATGCATATTCAGCTAGCTTCTCGTCAAGAGTATTGTTCGCCGCAAGTTCCTTTAAACAGTTGTGCACCGGCTCAAGGACTCGGGATACATCGGCGGCGGAAGCTTGGTTTCCTCGGAAACGAAGGCCTACAGCGCTGAGTTCGACGCATGGCACTCGAAGCTATTTAGATATCAGCTTTCTTCCTCCTAAGAGCCAAATGAATCATATCATACCTGCTTGAAAGATTCCTGCCGGAGGTTGTCCATTGCAGCTGAACAACGCCGGGCAGCGTCAGACTTTCAAAATGATAGGCTGGGTTTGGAGTGGGTAGTAGTACTAGATTAGTGAAACATCAAGAGCTCCATTGTAAACATCGACTAGCAGCGGACCCATCCCGATCGAATATAGCGGGACTGCATCCCAAAACCGCACCGCTCTGTCATCATCTGCCGGCACAATCAAGCGGTGAACATAATCTATCCCAAACGGGCAAGATAACACTGCACGTGATACATTAGCGCGTCTCAACGCGTGGGAATCCCGACAGCTGCCTGCGACAGAGAGTGACAACGAGTGTTGCCTTGGCTATTTCAGCTGCAGCTTAAGCCTGCTTGAACTATATATTGGGCCATATTCCGTGCCCATTTGACTCCGAGAGAATTGCCTATGCGGCTTTTGCGGATTCCAGAGTTTGCGCTTTTATCGCTCTCGCGCTCGAGACCTAGCTTCTGCATACGATCTGCAGCACAACATAATTTCTTGACCACACCAATCTCTAAGCTATCGACAATCTTTCTACCTGCCAGCATTTCTACCCAGCAAAAATCTAATTTCAACAAAACAACGTTCTCACACTCGCGAATCATGGCCGATGATAAGAGTAGGAAACAGGCTACCCTGGGGTATGTACGGGATGGACAGCAGACGATTGGGTGCGTCGACAATATTCGATGGCGCATGCGCCCTTTCACTTTAGTCTTCCTCAGCTCTTGTTTTGGTTCACTTCGCTAATTCAATCTATTCGTAGGAGATTTTTCGGCTCGGGCGTGAACCAACCACCGAAGAAGCAAACCACATTAGCTTTCGGCGGCAGAAGACAAGCAGCAAGCAGTGACGTTGCTGACGCGGAGGCCAAGGATACTACTGACGGAGCTAAGGTGGAGGACGCCACCGACTCAGCACCAACTGCTACCCTCAATGGAACAGAGCCAACGAACGGTGTGAAGCGGGAAAAGAGCGCCGAGGCGGAAGAAAGCGATGGTTCCGATATTCAGCCTGTCTCTAAAAGGCGACGAAAGGCCTCTGCGATGACCTCTCCAGCTGCCAAGAAGCAATCGGAATCCCCGAAGAAACCCGAGCCTACAAAGCCAAAGGTTGAATCGCCATCACCAAAATCAGTCATGAAAAAACCTGCCGATGTTACTCCCGAAGAGAAGTCACCGTCAGCAGAAGAAGAGGAGGACCCATTGGAAAGCGAAGATGAAGATGACCTCAAGCCAGAGCTCACGAAGAAATCAATCCAAAACTTCCAAGCCAAATTGAAAGGCAGTGGCAAAGATCCATACCCAGACTGGAAAGCAGGCGCTCCTGTTCCTTATGCTGCGTTATGCACTACATTTTCTTTGGTAGAAATGACCAGAAAGCGCTTGGAAATCACGGACCACTGTTCTCTTTTCCTCCGCCAGGTTCTTCGCCTGACCCCTGCCGATTTCCTACCCACTGTTCAGCTGATGATCAATAAACTGGCTGCCGACTATGCCGGAATTGAACTGGGCATTGGAGAGTCACTGATCATGAAAGCTATCGGTGAATGTACCGGCCGCAGCCTTGCCGTCATCAAAGCCGATCAACGGGAAATCGGAGACCTGGGACTGGTCGCTGCCAAAAGTCGGTCAAACCAGCCTACGATGTTCAAGCCCAAGCCTTTGACTGTTCGGGGTGTACATGAAGGCCTGCTTGGAATTGCCAAAGTTCAGGGCCATGGATCTCAGGACAAAAAAATTTCTGGCATCAAGAAACTGTTGGCTGCAGCTGATGCCGACCTTGTTGGCAAAGGAGTGGATATCACCGAGAACAAGGGCGGTCCCAGCGAAGCCAAATTTATCGTTCGGTTTTTGGAAGGTAAACTGAGACTAGGACTCGCAGAGAAGACAGTTCTTGTCGCTGTTTCTCGGGCAGTCCAGACTCACGAGGCTGAGTCAACCGGCAATAAGATCCCGTCTGCAGAGCAAATGGCGGAAGGTGAAAACATCTTCAAGGCTGTTTACAGTGAGCTTCCTGCCTACGAAGTAATCATTCCTGCTGTTCTTGAGCATGGTCTCCTCAAGCTGCCTGAAGTGTGCAAGCTTTCTCCCGGAATTCCTATCAAACCCATGCTTGCCAAACCAACTAAATCTATAACCGAGGTTCTTGACCGGTTCGAAGGGAAGGAGTTTACTTGCGAATATAAATACGATGGAGAAAGAGCACAGATCCATTTTGTGTCTCCGGATTCTATCCACCAGTATCCTGGAGCCTTGGTCACATTACAGAAGGACAGCAAGGGACTCTCCTCAATCTTCTCCCGCAACTCGGAGGACCTATCGAAGAAGTATCCCGATGTTCTAGGCAAGCTTGACACGTGGGTTAAATCTGACGTTAAGAGCTTTGTTCTTGATTGCGAGACTGTCGCATGGGATACAGAGGCCAAAAAGGTTCTTCCATTCCAGCAACTGATGACTCGCAAGCGCAAAGATGTCAAAGCGGAAGATGTCAAAGTTAAGGTCTGCGTGTACGCCTTTGATCTTCTTTTCTTTAATGGAGAGGTAAGACCATTTCCCTCTTTAATGTCTACATAAGAGCGATTCGCTGGGTCCTTTTCCTTCCTCTTTTCTCCTTTCTCCCGATTCCGTGTTCTTTTCCAATTATGGCGAGGATGATGAGAAGAAAAGAGGCACAGCGATTGGCTTTGAGTCATACCTAGTTTTTCATGCTAACTTTCTAACAGCCTTGTGTGAAGAAGTCTCTACGGGAACGACGAGAGCTTATGCACCAATGCTTCCAACCGGTTGAGGGGGAGTTCCAGTTTGCCCAATATGGCAACTCGAATGTCCTCGATGAGATCCAAGAATTGCTCGAGGCCAGTGTTAAGGCTTCTTGTGAGGGCCTTATGGTGAAGATGCTGGACACAGCAGAGAGTGGCTACGAGCCAAGTAAGCGGAGTCGCAACTGGCTAAAGGTATGGTGCCTCTTGTTTGTTGGTTCCTGCAACCGTTACTAACTTTTTACACAGGTCAAAAAAGATTACCTCGCCGGCGTTGGTGACTCCCTTGATCTTGTCGTGCTTGGGGCCTACTACGGTCGTGGAAAACGTACTTCAGTTTATGGTGCCTTCCTTCTCGCTGCCTATAACCCCGGCAGCGACACATATGAGACCATATGTAATATCGGCACTGGCTTCTCCGAGGTGCTACTTGAAGAGCTACACCAGACACTAGTTCCTCTAGTAATTGACCGCCCAAAGCCATTTTACACTCACTCGGCCGTCCCCAAGGACCAACCGGATGTCTGGTTTGAGCCAAGACTTGTGTGGGAAGTGAAAACAGCCGACTTGACCCTCAGTCCACGCTACCAAGCCGCTGCTGATGAGTTCCAAGGAAAGGGCGTGTCTCTACGTTTCCCACGGTATATAAAATCCCGCGACGATAAGAAACCAGACGAGGCTACCACCACCCGTGCTGTGGCGGAGATGTATCGGAAACAAGAAGCAGTCACCAAGGATACTAAGGGAGGTGTGGATGATGACTTTGAGTATTGAAGCGATTTGTCAGGCGAAATATAGCGAGTGTAATTGAATTCATTGGATATGAATATCCCCGCATCTTCCAGTCGTATTCATCTTCTAAATTGCACCGCTACTCAGATGGGGTACATCAGCAGGGCTTACCAAGGTGCCACTATAGCCTTCCTGTGCCTCTATATGATACCAGGGATTATGACCCGTAGGCACCAATTGATTGGTTTACTTTTGATCTAACCATCTCTTTTAGGACAATGCCCCTGTTGATCGGTATCTAATATCATGACCTTATTCCATAATCCCGGCTATCAACGGATTGTTAGCGGACTCCGGACCCTCGGGATGCTTGGCACTGCAACTAAGCAGCCGGACCCTGCTTGGCCCTAGCTCGGCCCCGCGTCCCGCCTTTCTTTGTTGGTATCACGTCTTGCTAGTGTCTTGGAAACAGCTGACAGCAGGAAATAACACCATCCGTATCTTTCTTGGCACCGCGGAATGTAACGTGCCCCCCTTCGACGGCAAATTGCCCTCTCCGCCATGGCTACTAGCTGGCTGGGCGTGCGGAGTCGCAACATTTATATTTCAGTGTCGGCTCGGCATACATCCCGTCTAGTACTCTGCACGTTTCTCTTGAGCTGTGTAGCTACATACTTGATTTTCGATATGCGTGTGTTTCAATTGACGACGGCCCTTGGGTCGATCGTCGTTTCTGCGGTAGCTCTTACTCCCGAGTCAGTGCCGATCTTCCAAGCCGATTGTTTCATTGTGCTTCTTGGCCGGTTGCTGATTTTTTTTGTAGACAACTTATTTCGGCTCCCAGACGGAGTGACGCTGTTCCTAATCCATCTGGAGTGAGTTGCGCTATTGTATATTGATGCCGATCAATTATTAACCTCACATAGGAAGTCGCGTTCTTTTCCACCTCTGAATACTCCTTTGAGACTCATAAAACATCATCATGGTGGAGTCTGCTGGACTTGGAGACTGGAAAAGTGACTAAACTCACCGATGACAGCAATGTCTCCGAATTGGCTTGGCTGGGGTCTACTGACTCGAGTCTGTTGTATATCAACGGCACCAATTCCGAAATCCCTGGAGGTACCGAGATCTGGGTGTCAGATACCTCTGATTTTGCCGGCTCGTAAGTTTACATGCATATTTGGATGAAACGGTTCTAACCTCTGTGCAGTGCCTACAAGGCAGCTTCACTGCCGGCGCCACTTTCTGGCCTCAAGACGGCCATCACCAAGTCTGGTGACATTAACTTCTTGTTGTATGGAGAGTCCTACCCCAATGGAACGGCATACAATGCAGAGCTCGCCGCCACTCCCCTGAGCTCGGCACGTATCTACGATAGTATTTACGTCCGCCACTGGGATACCTGGCTCACGACGAGATTCAATGCTATCTTCTCGGGAACTCTGAAGAAGAAGAGAGCCGGGCATGGAGCGACATCCCGCTACACTTCTAGTGGATCTCTCAAGAATCTTGTCGCAGGAGTCAAGAACCTTGAGTCGCCCTACCCGCCATTCGGCGATTCATCTGAGTATGACCTCTCCTCCAACGGAAAATTGGTTGCATTCAGGAGCAAGGCGCCTGAATTGCCACGTGCAAACAACACTGCTTCATATATCTACCTTGTTCCCCATGATGGATCCAAGAATGCCGTGGCTATCAATGGCCCAGACAGTCCTGGCACACCGAAAGACATCAAGGGTGATTCGAGCAGTCCTATCTTTTCCCCAGATGGCCGTAGCCTTGCATACCTCCAAATGCAAGATATCTCTTACGAGTCAGATCGTCGTGTTGTCTACATTCACACCATTGACTCCAAGGATACTATCCGTACCTTGGCGAAGAACTGGGACCGGTCACCCAGTGCTATCAAATGGACTGCTGACGGGAAGAATCTTGTTCTGAACACCGAGGATTCTGCACGTTCTCGACTTTTCTTGCTCCCTGCCAACGCTGGTAATGATTTCCAGCCTAAGAACTTCACCGATGCTGGGTCAGTGGCTGCTTACTACAGCCTGCCTAGCGGAGACTACCTGGTTTCTAGCTCTGCTATCCACACTAGTCGCACTGTTTACACCGCTAAGCCTGGCAAGGGTGTCACTGGCGTTATCTTCTCTGCGAACGATGTTGACCCCGCCCTGAAGAGCCTTGGTCCATCGCAGGTTGATGAGTTCTACTATAAGGGCAACTGGACAGATGTAAGTCCACTGTTTTCTCGTGGGACTGAAGAGACATTAATGTTAATAGATTCATTCCTGGATTGTTTACCCCTCGAACTTTGACAAGTCGAAGTCGTACCCGCTCATGTTCTTGATTCACGGTGGTCCTCAAGGTTCCTGGGCTGACTCTTGGAGCAGTCGTTGGAACCCCAAGGTCTTTGCCGATCAAGGATATGTGGTTGTCACACCCAACCCGACTGGTAGCACTGGATTTGGTGATAAACTCACGGATGAGATCGCGAACAATTGGGGTATGTCATTCCCACCACTCATTCTCATTCTTACCTTCTAACGATCAACAGGAAGCTATCCTTACGATGACTTGGTCAAATGCTTTGAGCATGTCCGGGATAACTTCGACTTTGTTGATACCGATCGCAGTGTGGCAGCTGGCGCCAGCTACGGTGGCTTCATGATCAACTGGATCCAGGGTAACCCTCTGGGCCGTGAGTTCAAGGCACTGGCCAGCCATGATGGCACATTTGTGGCCGATGCGAAGGTCTCGACTGAGGAACTGTGGTTCATGGAGCATGAGGTATGTATCTTCTTTGTGGCATATGCTCGATTCGTATACTAACTCTTCCAAAGTTCAACGGCACGTTCTGGGACAACCGAGACAACTATCGTCGGTGGGATCCATCCGCTCCAGAGCACATTAAACAGTTCTCTACCCCACAGCTCCTCATCCACAGTGATTTGGATTATCGCCTTCCCATCTCTGAGGGTCTGGCGCTTTTTAATGTCCTGCAAGAACGAGGTGTTCCAAGCCGGCTGCTCAATTTCCCTGACGAAAACCACTGGTAAGTACAATTGCTGCTTTTCAATGGGAATGCATCATCCAAGATTCAAGAGAGCTGACTCAATATCATTGAAATAGGGTCCTCAACAAGGAAAACAGTCTCGTCTGGCACCAACAGGTCTTGGGATGGCTCAATAAGTACGCTGGCATCGACACCCCTGGCTCTGTCAGTTTGGATGACACTACAGTTCCTGTTGTGGATTACAATCCTTAATTCTAGGGCTTGCTTTTTCTAAATGGGGGTCTGTATGTCATGTCTCAGACATTTTGTTTCAAGATGTTTGTTTCATGGTAAATATTTCACAGTTTCTACGCTGTTTCCAACTTCTATACATGAACAATGTATCATCGCAATGTATTATCGCGATGTAAAGACCTTTTCTTATGTGATTTGTGTAATATGGTTGCTGTCTCATGGAATCTGGCGGGCTACGCATGTAAAAAGTTTCCAGTTGCCTACAAACGTTTCCCAGCAAACGCACCTCCTTCCCACATTCTCTCCCTTTAAATTTCGTCTTCTCTACCATCTCTCAGTTTTATCAACTTCCTCATTTAACATCATGCCCACTAAACTTTCCTCTTGTAGGGGTGCTAAGAAAGGTATGTCCCACACTTTGTCCCCTCACCCATCATGCTCGCCCATCAGAAAGAAGAAAAGAGGTATACAATCAGCCATTCAAGAGCGAGTTAACAGCAGCTCCCCAGGAACCCCCAAGATGGAGCCCTCTACCCCAAGTGAGTATTGCAATCAACAGAGCTTCAACGAGCTTTGCTCCATAATGCTACACAATATACAGCTTCTGACCACTATGCTTCTGGTGCAGAGATCAAATCTGAGATGTCTTCCCCCACTCCCGCTCCTGTCGCCAATGATGAGAACGAGAGTGAGTACAGTTTTGACTTGACTCCTGTCCCAGACCCAGCCCTATTCCCATGTACCGAGGATGATCTTACCTTATGCCACGCAACCACTGGAGATCCCACTGGCTACCCTATCTTTGTTTCCCGAAATGGACGCTGGGACTGGTATTATCTTGCCTCTAACAACAAGACTATAGAGTCTTCCGCAACCTCTGCCAATGATACGGCCAACGAAAATGCCAAGAACATAAAGAGTGAGTTGGCCAATGATCTCAGTCTTTCCCCGAACCAATTTCCTTACACTGAGGACGACATCACCCTGTCTCCCTGTCCTAATCCCGGTACCAATCCAGCCGACAACCCCACCTTCTCTTCTCAAAATGGACGTTGGGAATGGATGTTTCTCCCCTCTAACATGGACACAGAGTCCTCCCCTCCCAAGGTCAAGATGGAGGACATCCCGGAAACCAATACACGGATGCAGCGACCGAGCAACCCCGTCTCCGCCGCATTCTCCACCGCCAACCTGGACCGCTTCGGCTTCCCCTACGACGTCCCCGGCAGCGATGATGATATCTCCACGCTGCCCTCGCTGGAGGAAAACATAGCCGAGCAAGCTAGAACCGCGAAGCACGTGAGATTCTTCATGAACACTTCCCACGACAAGCACTTCATCCCCATCGAAGTCGCCCCTCTCACTAGCAATGAGAACTGGCAATCCTGGTTGGCCGCCATGCGTCTGCTTTTCCGTCAGCACTCGGTGTGGCCTGTTGTGACTGCCGAGCTTCAGCCACTGAATCCTGGCCACAACCTGTACCTGTGGTACCAACGCATGTGCGACTGTGCAATCGGCCTTATCTACACCAATGTCTCTGAGGAGGTCCGGAGGTCCCCTTGTTTCATGACCACCGCGCGTGAAGATGATCCTGATGTTTTGATGTCTCATCTGTACGCTCACTATTCCTCGCCTGATTCGGATCACGTTCATGAGGAGGATGAGCTTGACTAGATGGATTGTGCTTGGGGTTTGACAAGGATCTGCGTCTTGTGGGGAGTGTACATTGCAACATGTACATGTCCCAGGTTTCCTCTCACCCGGACCGGACCTTTTGATATCCGATCTTTGATGCTCTTTAATTTCCATGTAGTATGCAGCTACTAGTTCCTTTTTCTTGAATCTCAACAAATTGCTTATTCTTATCTATTCTTACCTTGGTAGTTCAACGTTCTTCTACTCAATCAAGTCACCGGTTGTCTACCAATGTATTTCCTGTCTTAGCGCCGCGTATTCATCTGATGATGAAGCTAGGGCCGTGTGCGTTTTCAGTCATTACTTGATAGGCATGGTTTCATGGGCATTTTTCCCCCTTGAATTTCAAACGAAAGCCGTGGGATCTCATTTGAGATAGTATCTCAAGGCATTCGGAGGGGTCCATATCAGGGATCCCAGTGATATGGCATAAAATTTCTCGGGGCCGAATAATAATGACACTTCCGGGTTGCGAGGGTGCAATTCTGCTGATAGTTGTTTATACTCTGTACTCTGTATATTGTACACGTAGGAACAATACAGGCAGTACCCCAGAGAAGTTAATATACAGTAGACTGGTCTCTCTTGGCAGTTAGGGGCTGGAAAGAAATCGAAGAGTATAATGTGAGAACAAATACAGCGTATTTTACCAGACCACACTTAAAAACCAAGGTCTCTTTGTATGTCTAGCTCATATCTTGTCTGACATAAACCTAATTGCCAGCTCATGTCTAATCTCCGAGCTCGCTTGATTCCAAGGCAAATGCAACATTGGGGCGACCTTAACGGCATAAAATCTTTTTGAATACTGCTAGTCTCTCTTGACAACGGGGTACACCATAGACCTTGACAAGTGGGAGTTGGTGCTGCCTTCAATGTTGGCATTTTAACCAGCTGACCACCTTTAGTAACCTTTTAACTTAACTAGGTATAGTCGCAGCACTATACACTAAAGTTGGATTTAGTGCAGCACTATCAAGCATTGGAATAGACATGCATTCGTAATATACTTCATTTGTGGAAAAGAGTTTCGTTCAAGCAAAGTACGTGCATGGATGCATCCGGCGTCGATTTCACGACCCTCATATTCTACATATAATTGGAGATTCCGAAGCTTTTTATAGGTCTCCCCCAGCCCTCATCCTTAAGTACACTTAGCGCTCGCCGAGAAAATGAGGGGTTACAAGCAGCTGATAGGTATAAATAGAGAATACACACTCCTACACCTCTCTGAATTCGCTTCTTGGACGAACGTCCTGGCTCTATTGGTATGCCTCGGTGGGTATATCGCCGACTTCAAGTGTTGAATCGACCCGTATGTCAAAGTGCATACCGACTAGAGCGTCCCCCTTGCAATATATATAGGCACAATAACACAAAAAGACCCCCAACCCCGATCTAGAACCCATTCAAATTCTTCTGCGCCGTAATAACATCCCCCTTATCCACAAAGTCTACTAGCACCACATTCGGCGCACGCCCATGCAGCCCAGCACATAGCGCCGCCTGAGCGCCAATACTACCACGCCCAGTTGCAGCATTGGTAGTGCCTGCCTGGTGTCGAGCTGGAATCTTTATGCCGAGAACATCGACGTCAAGGAAGTGGTTGACAATTCCCATACGGTCCGTAGCGGCGGCGCCAGAGGGCCGGTCGATACTACAGTTCGAGAAAGTGGCGTCTGTGACGTCGTAGGCTGTCTCAAAGTAGTAGGCAAATTCGTCTTGGATGTAGTTCACTTGTTTGGTGTCCGCACCGTAGTCTGGAAATTGTTAGTCTTCAGTTATATATAAGTCTTTGTGTTTGCTGTTTTACCTAGGAATACGACTAATCTCTTTCCGCTGGAGATCATATTACCCAGTGTGGGCCAGTCTGCAATTGGTAGCGGATTTGAGGAGGGGATGTAGGCATAGTTAGAAATCCCGCTGCTGGAGAAAGTGTCTCCGAACTCGGTGATTGATACAGAGTCTCCGTTTGTCAAGAGGAGAGTGACGACTTCGTTCGGGTTTGCATCCAGCCAGTCCTTGATAGTCGTCAAGAATGATTTGAGGGGTCCTGCGTCTTCGAGGAGACATGACGTATGGCACAGCTCTATGATGTTCTTATCAATGATAGAGTGATGTGTTTGTGCTTGCAGGTACCGGATTCCCATATCGAGCTGGGCTTTTATATCGATGTTTTGATTCTGCTGGGGTAGGGGTCCGACAAAGGGGGAGTCATGGGCACCTATGAATGTGATATTTGAGTAGGACCGGGTGCAGTAATCTGTGCGGCCATTGCAGGTCTCGGCTAGGGTTGATATCGAGGGAGTGGAAGAGGATGTAGATACTGAGGACTGAGATGCTCGCGGTACTAGTGTTCCTTGTCCTGACACTGCAAGAGCAGGCTCCAGGAGGAGGAGAGCACTCATAACCGCATGTGTCAGTCGCTGGTAGATTTGAGGCATCTTGTTATAAGTCGCTTTCGGCTATACTTGGTTCTGAGCGAGAAGCGCAAATGGGCTCTGTTTCCCCTTTTATGTCCCAAGGCTGCATTCTTGTGCTTGCAGATATCGTGATAAATATCTGCTATTCTTAATCACGCAGGAGCAACAGCTGGCCCCCCGCAAGAGTAATATCAGCTGCCCTCGCGGGGGTGACATGCTCATGTCGGTTCTTACTTTCCCGAGATCCATGTCGATCTTTGACCTAATTAAAACCCAAAAGCAAAGAAAACTGAAAATGACCATAATCACGTCGGCTGTGAGATATGGTGCTGGAGAGTTATACTCATAATGATGGGACATGATGCTGACTGGAATATCCCTGTATCCTCGTGACCGCAACCACACACCAATAGCAGGTCTCAGCAATGGTCATCATCCTTTTTTTGGGATGTGCCCCAGATAACTCAATCTTGGAGAAGCTCCTCTGTATATTCGAGTGATTTGAGATAGGAGAGGCTCAGTGTTGCATTATATCTCGTTGGTACTAGCCTCCTGTGTGGGCAAGGGGCGGAACACGCGATTCGGTAAGGCTGAAAAACTTTTGGTAGTGAATATGGACGGTCTGTTATTTTCTAGTGCGGCAGACTTTAATTCTGTCACAGAATATCATGAAAAGGGTTCGTCCTGTTCAGTTCCTAATATTCACGTTTCAAACGTGGATATACTGCTCAGAGTCAGCTACAGACGTGCACATGTCAAGTACTATCCTTGGACCCCTCGGGATACCTTATTTTTTTGAGCATCTCCCTTTCTCGTCTTTATTCTTACTGGGCATTTCCATATATAATGTTTCTGGTAAAGGTACATAACTATAGTTTGCCCCTCGAGGTCGGATCCAAGGCATTCTTCAGGCTTTGACAGGTTCTAGAAACCCACACAGTTCTTCCCTTTGAAGCCTCTAACGTTCATGTAGGCCATTTTTCACCCCTGGGCCACTTCAATGTTTGTGTCGCATTTAGTTTGATAGAAAAAGGATCATGTACAGACCCTTCAGCGAATGGAGGATGCAATCGCTCGTGTGGTCTCCAAATTCCCCTTCGTGGCTGGGATGGTGGTGCCATCTACCCAGCTTGATCATAGAAGCAACACACTTCAGGCGAGGCCTGCTACCGCTGCCGAGCTTGGAATACCATATGATGGTCGCCTAACATCATAAAAAGTCCACTGCTCTCACCATGGACGAGAAATTCAACACTGCCTTTTTACAGTCGAGCCCACTCCCCCGATAACTAACCTTCCATCTGATCCTACATCGCCAGATCCATGTTGGGGATTGCGATGGAGCGGCGTGGAGTGTCTATCGAGCGATCTCCTCTTCCAGTGGGCGTCAACTCCCAGTACAGCCTCCAGAGATATCAAAGTCTAAGCCAAATAACCTGCTGTTTTTCTTTAGCTACATATATTAGTTAGGTTTTGACGGACCTCAACCATACTACTATAGGGCTTGTTTTCGGTTTTTCTTTTTCGATGAATATATACCTTCCTTGAGAAGACTATATAAAGTGCTTTGTGTTCATATTAGTATAGATGTTTCTTGTAGTCTTAACTTATGTACAAAAGCTACCTATCAAACCCGCATTTACCTTTTCGTATGACTATAAAAGTAGAATCAAGATAGTCTGGCAAGATGTTCCATGTCTCATCCCAGGGAGCCGAAAACGTATGACCCTTGTTCAAAGACCTAATTAGTCGTCATATACAGAGTAATACGAGAGCACTTATCATTTGTAGATTTTTATTTTTAGAAACTCTCGATATCTTGAAGGTCATTTGTACAGAGCTTACGTGAATGGTGTAATCATCACTACTCAATTATTCTTCGACCACGGTGGGTTCAAAGTAGAAAATTGAGAAAGATTCAAAACAAAGCAAACAGATATTTATATTTTTTAGATATCCAATTTGTACAGTTGTGAAAGGGTGAAAGTGTACTCCGTACCTGGCAGCCACACAGGTGGCTGGTGTTCGGCCCCCTAAGACGGCCCCGACCCAGGTACGGAGCTCGGAACTCTCATTCTCCACTGTGTTCATACCCCTCGAGCTCGACACTCCACGCCTTCGCTCTATATTGTACTACCTTGTAATTTCCCTATTATCCGAAAGAACCCCCTGATCATCCCACAACCGCCCTCCCCCAACACACCATCGCTGATTCGTTCTCGTCTCCGCCCAAGCTACACAACGGGGAGCAATGGTCATTCGGAGATCTCGCTCATGAGCTCGATGGCTGAGGGCAGTGAGGATTGGTCGCGCGAGGACGAGCTTGAGCTGGGCCAGGATGACGATCCCCAACAACCTGACCATGGCGCCCTCGACCAAACATTACCTTCCCCGCAGGCACTAGCGGAGGAGGAATTGGACACAATAGACAATGCGGAGGACCACGACTCCGAGAAGACAGCGGGACAGAATGATTTCAAATTCCCAGAAACCCCTCCGCCGCGACACGCGGACTGGACAGCGACAAGGAGCGTGGATGAAACAGGGTCAAACCCCGACGATTCCCCATCGCTACATGTTAGTGGTACGATTGGCGCATAACCTGGATAGATAGCTGATTGATCACAGGGCTCTATTTCGTCCTCCCTGAGTAGCAGTGCTCTCGCACTCCGCGGATCTCCACGAGTCAGCCCGAACCCGGCCCGTCGCCCCTTTGACCTTCGCTTCCAGTCCCGATTATCCTCATCGCCGCAAAGTGTGTCTAGAGCCGGCTCGCCATTCCTAGCGCATCTTCACTCCCGGCAATCTTCAATAACCAGCCAGGTTTCTTATACCCCAGAGACAGAAGCCGAACCGGTCCAGGGACCTTGGGATGTGGTGCGATGGACAAAGTTGCGGAAGATCACTGGGCAGGCGTTCTCGGAAATCGGGAAGCGCAATTTCGGACGGCCGACTTGCCTTGCAGTCTCCACATCTATTGTAATAGGCACATCCAAGGGTATTATTCTCGTGTTTGATTATCAGCAAAGCTTGAAGACTATCATTGGAACGGGCACACCAGGTTTGTCAAAAGAAGTCTACACCCTCTGGCCCATTGTACTGATGATCATCTAGCGGTTGAATGCGGTGCTGTTACATCTCTAGCACTTTCTGCAGATCATACTACCGTTGCAGGGGGCCATGACTCGGGCGATATCTTCACCTGGGAGATTTCGCGCTCAGCAAAGCCTTTCCTTCATATCCCGCCAATTCTGGCCAATCAAATCGAGACTCGGATATCTGATGGCCATCTTTCAGGATCGGCGGTCATTCATATCGGGTTTCTTGGCACCAGACGAACCGCGCTGGTCTCGGCTGACACACGGGGCATGTCGTTCTCACACCTAGCAACAAGAGGAATGGGAGCAGTAGGGCGGACAGTCAAGACGACTCGAATCCTGGGTCGATATCCCCAAGCAACGGCAGAGACCAAGCGGCGGAAGCCTAGCTCTGTCCTTGCTTTCTCCCCTCTGCCTCTCGGCAACGTAGAGCAGTCCACCGATTCTTTGGGCCTCGTTGCTATGTTGACACCCTATCTTCTTGTTATTGTGTCCACCACACCAGTGGCACAAACCCAACACAAAGCACCGAGACCCAAAGAAGTTCCCGCTCACAGTGCCATGACCGGCGCCTTGGCATGGTTTCCAGCCATTCGACTGAAGGGCAAAGATACACAAACTTCAAACACAAAGCTTGTCTACTGTTGGTCAAATGTTTTGACCGTGCTTGAAATCTCAGAGGCCGAGTCAGACGAACCTGCAGACAAAGACAAGCCGCCCAGCCTTGTCTTTAGAGCACGCAGCAGATGGAGAGCAGATGAAGCCATTGTGGCTGTTCAATGGCTCAGTCGTTCGGTACTCGCGGTGTTTACAATAACGCAGCGGCTGCTGATCATCGAAGATTATTCTATGCATGTGACAGACTCGGTCGATCTTGCCAACAGACACATCTATCACACTGATCTCTTCTCGTCACAGCTTCATTCACTAGTTGAACAGCTTGACGAAGAGGACGAGTCTATGCACGGAGTAGTAGCAGATGCATTCCATATGAGTTTCCGCTCGTACAAAGGGCGCTTGTTCTTGCTAGGTTATAACGAAGCCTTGGTAGGCAATCTGTCAAATTGGGCTGATCGCTTGCTGGCGCTTATGGAAGCTGGTGACTTCATTGGTGCCATCCGACTAGCCACCTCCTACTATACGGGAGAGTCGGAAAAGCTGACAGTTGGGCTTCCGGAAGAGGATGTTTTAAGACAGCCGATTGTGCAAGAAAAGCTTTTGGAGATGATCTCCGCATCCCTCAAGTATGCTTTTGGTCGAAACTCCGAGGCAAGCAATGACCGACTTGAGAACCAGCAGCTGGAGGAGCTAGCAGAAGTTTCTATCGCGGCGTGTATCTACATGGCCGACAAAGAGTTCCTCTGGGACGAAGTCTTCAACTGGTATGAGGAGCAAGATTCGGCAGGCATTTTCTTGGATGCCCTCGAACCACGCATCGTTGATGGAACTCTGCGATCACTACCTCCAACTGCAGTCAAAGCCTTGATTAACCACTTCATTGGAACTCACTCGGCCGGTCGCTTAGAGGAGATCATCTGCCTACTTGATACTACCACAATGGACATCGATCAAGTCACAACGCTGTGTAAGCAACATAATCTTTACGACGCCTTTATATACGTATGGAACCGCTGTTTGATGGATTATGTGGGACCACTGGAAGAGCTACTACAGCTTATTCCTTCTCAATCCGAGCGCTTGGCCAACGGTGACTACGTGGTTGAAATGAGACGGCAGAACAATGCCATGAAAATGTTCCCCTATTTGTCATTTATCTTGACGGGTCGCGTCTATCCCACCGGAGACGACATGGACGAGGTTGAAGCCACACGAGCTAAAACAGACTTGTACCAATTCCTCTTCTCGGGCCGTGGGACTGGCACAGTACCTGGAGATAACAACGGGGCAGAATCATTCTCTCAACTTCGAGCCATGCTCAAGTTCGATGCTTCCAGCTTCATGAGCATGCTCAACGAGGCATTCGAGGACAGTTTCCTAAATGAGCCCGAGAGCGAGGATGTCTCTGCGACGGGCATGTCGATCAATCGACAGTACCTCATCAGCATTTTGCTGCAAGTCATGGGCGACGATTTTTTCACGCCTTTTGATACCATCTACCTGGATATGTTTGTTGCGCGCAATCTTCCCAAATATCCCCAGTATATTCTCCTTTCCGGCACAATCCTCCACCGGGTTCTGGTCCGTGTGTGCCAATATCCGGAGCAGGAAATGGCAGACGATTGTGAATTGAGTGCAGAGTATTTGCTGTCCTTTTACCACCCACCGGACATCCAGACCATGATTCCTCTATTTAAAGAGGCACGCTTTTTCCGGATCCTCAAGTCCAGCTACCGTTTAGAGAAGCAGTATCCCCTGTTGGTTATGACTTACCTGGAGGATCCGAATGACCGCGATGCCATCTTCACCTGCCTGCATGACTGCCTCCGTCCAGGCTCTGGGCTTGGCAAGAAACAGAGACGTGATATAGTGCACGTAGTCAAGGAACGTGCCCGGGAGATCGCCGAAATTGATGTGACGCACGCTGCACAGACGATGCAAGACTTGGCCCCTGAAACACATTCTACTTTTTTGCAGGTTCTAGAAGATGATCCCCAGAAACAGTATCAGTACTTGCTGGTTCTGGTCGAGCCACAGGCTCGAACTGCAGACACCCAATCTCCGCCCAGCATTGAGAACTGGATGATCGAGCGCTACGTGCAGCTCTTGTGCAAATACAACCCCTCTCATGTTGCAGACTTCGTCGACGGATTGCGAGTTGGTGACATCCACCTAGACAAACTGCTCCCGTACATCGAGGAAAGCGGAGCCATCGATGCTGCCGTCATTCTCCTCGCCCGACAGGGCCAAGTCCGCGAAGCTCTGGACCGTCTTATCGCACATTTGAGCACCCTTGAATCCGGTCTGGTAGGCATCCTCCAGAGCGTGCGCGAGAGCCCAGACTCAGCGACCACCGCCGAGGCCATCGACGACCTGATCGAATCTCTGAACAAGTATGCGGGTGTCGGAACATGGCTCTGCCAGGGCCAAAGTAAGACAGCCAAGCAGTCGCGCACAGGCAGCGCCAACGGCAAACGCAACGCGCCAACCCTCGACCAGCCTCTCGCCTTCGACGAACTCCTCTGGCTCGACCACATCGAAGCCGTGGTCCGCATCGCGAGCAACGTCTTTGCCTTCATACAAGGAAACAACACCCAACCATCAACATCCCTCGGTGAAAGCGGCCGCCTAACAACCTCTTTCCGCACCCTCGTCCAGCAAGTTTTCACAGCCCTCCTCGCAAGCACAGTAAAAAGTAGCCCAACCACAGCCGAAAGAACAGACATGTCCTTCCTCCGCATCCTCCGCGCATTCCTCACCCGCGCTGCAAGCTGGTCCCCTTCCCTCCTCGAGCTGCGCGCCGTTCTAGCCTCCATCTTTTCCGCCTACTCCTACGAGAAATCCCTCTTAACCCTCGCAAACGGCATGCTCGACCGCGACCTCTTCATCCACGTCGACGAAGTCTCCCGTTTACGCCAACACGGCTGGCGACCCCGCGGCCACGTCTGCGAGATCTGCCGCGGCCGCATCTGGGGTCCCAGCGTTGGCGACTCCCATTGGTCCGCATGGGAAGTGCGACGCGCTGAAGACCATACCCGTCGCATCGCGAGACGTAATGCGGATAGCTATAACCCGTCCGAGCGCGGGAAGGGTAAGGCTGCTGATGTTGGAGTCGGTCATCTGTCCCGTCTGGATGTGGGCGTACATGCGCATGTCCACGCTCATCGTGATGGCGCTCGTGGTGGTATGTCTGATGCGAACGCTGGTCATGATCATGATCATGACCACGTCGAGGCTGGAGCTATATCTAGCACTGCTACAGTCGCAGATAGTATACCAGAACCCGTTATCGTTTTCGCCTGTCGACACCTCTACCACCGACGCTGTGTGATGAACGCCGTCAGCGGAGCCCGACCTACTGAAACCGCGTTTCGGCGCGACCATTTGCCCGATCTGTTTTGCCCGGTCTGTACATAGTTTCTAAGCCGGGATTATTTCCTTTGTGTCGAGGGGCATTCTTTTTGTTACTTTTTTTTCCACCTCTTTACTTTTTCCTACGTTAGGTGCCGTTCGGGGAATCCCTAGATGAGACACGATCGTCTTGCATATAGCCTTTTTCTATCTTTCTTCTTTTCTATCTCTTTTTTAACTTTTAACTACTGTAATTTAATATGATATCTAAACCAGGTTTATCCTTGTCAAAGTACATCTTCACCAATGTCGTACGTCTTCGGTGGGGAACAGGTGATGTGAAGTTCTCTTGAGCTGTTCAGCTCATTCTCCAAGCACACGCTTGACATGATTTGTACTCCCATGATCAAGGATCCCTCCAAATTATCATTCGGTCCCGCAGGGGTTCGAGGGGAATACTAACATTTTGGACTGTGTGATCTTTAGGAGAGGGTCCGGTGTTTGTGCTTTTGTGGGTAGTGATCTACAGTAGATGGGGTATGGAGTAATTCTCTGGATAAATGTGATGGATATAACCGTCGAAATGACCCTGTCATTCAAATATCTTTATCAGTTTTGGGTAGGATCTCCGTGAGAACTGGTTTCAGGATCACAATGTAAGAGGTACTATGTACTATGTACCATCACTGGTATATTTGTATGTATCGGTACTTGAGTCCAGGTACCTTATAAAGAGTGGAGAGATCTGGTGATCGGAAATGGATGCCACGAGAGTTCGCCACGTTATATTTTGACCTCTCCTTACTCAATTCAGACTCTTTCCTAGAAATCACCTAATGAACATTCCCAGGGACAAAGAAAAGAGAAAAGAGAACTCCGAAAAAGACTTGACGCCGAGAATCTTCAAACAGCCGTAGCCTTGCCACACTACATACAAACCTTAGATGCTGGCGATAATCACCCTGATTGGTCTTGGATGTTGCGTGGTTTGACCCTTTTTCTTATGAAACATTTAAGGTTATTAGCGCCGGCGCTGGATATATTCAACACGGAGGTTAATAGCGATTAGGCTATGTTCTTATATTGTCTGTGCATCCAAGTTCTAACTAATATAACAACTACTCCGTATACATTCTAAGACCAGGCCAATCGGCAAGCCACACCGGTTCAGGGCTCGGAGATGTCAGACTATGTTTCAACATGCCCCTTTTGCCGCATGTCTTCCACTGGAGTGTCTGGTGGATGTATCACGTAGTTCCATGCAGTTTCTTTTCTTTTTTTTCTGTTTCTTTTTTCCGTTTGGGATTTTCCCCTGCGGTGGGTACATCTCAAGTATAAAATTGACCCGGTCTACCTGACTTTTTAGGCAATATCTAGTCCCTCCCTTATTGCATATATAACTATTGTCTCTCTATTGATCTGTATTCATAACATTCCTATTGTCATTTCCCATTTTGGTCAGTATCTGCGATACTAGACCTAGTCTTTGACAGACTCCCTCTCTCTGATTCCTCTTTTCCTTGCAAAGATTCTACAACCTGCCAAGATCCCTGCATTTAAGCGCAATGCATGTTCTCTCGACATTCCTGCCCATCCTGGGCCTGCTCTCCCACGTATCATCGGCAGCATACACCCTACGCGATGACTACGGTACCTCGAACTCGTTCTTCGACAAGTTCAAATTCTACACCGTGTGTCCATTGTTCCCAGCTTTTTCTCTCATTCGTAATACCCATACTCATCCACTATCTAGGACCCCGACCCTACCAATGGCTTCGTGAACTACGTCGATCGTAACACCGCCTCAGCCGACGGCCTCATCAACACAGGCGACGGCGTCTACATCGGCGTCGACCACTCCAACACCGCCGCCGCGCCTGGTCGCAAGAGCATCCGCCTGGAGAGTACCGCCACTTACCAACATGGTCTTGTTATCCTCGATCTGGCCCATATGCCCGGCAGTGTATGCGGCAGCTGGCCCGCCTTGTAAGAACCCCAACCCATTCGACATTCTTATTCTTTCTTTTCTTTTCATTTTTTTTTTAAAAAAAAAAGGACTAACCCCTACCCTACAGCTGGATGCTCGGCACAAACTGGCCCAACAACGGCGAAATCGACATAATCGAAGGCGTAAACGAACAATCCACAAACCAAATGGCCCTACACACAGCCGACGGCTGCACAATCACTAACACCGGTTTCACTGGAACCATCGATACACCAAACTGCTACGTCAACGCCTCAGGTCAAGCACAAAACAGCGGCTGCTCAATTCGAAGCGAAAACAGCCAATCCTACGGTACAGGCTTTAACGGCGCAGGCGGCGGCGTCTACGCAACTGAATGGACTGGATCTGCCATTTCAATCTGGTTCTTCCCTTCCTACGCCGTGCCGGGCGATATCGCATCTGGTAACCCTAACCCGGCGGGGTGGGATGCACCCACGGCTCGCTTTGCGGGAGGCTGTGATATCGATTCGCATTTCAATGATCTGCAGATTGTCTTTGATATTACTTTCTGTGGAGACTGGGCGGGCTCGGTTTGGGGCTCGTCGAGTTGTGCTGAGAAGGCGGGATCGTGTGTCAATTTCGTGCAAAATACACCGGCCGCGTTCAAGGAGAGTTATTGGCGGGTGCGTTCGCTGAAAGTTTATCAGGATGGGAGTAGTAAGGGTTCTGAGAGTGGTACTGGTGAGGATGTTGGTGCTGAAAACGCTGATGCTGAGGATGAGGGTTCTGATGTGGAGGTTGGTCCTGGTGCTGGTTGGGATCCCACGGCGTTGTTCCAGGCTCGTGGTCCTAGAACTACTATGAATCATCGTCGCGGACATTACCGTGCTGGGCATGGTCATGCGTAAATGGTGATTGTGCTGGCTTGATGGGTTGTTTTCATTGAGAACGGCATGGGTTCGATATGTTTTGCATTTCGATTGTGATTTACCCTTTTTTCTTTTTCGACCTTCTTGATTTCCGTCTGTTTATGGTCTCCTTGCTCGGACTCCTCTGGTCTGTGCTAGTCTACGACTGTGGAGGGATGAACGCTTTGATACGCTTTGTGCTTTATGAATACTCTTTCTATTTCGACGGTGATATGGAATATGAAATGGGAATCAGCAATGATTATGGGCAGGGTTGTTGTTTTGTAGATATGTTATCTGGACTGTAAGTGCTGAGTAGATCGTCCATTATACAATGTAGAGTATACGGTAAGATCTTCGGCATCCGTAGTTTTAACAGAGATGATACATGGAAACGAATAAGACAAGACATGAATATATGCTTGAATATATGTATTGACATTTATATTAACATTAACATTAACTTCAACGACCAAATCCAAGAACATCGCGTTGGTCATCCGTAAGCCGACCCCATTCCAAAAGCAACCGAAAAAAGTAAATCTCCATATCCTCCTTCCTCAACGCCTTACTCGCCCACTTCCGCCCTTCCTCCGCAATCCACTTCCCCTCTCGATCATGCGCCTTCATACGCATCTGGGGATTAGAAGCACTATCGGACCCAGGAGCCGCCACACCTGCAAAGTACGCAAGCGTACTCCACAGTCCATGGAGACGAATATCAACAGGAACAAAGTGCAGCCAGGAGGTGACACGGGAGTCGAACCACTGACGGAACAGACCTGTTTTGAGGGGCAAGCTACGGCTGCGCAGGAAAGGGAGGAAGCGGCCGCTGAAGCCAGCGCCGTCTAGATCAAATAGGAAACGGTGTGACCAGTGTGCTTGGAAATCCGCCCAGCCAGTGGTTCCCATTTCCGCAGCTTGCTCGGCGCAGTCTTCGCAGCGGACGAGTGGGTCGGCGAGGTGGACGGAGGTTTGGAGATGGAGGTCTGAGGTGGGGGCGTTGCCGTCCATTATTTCGTAGCGGAAGGAGTTTTCGTGTGAGTCTGTTGGGAGGAGGACGGAGACTTGGTTGTTGGTGTTGTTGTTTATTAGGTGGGTGAAGCGCTGGCGTGGCATTCCTTTCCATTCGCCGAAGCGGCTGACGCCTTCTGATGTACTGCCGAGCCAGTAGAGGGAGTTTTCTTTTTTGTTGTATTCTGGATCTGGGTGTTCGTATGTGGGTTGGTATTTTACCTTGTCGATGTAGTTCCATGGGCTTGGGAAGAGGATGTCGTTGAATCCGGTCAGGGCGCTTTGGCTGAATACCGGGATGAGTTCTTGTGATACCTTGAAAGAGGCTGGGGAGATTAGGAGACCGTGGAGGAAGGCAAGGTCGGGTTGGTGGCAGATTTCGGAGGCGATGTTGAAATCTAGGGGGAATTGGCCTATGGAATGAGGAGCTATGCATGACAGGCAGATTTCACGACGATTCCAGATTCGCTGAGAGCGTGCTTTGGATGAAGGCGGGCAGACAGCGCTCACATAGGGGTCGAAGACGCCCCTCCAGGCTCCGTCGGTGAACACGGTGATGTTGGTTTGATCAGCCGGCTCAATCGGGGCCCAGCCTTCCTCTCGGTTGGTCGACCAAGTCCGCACCATACGCTCTTCGGGGATCATTACTTGCATCTCAGTCTGCCCATTCAACATCGATATTTTCTCCCAAGGAACTGCAACACGTGGTTCATCATTTAGATTGAACACCAAGTCCATATCAGGGAGGTATTTGACGAAATTTTCCATCATATCCGCGGCACCCTTTACCATCCACGCATGGGTCGGTTTGATGCCCTCTTGCACCATGGCTGTGCCGTTGCGAATCTTAATTCCACCCAGATCATTGAAAGGGTTGGTGGCCAGTTCGTGCGTCATTGCGCGGATGTGCTCCGGAGCCAGGGCTCGGAAGGGAAGTAAATTATGGTATATCTGATCGAATTCATCGATGATAGCTGATGATCGGCTAGTGGCATATCGATACCATTCGTCAAACCCCCTAGATGGATATTAGTTGAATTATACGGCAAACGTAGATGTTTCGAACATACGGTGGTGGATGCTGGTTATATCGCCTCCGGTATTCGGTAACCGCAGCTCCAAGAGTCCTGCTCCTAGACGCCTGAGCGAGATAGCTGTCATGTTGAATTTTGCTATCGTTGATGAGGAACTCAATCGGGTGTATCTCATCAAGGCGATGCTTGCTCACTGCAAAAACGAGACTGATCCCACAAAGCACGGTAAAAAATATTTGTATGGCAACGTTAGTGCGGTATAATTTCGGCTCTTCGTTATGAACCACCCGCGCAAGAAGAAAGAGGATGGCACCCGTCAAAGATGCAGCCAGCGGGAGAACAGCATAAGTTAGGGAGATAAATGGGAAGGGTGACTGTCCTCCGGTGAGGGCTGATAAACAGGAGAAGTATATGATCATGAAACCGCCTAGAATTGACACCCCAAGGATATCGAAATGCGGCAGCTAGGAAAATCAGAACCGGTAGAGAATTATATAGAACTTGCAGACTAACCATATGCCAGGCCGACAAGGCCAGTAGTACAACCAACACAGACTGGCTGAAGGCGCCGCGCGAATACTCTAGATCCAACATGGGTTGACCGGCAAGTTCGGGAGAGCTATCTGGTAATGATACCAGGGCTTTTACAATACTCCAGACCAAAGAGAGACCCTAGAAAGACCGTCAGAACAAGTATCCACATCACGATCGTAGTTGTCTACTTACCAAGAGACCAGCTCCAAGGTACGTCAATGCTCGTTTTCTGCGCGCATCATCAAATTGAGCACCAGTCCGACAGAGTTCTGTGACACCGATAAGTATAACAGAATCAGCAAACAGATTGAACAGCTTGTATGATCGTAGACGCGATGCGCCATGTAATACAATAGGACAGATATAGGTTGACCGGGTCCCGGCCGAGAACGATGAAGCCAAGAGCCCACCAGTAGACAAAAAGGCGGCTGCGATTAAACCTCTGGAGCGACTTTGGGTGATATAATAGAAGCTCCGGTGGGAAACAGAGTAGACCACTTGCAGTAACCCCTCTGTGAATCGTTGGGTAGGGACATATCGGTCCACTGTTCGTGATCGCTGGTTGCGCCAGTAGTCATAGAGCGAAATAACGAAAGGAATAGCGTACTGTCCGAAATATTGTGTTAGTCGCATGAAGAATTGAACGACAATCAATGTATTCGGCCACTCACAGCGTATCCAGTGGGCGCGCATTCAGTGTTCCGAGTTACTTGGCGGAATGACTCGATGCGCAAGCCACATAATCCCAGCAAGAGACCGATCTTTATCCACCACGATTGAAATCGTAGCCGAGGTCGAGTTTCAACATCGCCCTGTGAGAAAGATGAGGTTGATGCGCGGGAAGGAAGCTCAAATTGCTCTGCGAGAGGGATAATTGGCCGTTTACTTGTTGGCGACGATGGTGACGACCCCAATGTAACAAACCGACTCCATACCAAAAGAGTGATCCCTGTAAGGAAGCAGACCAGGATGGATGTACTGACAGGGCGATCTATATCGGCGCAACAGTCAGATCAGCTGTATGGTGTAGAACATGATATCCACGGCCACAACTCACCAAAAGCGAATGTAGTCTTGTAGGAGGTAGTAAGGAAAAGCGAGCTTAAAAGAAATACCCTGCTCATAGAATGCCATCATGAGCTTAAGTGTTCAATGTTAGATAACTTGCTAGGCACTCACCCTACACATAGCTTCACCCCGACATCGGAAGATAACTGGATCATATTGCCAATCTTTTTATCACTCTAAATCCATTGCTGTGATCTCAAGAATAAATTGAACTGTCGAAAGGTAGCAAGACCGAAAGACAAAAGATTAACCTCCTGTGGATCTTCAGGAGATTGACAGTCTTCGAAACATGGAAAAAAAGCAGGGCAGGGTGGCCAAGAGGGCCCTTTGATAGACTGGCAGCTAATCAGGAGGCATCCGGAGTGCTGATCCATTGGATCCATTAGGGTTGCGTCAACGGGTGGGTTACGATGTATTTCATTGACTTTGCTGTGCACGTAACCACGGGCCCTGCATCGTTCTATCTTTTGCCAATGAATGGTGGAATATATCAGCCACCTCGCCCCAATCTGTTAGTTCGTAGCAAGCTGGTTTTGTCCTGGAGACGTATTGCGAAAGATTGTCAGCAAGAAATGCCGAGCCGATCAGCGGCCAGAGACAAGCCTTGGTTAATTTCACGACCCACTTGGGTCCAAGGCGTGATGATGTTCCTTGGGGGACCTTTCAATGCATATGTAGTATTTCGTACATCATGTCCAGCCATGGGAGAATGACTCTCCCGTACATATAGACAAGAGAGGTGCATAGCCAAGTACACGCGTCATATCAGTTGGACGTATCCTATCGGCTCCATTCGGCTGGATGTCGTAAAATAAAGATGGCCAATCCGACCCATGGTTAGCGTCAAAAACGACACACTCAAATAAATTTGGCTAAGCCCAAAGCAGACCGTCTATTTACTAATTGGGTAGGTTTACGTCACCTATAGTCATGTGATTTGACCAGGGTCCAGACGTCGACGATTTTGCCCAGTAAAATGAAACTGCAGCTAGTCCATTTCGAGCCTTCACGATAAAATAAAGTACATCACGTGACGTTTGTATATAAAGGGGATCCAGGTATACCGCCTACTTGTTTGGGCTGACAATGGCAAAACCGTCATGTGATAAGATACTTAGGTAATTGGGATAAAAGGTCTTGGGCGGTGTATTATTGCCTTGGGCGGTGTCAGATAGCAGTATCATTTTTTTCTAACCGCTGGGAAGTTTTTTGGTCGCAAGACGAAGCCCAGTGTTTTTTCCAAACAACACTAATCCGGAATCGTCATGCCACGCAAGGCGATTGACTCGCGGATTCCCGCTCTTATTCGAAATGGTGTGCAGGAGAAGAAGCGCAGCTTCTTCGTGGTTGTTGGCGACCATGCCAAGGATGTGATCGTGCATCTTCACTATATTATGTCCAGCGTGGACGTGAAGCAGAACAAGTCGGTACTATGGGCTTACAAGAAGGATCTGCTTGGATTCACGAGCCACCGCAAGAAGCGCGAAATGAAGATCAAGAAGGAGGTCAAGCGTGGCATTCGCGAACCGAACCAGGAAGACCCATTCGAACTTTTCATCACCCTCAACCAGATTCGCTATGTCTACTATAAGGAAACCGAGAAGATTTTGGGTAACACCTACGGCATGTGTGTGCTGCAGGACTTCGAGGCCATGACTCCCAATTTGCTTGCACGAACCGTCGAGACCGTCGAGGGTGGAGGTTTGGTGATCCTGCTTTTGAAGAGCATGACCAGTTTGAAACAGCTTTACACCATGTCCATGGATATTCACTCGCGATACCGAACGGAGGCACACGATGATGTTGTTGCTCGTTTCAACGAGCGATTCATCCTGTCCCTCGGAAGTTGCGATTCGTGTCTGGTGGTCGACGACGAGCTGAACGTGTTGCCTATCTCCGGCGGCAAGACCGTGAAGCCCCTCCCCGCCCCCGAAACAACCGACGAGTCAGCTTTCGGCACAAAGAAGGAATTGAAGGAAATCAAGGAGAGTTTGGCGGACTCGAAGCCCGTCGGCCCCTTGCTCAGCTTGGCTCGCACCGTGGATCAAGCGAAGGCGCTCCTGACCTTTGTCGATGCTATCGCTGAAAAGACTCTGAAGAGCACTGTTACTCTGACTGCTGGTCGTGGACGAGGAAAGTCCGCCGCTCTCGGTGTCGCCATTGCCGCCGCTGTTGCTCACGGTTACAGCAACATCTTCATCACTTCTCCCAGCCCAGAGAACTTGAAGACACTCTTCGAATTTATCTTCAAGGGTTTCGATGCTCTTGGATATCTCGACCATGTTGACTACACCATCTTGCAGTCGACCAACCCTGACTTCAACAAGGCCGTTGTGCGTGTCAACATTCACCGCAACCACCGTCAAACCATCCAGTACATTCAGCCCCAGGATGCGCAAGTCTTGGGACAGGCAGAGCTTCTCGTTATCGATGAGGCTGCGGCTATCCCTCTACCATTGGTCCGTAAGCTGATGGGACCTTACCTGGTATTCATGTCCTCCACCATCAACGGATACGAAGGCACGGGCCGGTCCCTGTCTCTGAAGTTAATTCAGCAACTGCGGGAACAATCCCGAAGTGGAGTCAAGACTGACGATACGGACGTCGCCGACCGCAGCACAGGAAAGTCAGCCAAGGGTGCGGACAAGAACCTCAGCGGCCGCACCTTGAGGGAGATCACTCTCTCGGAGCCTATTCGATATGCCCCTGGTGATTCTGTCGAGAAATGGCTGAACAAGGTCCTTTGCCTTGACGCAACTCTTCCCAAGTCGCACATGAACACACAAGGATGTCCTCACCCCTCGCAATGCCAGCTGCTCCAGGTCAACCGTGATACCCTGTTCTCCTTCCACCCTGTTTCCGAGAAGTTCTTGCAGCAGATGATGGCGCTCTATGTTGCCAGTCACTACAAGAACACACCCAACGACCTTCAGCTTATGAGTGACGCTCCCGCTCATCAACTCTATGTCCTCGTCCCACCTATTGATGAGGAGGCCACCAAGCTGCCCGAGCCTCTTTGTGTCATTCAGGTCGCTCTTGAAGGTCGCATCAGTCGCCAGAGTGTGCTCAACAGTCTTAGCCGTGGTCAGCGCGCCGGCGGTGATCTCATCCCGTGGTTGGTCAGCCAGCAGTTCCAGGATGAGAACTTCGCCAGTCTCTCAGGTGCTCGTGTTGTCCGTATTGCAACCAACCCCGAATATGTGGGTATGGGATACGGTTCCCGCGCTATGGAGCTTCTGGTCGATTTCTTCGAGGGCAAGTTCACCAACTTGGAGGAGGAGGCCCTTTCCACCGAAGAGCAAATGGTCCGTGTTACGGACGAAGAGCTCGCCAGCTCTAGTCTTTTGGACGACAACGTCCACGTCCGAGACATTCGTTCCATGCCCCCGCTGTTCGGCAAGCTGACTGAGCGTCGCCCTGATGTCCTCGACTACATCGGTGTCAGCTACGGTCTTACCCCATCCCTCCACAAGTTCTGGAAGCGCGGTTCTTTCGTCCCAGTATACCTGCGTCAGACCCCCAACGAACTCACTGGAGAGCACTCTTGCGTGATGGTCCGTACCCTCTCGACTGGCGAGACTGACGACGCCTGGCTGAGCGCCTACGCTCGCGACTTCCACAAGCGATTCCTGTCACTCATGTCCTACCAATTCGGACAGTTCCCATCCGTCCTCTCCCTTAGCATCTGCGAGTCTGCCAACTCCGGTGCCAAGAAGGACCCGAAGTTCAAGCCGCGTACGCTGCAGAAATCCGACCTCGATGCTGCCTTCTCGCCCTTCGATCTCAAGCGTCTGGACAGCTACGCCAACAACCTCTTGGACTACCACGTCATCCTGGACCTGGTCCCCGCTCTCTCCGACTACTACTTTGGCAACCGCCTCGATGGCAAGGTCAGCCTCTCCGGCGTGCAGCAGTCCATCCTCCTCGCCATTGGCCTGCAGCACAAGAACCTCGACGACCTCGAGAAGGAGCTGAACCTCCCCTCCTCCCAGCTCCTCGCCATGTTCCTCAAGATTGTCCGCAAGATCTCCACCCACTTCCGCGGTCTTATCGAGAGTGATATCGAGCAGTCTCTGCCCGCACAGAAGGTTCGCATTGAGACCTCTGCCGCTCACGACGACGAGCCCGAAGTCAACCTTCAGCCCCTCCCCGTCTCTCTCGAAGATGAGCTCCGCGAAGGAGGCAAGAAGATCGACGAGGAGATGCGCGCCAAGCAGCTTGCTCTAGGCACATCTAACCCGTAAGTTTTAATCGCATTGCCTGTCTATCGAAACAACAATAACTGATTTCCAGCCAGTGATAGACCTGACAGCTCTAAGCCTTCTAAGCGCAAGAAGATCGAGACTGCGCGCGACATCTACGACAAGGAGATTGACTCAAAGCGACAAAAGATGATCAAGAAGGGCACCGAGGGCCGCAAAAAGCGCTGAATGATTTAGGTTCTGGACAGTTTTCTTTTTGCATTAATGTACGGTGTTCGGTTTCTTGGGTCTAAAAAGACTTGCTTGTGTCTAGTATTCGTCTGTATTCAAGGTTCATCTTTCCACAGGATATTCGTCTCTTGTACATACATATGAATCATGTGTTTATCATACCTACATTTGATTGTTCCGTAGAGATGATGAAATATGTCCTAACGGCTTGATGCATTGCCTACATAAGCTTATGCGATTCGCTCTCAAAACTAAACAAAAACGAATACTGGATAGAGGTCAACACACTAGCACCGACCTCATCCAGGGATCATGAACTGATCACAGCTCATCATGCTCCACGGCCTCTGTCTCAACCGTCTCAGCTTCAGGTTCAACCTTAGCTTCCGCCTCAGTCTTAACCTCAGCCTCGGGTTCAGCCTCAGCCTCAACACCAACAATACCCTCAGGCAACTTCTCCTTAGCACCTTCACCCAACCGAATCCCATCAACCCAAGACTCGACCGCAACAGCCCCAAAGTCTCCATCGGCACCGCTGAACCGACGCCACCAGCCACGACGCGCATTCAACGCGATAATCTCAACAGTCTGGCCATCAGCCAAGGCTAATGCCTCACGCAGAGTCTTGGACCCAGTGTTGACAGCAGGGACAGCATACAGCGGGAAGAGATGCGTTCCACGCTGGGCGTGCTTGTGGCCGATCTCCGCGACGTTCGCGAGCGCCTCGGTAGCAGACGCTGGGAGCGCGGCGTCGGGCTCGCTCGTCTCGGGGAGGATGACTAGCACACAAGTGCCTGACTTTGGTGCGAGACAGGCTGCTTCGAGGGATTCGGGGGTGGAGAGGGTTGGAATTGGGGGTACGGAGATGGGGACCTGAGCGGGCTTGACAGAGGGTTCTGTTGTGTCCTGGTCCTGGGATGCAGTGGGTTTGAGGTCTTCTGCGTCGTCGGCGACGGAGGTAGGCTTGGAAGCGGACTTGGACTTTGACTTTGGTTTCGGCTTGGGCTTGTCGGAGGCGGAACGGGACGACGCGTCTGGGTTTGGTGTCGCCGCTTGGCTCAGGAACTCGATGATTGGCTTCTTTTTCAGCTCGCCGGTGTAGATTTTGTGCTCTGCGTCAGTGCTGGGGATGAGGACGAGCGTCGGGAACTCGGTGATGCCGTACTTGTTCACGGTGGCGGATTCCTTGTTCCGTACCTGGGCGATGTCAATTGCGCCGAGGAAGTCGATTGCCAGGGCGCGGATCAGCGCGCCTGTTGTGCCCTTCTCTGTGAAGAGAATGGCCTTGGGCCGGTCCTCGTTTTTTCCGAGCCATTTGTCCAGGTCCTTGTCTGTTGCGCGCTTCACGTGGTTGGGGATGTGGTCGACGACTGCGTCGACGATACCTTTGGCGGTGCGGGCGCCTTGGTAGTCCTCGACACGGGGCTTTCCGGGCTTTTTGGAAGGGGTCACGATCTTCAGGGTCGGGAAGCCCTGGACACCCATCTGTCCGCAGAAGGGCTTGTTTTCGTCATCGTCGCAGTTGATTGCGGCGACTTTCGCGAGTCCGTCGAGGTTTTTCGCGGCTTTTTCAAAGGCAGGCTTGAGGTTCTTGCAGTGGCCGCACCAGGGCGCGTAGAATCTAAGTGAAAATGTGAGTGAAGGTCGGAGGGGAGAGGCAGAGAGCTAGATAGCTATAGTGCGGGACAGCTTACTCGACGATCTATGGAGTAGCCAACCATTAGCCGATTGCGCGTATTTAGGAAGACGATGGGCACTTACCGATGTATGATTCGAATTCGCAATAAGCGATTTGTAGGTTTTGGGATTCAACTGGATCACCGGCGAATTCTTGGTGTATAGTCCATCGGCGTTAACAGGTAGTGCCGCAAGGAGCGAGACAAGCAAAAGACTGGCGCTGTGCAGCATGGCGAATTGTCTACGGGTAGTTTCAAAGCAGAAGTGAGATTCAGCGAAGTAGCCAAGAACAAACAAAGAACCAGAAAAGACAAATGGTCCGATTTACGCAAGGTGTCCTGAAGCTCTTGGCGGTCTATACTGTCCCAAGTACTAACTAACTAGCAGTGAATGTACTATTATCTAAATACCTCAATATGCATATTATACGTGGATTAGTATAATAAAATGTGTTAAAGTATCCAACGCTTGAAAGTATTAAAGGAATTACTTAAACATCCTGTGGACTGGTACGGAGTATATCTCCAAAGCCTCCGTCCTTTTCATCTTCGATAAACACAACCTAGCAATGGCCATATCAAAGGAGAGCCATGACGTGGCCTTTCTACCTCGCGAACTCTTCTGGATGATCTTAGGCTATTTACGGCCAAAGGAACTAGTCCGCTGTCGCCGCGTCTCACGTGCCTGGAACGAAGCCTTTAGCAACCCAGCCATCCTACTCCCACTCTTAAAGAAACATTACCCATGGACAAAAGAAGTCAGAAGCCTCTGCAAAAATTCATCCCTTGATAACCAACACCAAGGTCATCATCTTTTCGACCAGGTCGCTTCACGATATGATCACCTAGAACGAGGCAAGCCCCGCTCTATCCAGAAGTACCGCCTCTGCGATGACTTTGGCAGCGCTGGAGACCGTGAATGGTACCAGGTACAGCCATGGGAGTCACACGCCAGTCATGTGAGGCGCTTTATCGACCGTCAATTTGCTGAGGCTTTATGGACTTTCGAAGATGGCCTACTGGTCTACCCCAGCGCCGATCATCAGTTCCTCGTGCTCCTAGATTTGGAAACGGACCGGCAGTTCATGGTACCCTTTATTATCCGTGGCAAGGTGATTCGTCGAGTGCGTCTGCAGAAGAGGTTGCTCGTCGTTGAGTGGGCTGAGCCGAAAGCCTTTCACTGGTTGAATGATAGCGACGGCGTGCATCGTCACTTCGCATCCTCCTTTGATGTGATGGGGAATGAAAAGCAAGGGTGGAATATTGTCCCACGCAATGAATGGAAAATTATGTTTTTGGGCCATCCGCTGAGCGAGCGAGATCGGTTCTTCTCCTCGCATAGCAATACCCACTATGTGATTTATATATGGCAGCCAAACCGCAGCTTATATACATCCGATGAGGATGCCCCCATTGAGTCTTTGTCTGTCTGGGACATATCGAAAAAATCATCATACCGACCTTCATTGGATCCCACCGGACGACTGAAAGACGACTCACCTGATGACACCCCATCGATCGTGGCACGATTTGGATTCCGAGACCTGGAGTTCTTCGACATTCGACAACGAGGCTGTCCAAGCATTCAACGATTGGATATTACGGATGATGCCCGGGCAGTCGAGATTACGGAAAACGTTTGCATCCGTCCGGAAGACCAACCACCCGAGCCGTTCGGATTTCCTCAGCCTATCACTACAAGCATTCCTATAGTAGGAAATGGGCCTCATTGGCGCCGGGATTTTGAGGGGATTCTACCACCTTATCGTGGGAACTGCAGCATGCAGGCAGAAACTATGAGGTCCGATGGGTTCATCATGATGGACCCTTGGTATGGTGTTATTGCTCAGGTGACTGTACTTGAGCCTGATCTTGGCTTTTGTCTTCATTTCGATCCTTGGACGTGGGTCCAGGATCAGGTTGTTCGTTTGACTATCCAGACGCCTCGCTCGAGTGTCACTTGTGAGAATTGGGATTTTGTGGGCAGGGGGAGGCTTGCTGGTTGTGAGAAATATTTGGTGGGCGAGAATTGCAATCGAGAACTAGTGATTTACCGATTTGATAGATGAATTGAAGAGACTTGTGCCATGCAAGATTTCATTTCTATTAAGCTTACTTCGATTCACCTCTGCCTTCCCGATGCCTATATCAATCTCTCATTCTATTTATTATACACCTCTCACTTTTCGCCGGTTAAATAGCAAGCGTACTCAGCCGCTGTTTACCTCTAGGCTAATCCGTCAGTACAGGAAGCGGTCATTTACACAATTACCTTCCCCTATTTATTGCAGAACTGAGCGCAGTGCCGCCAGAATTTCTGCCACGGGTTATGTAGTGGAAGACATATACTTTTGTCAACGAAACAATTTTGAAGTAAAAATGAAGTAAAGGTGAGAGTAAGTGAGAAAAGTGAGAAAAAAGTGCATGAAGAGTCATAGATCCTTCGTTAGGCTAATTTAATTTTGTCTCGGGATGGATTGATGATTTACAATATACCGTATGAAGAGGTGTAAAAGGGGTGGATCATGATTTCAGCGATCTGCGAGACACAGCCGGTATATACACATTTTAGCAATATCTTGAACGAGATAAAGGTAAGGCCCTATGGCGAAAAGAACTACCTAAGAACCGCATCTCACTATGGGAAGATAAATCTGTAGCGCTGTGGAGAACGAAAATAGTGAAGAAGCCTAACACTAAGTAAGCCCCTAAGTCGCCCGATATATCTATATTTGCTCCGAATCTCTCCCTTGATATTGGAATTAAGAAATAGTCGAACTATGTCTTCTACGCAATCACTTTTAACCTAGATCTGCAAGTTGGCGTTTTGGTTTTTGCCGGCTTTGCGACGTATACCTGAAATGGGGCAACGATAATAAACCCCTAGAGTCTTATGTGTACCCTTTTGTTGCTATCTGGACTACTCTCGTCTGTGGTGGAATGTTTTATTGCCCATTTCTAGCTAGAGCACTAAAAAGGATGTCTGGCGCCGGCAAGCAAATGTCGCGGACAAATCATCTATGTATTAGATATAGCCCAGTGGTCAAATTACCGGCGATTAAACCTTTAATGCCTTCTCACATACAGACTATAATAACAAACTTAGAAATACATAACTTCTAGGAGGAAGAACGTGTAACGAATCGAAGCTTAGAGTTTGGGAAGCTATTAGGACCACGATCTGTCTTACAAGTTACTAGCCTTAGAGGTATACAGTTAGTGGTCTCCGTCACTTAATTAGGAGTTATCGTAGTTGTGAGCAGCACTTCTTCTCGTCGTAGAAGTCAACGGCTGCACAACCCGAAAAAGACACCACCCGCAACGATCTTCCACTCTAAGATTTCCTAGTTTCAGAACAATCGTAGTCTGCTGTGACTTATAATGTCTTGTTGTTTAGCTCAGCATATCCATAGCTAGCTTTATGATTGAAAAGCTCAAGGCCACACACTCGTGCTTGCAATTCTCCAGGATCCACACCCAGTCATGACATGGCTCAATTGCACTTCCTGTGAAGACTAAGCTCGACTACATCGATATCACAGGTCATGATCGGGGTCTTGGATCTGAATTTGTGAGTGGTAAGAGGATAATGTCACTCACATCTAAGCAGATAGGGTTCTGTTGAAGGATATATTGCGATGGTAAGTATGTATTTCCTATTCCTTTCGGTCAAATATACGAAATTCGTCGCTTTGGGCTTGCCTCATCTGATCGGGTCTGTTTCCACGGTCTTTCTTGCTCACCTCATTATATGTACTTTTCATCTCTCATCTCTCAATTCGAGATTCCCTCCTGTCACTACATATTATCATGGCTTCTAACCCCACTGCTTGTGGGCCTAATGACAATGGCCAAATTGTGACAAGGAAATTGAGCGTGAAAGCCCTCGCTTAACTGCCCTTGGGATGAATGGAAAGACAGAAGATTTAGCTCGTAAGAGGTGCAAGAGTACAGTTAGAAGTCAAGTTTACTTAGAAGTGACTTCAAACAGAACCGGAAGCGAATGTACAAACACATCAGATATATATCCGAAGAGGAATGTATCGTGATATCTTGGCCAAGGTTCAATACGTTCAATAAAATAGGGTAAAAAGTCCACCATGATATTGACAGTGATGTTTTTTTTTCTCTTTTCCAACAAGATGATAAGACCGAAAGGGTTTTCCTCTCACAACTCCCGAGATATCCTTCCCCCTTTCCGAAACCACAGCGAAGAAACCAAACCGAAAAGGAATCCAGATCGAACAAACATGAGAGAAGAGGGACAAACGAAGAACAGAAAACACATGTGATCCAACATGGGATCAGTCACTGCTCCTGCAAACCAGATCCGAGGTGAGGGACATGACCTGAGAATTTACATCGGACGCAAGCCATCATACCGCAACCAGGACAGGTGAGGATGTATGTAGGCAACCACATGTTGCAAACTTTGCAAACGGGACGGCAGAACTCCTTGTACCAGTATCCGAGGTGGGAGCAAACCTTGGGATCATTCCGAACTTTCATAGGCGATGCCGTAGGGACTGAAAGACGAACATTTTCCAACCAGCCACAATAGGTCTCCAACATAAGGCCGTTAAGCTCACCACCGAGGTCATCAATGGTATATCGTCCATGGGGGTCGGCAAGCTTCTGTTTGAGAAATGAGACTAGAGGGCGCAATGAATCATGGCCCACCAAGTAGGAGTTGATCAATTTGTCAGCATCAGACGTGGAACTGTTAGTGGTAGATTCAGAATCATCGGCGGTGGCGTTGATAGACGAGTGCTCGTCAGCTGAATGAGTGTAGGTGGGAAAGTTGACATTTGAATCATCAGCAGTGGACCTACAATTCCAGTGCCCGTCTGGTGAATGAGTGTGGTTGGTAGAGTAGCAACTTGTTGAGAAGTCGACGGATGAATCGTTGCTCGCAGCAGACTTAGGACTTGAAGTACTACCATAGGAAGTTGGAGAGTCAGAGTAATTTGGAGAGGAGCCGGACGCCTTGGCGTATTCGTAGGCAAATGCATCGAATGTGTCTGCAGGGTTGCAGGTCTTGATATCCTCTTCGGGCAGGACATCCGCGAAATGATTGAACTGATGGCCAAAGTCAAGGTCGTCCAAGACTCCTTCGACATTATGATCTTGCTCTACCACAATATCTCCTGGATCACGCTTCATTCGAGCCTGCATGTTTGCCTTGCGACGCTCTGCCCGTGCCTTCTGCACTTCTGGATCAATGCCAGCCCATTCGTTCTCCCATTTGGTATTCTCTTCCTGGAATTGTGCAAGTTTTGCCTTGGATTCGGCCGAATTTGGGTCCATGTGTACACTTGTTCCATAACTGTAGTAGTAGCTGGGGCTGTACTGGCGTTGATTCATTGACTTGTATTCATATGGTGACTCGGTAAATTGGCCCGGCCAGTAGTCGAAATCATATCCGTGGCGTTCTCGTTTTGACGACCGATAGTGATTGCCCCTGTAGGACCAAGGTGGTATGTCATCCTCGGGATCTAGGTGTCTTTTGGTCTTGCTTTTCAGGGCCTCGTCAAGTAAGTACCTACGGTCTTTGTCACGGAGAAGTTCAACAGCATCTTGAATCTTTTTGCAATGACTTGTCAGCGATTTTCAGCGACTTGAGGTTATGAGTATACTTTTCTGAATCGTTCAACAGTCGCAACGGTGTTTCCAGCCTTGTCTGGGTGAAGCTTCAAGGCGAGCCGCTTGTAGGCAAGGTTGATGTCCTGGATTCGGGCATTTCGCTCGACTCCCAGGATCGCGTATGCATCAATGGTCACACCGATGGTCGACATGTTTGCCGTCATACAAGTCTTGATATCGAATGTCAGTATTTTGTTATATGTGTGTAGGCTTGAAGATAAATATTCGTTGAAGTTATTTCAACAGCCAGGTAGAACGAGAGAGATGTAAAGAGAGTAATGTGAGATAAATATGAAGGAATGTGGGCAATCAGAACATATCAGGTGAGGAAGGTGGAAACAGTCCCAGAGGATTGTTGGGATGAAGATGACTATATCAAAACTCACCGCACAAACGTAAGAAATCAAATTAGAAATAAGGGCCAATGTAGAGGCCCGAGACAAGAAGAAATAAACGAGGTAATAGAGAAGAGTATGGGAAATAGAAAAAACAAGAGTATGGCTCTGGAGGTGAACAAGAGTGGAATAAAGAACAAAGACCAGCAGAAAGAATGATCAGCATGAGATTGAAGAACAGCAGCAAGAAATAGATGTACAAGGGAAGGAAAGGAAAGAGGAAGCAGGGCAAGAAGAGAAGGGTATAAGTATAGCGAGGACGAGAGGTGCCTTGAATAGACAACGCTATTGTAAACCGAATCCTATTGATCAGGGGATCAGATCCCATTGGTGAGAAGCTATAAACGGCATGGTATGAGAATCCATAAATGGCATAGTACCATCACATTTTATATCAAACAAAGAACATCTCAAACAAAGAAGTTCAATGTTACCCAAATGGGTAGTCTCCAGGGTTAGGGCTATACACAAGGATAGTGTGATCATATCCCCATTGGGTAGAGGCTAGAAATTATCAGGATCCTAGTAGCACTTTTTGTTGGCCTAAGTTAGGGCTGTACATAAGGGCAAAGACTATACATAAGGAATTGAAATGGATTCACTCTGGTTTTACACAAGCTGAAGTTCGATCTAAATATGAACAAGTCTACACTAAGGTGACTTCGTCCTGTAGAATCAAATCAAGACATATCCGCACTGGCAGTGGCACCGGTAATAATCTCAACCAGCTCGCTGGTAATGGTGGCCTGGCGCTGACGGTTGTACAAGATCTGGAACCTGGGGGGCTGTTAGAGTCGACTCTTAAAGACATTACAGGTAAAACATACTTGTTGATCATCTCTCCAGCGTTCTTGGAGGCGTTCTCCATGGCGTTGCGACGAGCAGAGATCTCACAGGCGTGGCCCTCAGCCATAGCCCAGAAGAGGTTGTTGGCAAGAGAGTACTCGCGGAGGCTGCCCAGAACCTCATCGTCGACCTCGTAAGAGGAGATGTTGGCTACATTGGATGTTAGTTGGAAATCAATGAACAGCATGCAATCAATTCTCACCGGACTGGGTGATAGCCTCCTCGGAGTAGGCCTCGAGGGAGACAGCCTCGTAGCTGGTAGCGTTGACGAAAGAGTTGTAGATGATGCGAACGCTGGCGTAATCCTCGGGCAGAAGAGCGATCTGGTCGGCAATGGCCTGGGCATCGGCGAAGGTGGGAATGTCCTTGCAGACGTTGGCGAAGCTCAGAACGATCTTCTCGGGGGCGGCACGGGACAGCTGAGCCTTGGCCTTCTCACCGAGAATGGCAATGTCGGCGTTGGGGTTTTCGGCCAAGATACGGCGGGTAGCCTTGCTCAGACCGGAGTGGATACCACCGCAAAGACCCTTGTCGGAGCTGGCAACAACCAGAAGAGTCTTCTTGTCCTCCAGAGGCTTGGTCTCGGCCTGCTCGAAAACGGTGTTGGAGGTTTTACCGTAGACGCGGGATTCGTCCATGGCCCTCTGGGCACGGGTGAGACGAGTGGACGCAACAACCTTCATGGTGTTGGTGATCTTCTCGATGTTCTTGATGGACTTGAGACGACCCTCAATCTCACGCAGAGTCGCGAAAGTGGCGGCATTGGCGGGGGCAGGGCTTGATTTCGCAGTCAGTAATTGTCGATTTCACCTCCTCTGACGTCCAACATATCTTCCAGCTTCAATGGTGTCGAGGTGGTTGCGTCGGAGTACGTCGGGTGGAAGGACTTTTGGCACGAGGTATCGGATGAAGACTTACCGAGCGACGGCGGCACCACCAGCCCGCAGGGCCGGGCGGACGGCACGGGAGAACATTATGCGAGAGATTTAAAGAGAAAAGGGAACGAGCAGTTAGTGACTGCGGAGAGGAGGGGTGTGACGAAGGTTAGACGGGGATGCCTCGCTGGTCGGGAAGGAAGTTGAGAACCAGGGAGGTTCTGTCTCCGTGCTGCCGCTAAACCAGAAGGGGCAAGCATCTACGGTGCGCCATTCCGACTTCCACCGCAGTGATGCCTTAGGCATCAAGTATTTACATAACATCAACTTGGCGCCTCAGGCACCTCCCTGTAGTGCCTCAAGGCCTCTTTTCCCATTCCATTCCTCCATTCCCAAGTCCCCCAACCTTTCTCTCTCTTTCCTCACGTCTTTTCTCTCCTCTCGACTCTATTCCTCCGAATTCACCCGCAACATCCCCTCTATGCATGTATCATTGATGCAGCATATCTATTAATCTTATTCTTGCTCTTCATTGGTCAGAATTTCCTTACTTTCCTCCTTCTCCCAGGCGGCTCGATTTGCCCGACCAGGCGCACGAGGACGCCTCCCCTTACCAAAACATCGATCACTCTCATTTTACCCTCGACTACCTGTTGCTAGTCCAAGGACTACCATTATGAGCTCCTCGGAGGACGACGCACCCCTCATGCGCGTCAATGGACGTAGTAAAGGTACGTTCCTCGGGTGATTCGGTTGTGATTATGCACCTCTACAATTTGTCGCGAATCTTGGGTTTCCTTGCCCTTTATATTCTCAATACTATATCTCCTCTACGCTCTACACGATTGTACTTTTCTTATAGATCAGTGCTCGAGTGCATCTCGCACTTTGACGTCACTTCCTTCACACTTCCAACATAACTCGAACCACATTCTAACCTATTGTTTTCTGCACTTCTAGTTTCGCCAAAGTCTCCCGAGGCCGTCAAAATAGCGGATCCTAGCCCTGCCACGAATGGCCATGTTGAACCGGGAATATCCATCCGATTCGGTCCTGTGGAAGACAAAGATGTGAAGATGGAGGATGCAGACGATGCGCTGGGTGCCAGTAAGCGCAAGTCTCGGACTAGTGTGGGCGAAAAGAAGTCCTACGCAGAAGCAGAAAGCAGCGAAGAAGATGAACCTTTGGTACGCCTACCCCCATCGTGGGATGACCTTTGTTATTCCCAGTGCGGCCATACCGTCGCTTTCGGCTGAAGCGTCTGACCATTCGACAGAGCAAACGCCGGCGTACATCGGTGAAACACGAAGATCCCGAAACAGATGACGATGTGCCTTTGGGGCGCAACGGCCGCAAGCTTCCCAAGGCCGCTGAAACCTCCATCGGTGATGAGTCTGACTCCGACGTACCTATTGAACGGAAGCTTGCCGCACAAAAGAAAAAAATTGAAGAAATGGCAGAGAAGGAGGTCAAACCTCCGCGCAAACCTGCCGCAGCGAAGAAGGAGGCTAAGCCTGCAGTGACCAAGAAACAGACAAACGGCGTCAAGAAAGAGCCGGCCACCAAGGCTGCCCCCAAGAAGGGCAAAGCTAAGACCACCGTGAAGGCAGAAAGCCAGGACGCCGAAGAAAAGGAGGAGGAGGATGAATATCGCTGGTGGGAAGACCATACCAAGGGCGATGGAACGATCAAGTGGACAACTCTGGAGCACAACGGCGTGGTGTTCCCTCCCGAATACGAACCGCTGCCTAAGAATGTCAAGATGAAATATGATGGTGTTCCGGTCACTCTTGAACCTGAAGCCGAAGAGGTTGCTGGCTTCTTCGGCACCATGCTCAACTCAACTCACAACGTGGAAAACCCTGTGTTCCAGAAGAATTTCTTTGCCGACTTCAAGGAAGTCATCAAGAAGAGCGGCGGAGCGAAAGACCCCAATGGCAACAAGATAGACATCAAGGAGTTTGCCAAATGCGACTTCAAGCCCATCTTCGAATTCTACGAAGCTCAGCGTGAAGAAAAGAGACATCTGCCACCAGCAGAGAAGAAGGCTGCTAAAGCTTTGAAGGATGAGCAAGAAGCTCCGTACCAGTTCTGTATTTGGGATGGTCGCAAGCAGAAGGTGGGCAACTTCCGCGTGGAACCGCCTTCTCTATTCCGTGGCCGCGGCGAGCACCCGAAGACTGGTCGTGTCAAGACGCGCGTGCAACCTGAGCAAATCACCATCAATATCGGCAAAGAGGCGAAGGTCCCGCCGCCACCTCCCGGCCACAAGTGGAAGGAGGTGAAGCACGACCAGGAAGGCACCTGGCTTGCCATGTGGCAGGAAAATATCAATGGCAACTACAAGTACGTCATGTTAGCCGCCAATTCCGATGTCAAGGGACAAAGCGATTTCAAGAAATTCGAGAAAGCCCGTGAACTCAAGAAGCACATCGAGAAAATCCGCAAGGATTATCAAAAGAACCTCAAACATGATATGATGGTGGAACGGCAGAAGGCCACGGCAGTCTATCTTATTGATCAGTTCGCCCTCCGTGCTGGAAACGAAAAAGGCGAAGACGAGGCCGAAACCGTCGGTTGCTGTTCTCTGAAGTACGAGAATGTTACGCTGAAGCCCCCGAACACTGTTGTCTTCGATTTCCTGGGTAAGGATAGTATTCGGTTCTACGATGAAGTGCAGGTTGATCCGCAAGTCTTCAAAAACCTGAAAATCTTCAAAAAGGCACCCAAGAAGAATGGTGATGAAATTTTCGACCGCCTTACGGTATGTTCTCCCTCCCTCCTGCACCCATGAATGCTACTGACAAATAAAAGACTTCTGCTCTCAATAAGCACCTTGCCAACTACATGCCAGGTTTAACCGCCAAGGTTTTCCGTACTTACAACGCGTCTTATACCATGGGTTGTGTTCTCAACGAGATGAATGCTACGGGCGGTACCATCGCCGAAAAGGTGAAAGCGTACAACGATGCCAACCGTAAGGTTGCCATCTTGTGTAACCACAAGCGCACCGTCACTGCTGGCCATGCCAATGCGATGGAAAAGATGACCGAACGGGTGAGTTTTCTCTATTCCACCCTCATAAGGAGAGGCACAGTGCTAATATATGTATACAGATCAAGGGCCTTCGATACCAGAAGTGGCGGCTGAAGCAGCAAATGCTTGACTTGGATCCCACTCTGAAGAAGAAGAAGGGCGCAACGTTCTTTGAAATCGATGAGGATCTCGACCAAGAATGGATCCAAGAACACCAAACCTTTTTGATTGAGGAGCAGAGAACCAAAATCACCAAGAAGTTCGAGAAGGACAACGAAAAGCGCGTTGCTGATGGCGAGAAGGAAATGAAGGCTTCCGAGCTTGAGGAGCGTCTACAGGTCGTGAAAGAGATGGAAAAGAAGTTCAAGAAGGAGAACAAAACCGGCAAGGTTGAGGTCGAGGCCAAGGGCGCCACGGTTGAAAAGCTCGAGGGTTCCATCGCCAAGATCGACCAGCGGGTTGAAACCATGTCCGTACAGGCTCAGGACAAGGAAGACAACAAGGAGGTTGCCCTAGGTACCTCGAAGATTGTGAGTTTTTTTGGGGGATGGTCTCCCTTACAGTCTCACCAGCTAATCATACTCCTTAGAACTACATTGATCCTCGCCTCACTGTCGTCTTCAGCAAGAAGTTTGACGTCCCTATCGAAAAGTTCTTCTCCAAGGCGCTGCGTGAAAAGTTTGAGTGGGCCATCAAGTCCGTTGAGGAGGATTGGGAATTCTAATCTACCACCCATTGCCTTCCTTACTCGGGTGGGATCCTGTCTTTCGCGCACATTACTTTCTTCGTACAATATTTTCGGTTCCACTCAAGTCTGGCTTACAAGACGAGATGATTTTCCTTTGTTTGTTAGACGATTCTTTCCAATCTAGCTATTGATCCATTCGGACCCCTCATTGCATTCGCATGCTTGAGAAAGACTCAACGTCGCGGTCGACATTTTCATGGTTTTCGTTATAGGGGGCTTGGCTCAGAGTGTGGGCCTGCATTAGCGGTGGTAGTGGGGACGATATGATCGGTATACGCAAGTATACACGAGGGGAGAAAAAAGAAAAACCACAAAAACACACATCACAAAAGACCCATCGATTCGGTTGACTGGGGGACTTTGTTAAATGCATACACTCATGCATGGCAGTCGGACACCTTGCACAGTTTCTGTTCCGCTGCTCTTTGTCATTTCGGTCATGGGGCTAGAAGTCTTGCATAATTCATTCCATCGTTGCTATTCAAATCTAGCATAAGTCATTATCTCCCCCTCGCAGTCCAATGTAGTACCTGTTGCGTGGTGACATGTAGGTCTGTATAGCTAGCTCTTGGCCGTAGGTTGTGGGTATGTCCTGCTGCATAACATATCTGCAGGGTCTATGCATAATGCACAAGAATGGGACTAGCGCTATATGTCCAGTCCCCGTACACAATGTCTAACCACATAGTTACAGATCAAAGTTACGTAAGAGAACGTTGGTTTGAGATCGAAATAGAATATCAAAGTAGTCGGCGAAAGGCTGAATATGCTGCCAATGCAGGGCCATGCAAAAGGTAAACGAGGGAAGAAAGTGGAATAGAAACATGCAGGAAACAAGAGAATCCTCCCCGTAAAAACAGCGATTATCAATTACAGTACAAGGCTTAACTCACACCTAGCGATGCTAGACAGGTCTGTCTGGATAGATAGCTTCAGAGGTGGTTGGAGAGATGAGGAGATGCAGGAGAGCGTAGAGATGGTCGTGTCGTAGGGGATTCAATGCATCCTTTTGAGACATAATGCGATGACCGATATTCTTCATCGGGTAAGAGAGACCGTTAATGAATCATAGAAAAGAAAATAGAAAGATAGAAACGGGTAAAATAACCGACAGACGGGATATCTTCAAAGAAAAAAAAACAGAAAAAAAAAAAAAGACGAACCCCCCCCAAAAAACAAGTAAACCTCTCTCATGGCCACCAGCCCATGCGCTTATAGCTGTCCACAATTTCGCGGATACTATCAGCCCCGAAATTCGGGTACATTGGCTTCCAGCCAACCTCAGTCTCGAACTTCGACCCGTCAAGGGACATATCATCATCCTTGAGAGTATCACGCTCCAAGAACGGACTGATCGGTCCAGGGCGGGTGATATTAGCCCTCTCAATGAGCTCAGCCCAAGTCTGCAACCCGACCTCATTCATATCATCGACGACATCGTCAAGGTTCAGCTTCGCAAGCTGCGAAGCAAGGGACCCAATAAACGAAACCTTAAGACCAAACACCTCCGTCAAAGCCTTGGCAACATGTTCCTGTTTCGTGTCATTATGATCAACAACATTAAAAGCAACAACACCATCCTTGGGATCGATGAACCCCTTCGCAGCGCGCCACTTGGCAGCCTCAAACAACGCGCTAGCAGCATCCTTCACATGAAGGGTATTAATTTTCAGATCCTTTGTGTGCAAGAAAACCAAATCCTGCTTGAGATCGACATGCACAGCAGAAAGACAAATACCCGTAGCGAAGTAGCCGGGGTCATAGGCTCCGTAGACGTGGGGCAGGCGGAGGGCGCAGTACTGCAGATTTGGGATTTTGCGTAGTTCATCCGCGGCCTTTAGTTTCCACGCGGCGAGTTTATGCCACGGGGCGAGTTTGTCTGTTTCCTTGCGCGGCGTTGAGCCGCCCTTGTAGACGTGCGCTGTGGAAGTCTCGATGAAGGCGGGGATACCGCGTCGGGCGATTTCTTTACCGAGGGCGAGGGTGAGGGCGTAGCTGCGCACTTCGTAGACGTCGTCGGGTTGGGAGTGGCGTGTCTCGCCGCCGCAGTTGATTACATAGTCGAATTGTTTGCCGTTGGCTCTGTCGAAGATGCGTGGGAAGTGTTCTGGGAATCGGGTTAGTGAGAATTTGTTTGGGGAATTCCAATAGTCTGGGTACTTACGTTCACGGCTGGCATCAGCCTGGACGAATTTGTCCTTGGAACATGCTTCTTCGAATTCGGGAGCTAGCCAGGCCAATTGTGGGAGGACTTTGTCTACTAAGCGGACTTCTGAGGCTAGATCGTTCTCGTGGAGGTATAGGGCGAGGTGTCGACCGATGAAGCCTGGCGAATGTTAGTTGGAGACTAAGTATATTGAGACAAAGAAGACATACCGAGGCCACCGACGATTAGAACGGCGGGTTTGGCGTCAGCCATTTTGGATGTGAAAGAAAAAAGGTCTCCCCGCAGGTTCAGGAGAAAGGGGGAGAAAGGAGGGGGTCGGACTAAAACGAAAAACAGCAAAAGAATCAAAGAATATTATTAGACAATTAAAAAAAAGGGAAAAATCTAAAAAAATCTAAAATAAAAAAACATTATTAATATTCGGGATTCGCATCTCCCCTGCCAAGCCGGTTAACCCACGATGTTTGACTAGGAGTGGGTTACAGTGGAAACATTAGCATCTATCTGTGACGTCGGGGGGAGGGTAGTGTGTGTTAGTGGGACTAGTGTGTGAGTATCGCACTCATTTCACTTGTATCCATTGCATATACGGAGTATATACGTATGTGATACTGAATGCCTATACATCGAGTCCTAGATCTGTGTCCCATGGTACTGGGTTTCCGATCACCCGAACCATAGATGAGCCTCTCCAGTGCTTAATTTGACTCTCTGGGTATATCTCGGCTAAGTTCTTCACTGTCGATCTCGGAATTTGAACATGTTATGGAAACTATTTGGTATATAGGTCCTAAACAGAATCACAAGAACCTTTAACTCCCTTTTAAGATTAAGGTTGCACATACTATTTCTCAAGACAAACTATCCTGGGAATTGGGATCAACGCTTCACGAGAACGGGCCTTCGGACACTATGTACAATCAAGACGACGGGACACAGGCGGGGCACTTCTTAATGGGTGAACGGCGTTTGAACGGCGATCTTGCGGGCGCAGCAATCGAACAGCAAGGGAAATGTCGGAAGATTCGCGGCTTATTGGTGGGATGGTTGCTCGCCCACGTCTAACTGTATGGAGTCTTATCTATATTGTAAGAGGCGGCAGATGAACATATAGAACAAAACATAGCTTAAGATTAAAGGAATTCGCAGTTGAAGATATTTGCTAGTAGATATCTTGCAAAACCGGATCTTAGGACACGTCTGTGGCTTTTCTAGTCTTATCGCACGCTGCTAGAGTCCATATATCGATAGGCAAGTATCTCTCGTGGCCTGTACAGCGAGTGTAAGTGGTCGATGACATATATTCTGAGATAACATTATACGTTTAGCGGGCTCCTAATCCAGACTTGGCGGGAAGGTGGATGCTAATAGATCTGAAATAGCTTGCTACTTTAGAAGCTATGTAGGGCTAACATATGCAAATTGCGGACTTTGTTCCGTACAATACAATTAAGTGGATCTACCAATGGCTAGAACCCAGATCGTCAACAATATTATCCAGTCTATCGGGTTCTACAGGATCATGGAGAATGGACAAGACTTGGCAGTATTGCAGGTGTCGATCGGGCTCTATGTTTTCGATAAGACTATGCACGCAAAGAAACTCCATAGCGGTGGCTCGAATGGAAACGACAAATAAACATGAGACAGATCCAAGTTGAACTCGAAAAAGCTACACTGATCAAAGCCAATACATTTAATAATAGCCAAAGCAAGGTATCTTCATAGTGCTCTAATAACAGGAGTAAGCGAAAGTGAGCTCATAAAAGCCTATAATCACGATGCGCCTAGATACTTCAGCGAGTTTCTGAGCTCCTTAATAGCAGTATCAACATCATCGAAAGTCAAAGCGGAGACTGCCCAACGAGCATGCTTCTGCGCCAACTGCACCGAGGAATCGTCTATATCATGTGATGGTTGGGACTGGACATAGGGAGCCGGTTGCACGGGTGCGTGGGCAAGAGGGGATGGAGTAAATGTTGGAGCAGCCGGAGGCTGGATAGGAGCAGGAGCACTAGCAGCTGGGGCATCATAGAAAGAAGCCGGGTCCGGGGCGGATACAGATGGGTCCTCGGATGGCGGAGGGAAGGAATGGAATGCAGTCGGGGTATCTGGAAGTTTAGGTACTGAAGACGAACCGCCAATGGTCGCTGGAGTTGATGGGAGCTCCAAGTCGCCTGTGTTGGGGTCATCAACATCCATTGGCTGTGGAGGAGAACCAGGTGCGTTGCGAGGAACAGAGGGGATCTCGGGCGGAGAACGAGGTGTTGACGATGTGCGTGATGGATGAAGTGATTCATCAAGAGTCGATTCATGTGCTAGCTCTCGTCCAACACGATCAGACTCGTCTGGGATGTCCTCGATAGAGGGTTGTCTTCGCTTAGAGGTCTGCTCCGCTACCGACTCGTCAAATGCCTGGATGTCGGGGTCGTCGGCGAGATCTTCCTCCTGCTTTGGTGCGGGATTTGTCTCGTTAGGATCTTCGCCGGCTTTAAAAGCCTTGACAATTCGGACCGCGTGGAATTTGGCGAACTTGATCCGTCCAGCAAGTTCTGGGTCCAGGGGTCCCCAGATTGAACAAAGTTCGAGGAAGGTGGCCGCTGCCAGGAAAGTATCTGCCGTTTGCCTTTTCGGGTGGTTAGCCATTGATATCTCAAAGCATCACTTGAAGAGCTCACTTTGTGACTTTGTTGGCGTTCATAGCGGCCTCGGCACGGCCAAAGACCTCCAATCCGAATTGCTCGACATAGGCACTCGCCGCAACAGTGTCTGTCACTGTATCATTCTCTGGGTTTTCTACTTTGAACTATTCCATGCCAATATCATCAGCTGCTAGATTCTCAGGCGCAGGGTGCGGACTATAGACGAGTAGGAAGGAACGAAGGTGGGGAGCCCGACTCACCTGCTCCAGCTTGTCCACAAGGTTTGTCGTGTAGAGTTTGATCTCATCATCGGAATTGTGAAGTCCCCTTTCAATAATCTGGTTTACAATATGGAAGTTGCCTACAGAATTGGGGTTCAATCAGCTCAAATGTTCAGTTGTGTTCTCCGCGGGGTCTCGCGACTCACACCAATAGGCAACCACAGGTTTGGCCTTCTCAATCTGGGCTGCCCTGATGGCAAATCGCCCGATATCTGCCGATCGCAATCCAGCTGGAATGTTACTCGCCATAGTTCAGGGTGTTGTGTTAAGGAGAAGATGGTGAACGAATGACGTTTGGAGCTCGCGGAATTCCCACCGCCCGTGTGCGGGGGCGGATCCTATCGACCTCTTATCTACTGGTCTTCAACGAGGTAGAGATCTATGAAGTAGAAACTATTACGATATATGTAATATATATGTATTTCCAACTGTGCTGGGTATCATTCGTCTTCAATTACCCACTTTCCAATCTCCACTCTCTCCTCTGCCAATGCTTCCACTTCAAAATGATCCTCCACCTGCCCTCCCGGACCCCCAATACGCTCAATGACAATCCATACATGGTGTGATCCAGCACTGGGTAGTACATCGAAATCATCAACTCGTACCCCGGACGCAGCGTCGCTGTAATTTCCATCCTCCGACGTGGCCAATATCTCTTTATATGGCCCCTGGCCCAGCTCCACAGTCATCAGCACGGGAGACGGAGCAACAGCGCGAGAGCCGATCGTGGACCGCTTATTCCTCGCAATAAGTCGGATCCGTGTCAAACGAGAGACTCGCAACGACGCCAGCATCCGGTCCTTGCCCGGAGACAAAACACCCACTTCGGATAGGACGGCGCGTCGCCCAGCAGACTCGGAAGCCAAGGGCTGGACTACACACGGGATCGTGGATGAAATCCATAAGGTGAAGCGGCCAAGCTGGTCAGGTGCAAAGGTGGAGCAGACAATGGTGTAGGTGCCTTTTTCCAAGGATCTGGTCTCGGCTAACGCGCATCCACGACGGTAATCGCCACTATCTGCAATGATGTCTCGGCTTCGCACGCGCGATATGCGCTGCCCGTTTGACCAGAAGATTTTCACGTGAGTCGCTAGCTCCGCCTCGGTAGTCTCGAGCAATATCGAAACATCTGTCGGTTCGGAAATTCGTAGAATGAATTGTGGATTGGAGTGGTATCGAGGCGACTCGGCATTTCCGCCCGCCGTCATTGCTGTCCAGGATCCACTTGCCTTGTTCAAACATAAATATTTATCTAGTGAGGGTGCCACGGCCACAGGCGCAGTTGAGAAAGCAGAGAGGGTGAAATTCTGGGTGGAGGATGGGAGTGATTGCTCCGAGACCACTGCAGTGTAGGTTGACTTCGGGGGCATTTTCAGCCTCATAAGCGTGTTGGGAGAGTCCACATATGGTCCGCGATGGAGCGCGCCGTCACTGAGAGACACTCTTCGGCCATCTGCTTTAAATATATAGATGCTGATAAAGCCTGTTTCATTTTCCGATCCCGCAGAACTGAATTGTTGATGGTCTGTCTTGAAATGCTTCCCGAGCAGCAGCCAGACCGTTCCTCCTGAATCACTGGAGATGGAGAATTGAGGGTTCTTCACGAAGCAGCCGGCGATAACTCGACCATGCGACAAATCCCAAGTGAAATGTATGTCCTCACGGTATTTGAACAAACCGGGATTCCAGTTAAGGTAAAGGTTCTCGAAATTTTGGAGGACTTGTTCACAGTCCATCCAAAATTTCCCTGGGGAAAGGGGAGGTTTATCACTCAAGCTGAGTGAGCCGAGATCAGCTGTAAGACTGCTTTGTATATTGGGCTCTGCACCAGCCCACGGGTTCTTCAAAAGAAACTGGCGACGACCATGGACTTCTTTCATGTCTAGGATAGCATAATCATGCTCACCCACTAACCCCAGGCCTTGTTGTTCCCGTTCAGTCAATTTCCCAGTGCCGATAGTCAAAACTACATCACCATGCCAGAAGGCATTGTATAAACGCCCCCAAATCTCGTCGGAGGTAGTATCGTCGTGATGTAAAAAGACTTGTTCCGGAATCCAACCAGTAAGCACCCAAAGATCGGTCCCTGAGTTACTTCCTGGGAAATCATATCCTCCGCGGACCTTCAGATAGGCCTTCTCCACAAGAGCAGGCCACAAAAAGTTCGAGTTATTGCGATCGATTACGTGGAGGGAGCGTGTAGTCTTCGACGATGGCAATCGATCATCTATCACTACCTTTCGAAAAGACCCATTGAAATAGAAGCGAAATATGTATTTCCCAGAAGGCGAAAGTATCGGGTTCTTTTCCTCGTTGCATGGGTACAGAGTTGGCGATGCATGCTGTTCGACTTAGCCTTGAGGACTCCTCGACGTGGAAAGAAATTAGTCCATACCTGCCCTAAACCTCGTTCCGATCGAGATGTTGTGGCACAGAGGCTCGCGACCACTGAACAGTCTGTCAAGACATCCTGCACGAGATCCGTCCGCCCCGAAGCTGACATAGCTGGATCAATTTCATCATGTACCTGGTTGGCCGCATTCTTTGTCCGTAACAGATCATGCGGCCGTTTCCAGCCTGCAAAAATCTCTCTCTGGCATTCAGACAGGTGTAAATCGGGCGCATCCCTATACCGGGTTAGAAGAGATCAATCACCGTTGGGCCATTTCCACATACGTAAAAGGCTGTCCTTTATATATAAATTCATCCTGAACCGGCGCACGACTCCATGGTGGAAAGATATAGCCATTTAGTTTGGCGCCCTCGAGGATGATGATTTCTTCACGGGTAGTGAGCTTCCGCGTGGATGCCGGTGGCCGTAAACTAGGGAAGGCTTTCTGGGGCCCCGCACGAGCAACGGACTGCCAGTCAGCAGCAGCCTTGATCTTTTCAGCTTTGGACAGCAATTCCTTGCATTTTGTGTCTAGTTGTTTTTTATCGTCAGGGGGCGCCAGGCGCAGCGCTTTCATGTAATATTCCGCGGCATTGATGGCCGCCTCCAATGCCGCTTTCTGGGAGGTCGCTGTAGCTACCGCCTCTTCGGCGCTCTATGGAGTCATTAGCTTCCTTCAGATATAAGTGTAAAATAAAAACAGTTACCAATGCCTGAGATATATAGGATGCAGGTCTAGACATCGCGTTGACCGGTAGTCGTGGAGTCAGGTAATCAGATCGAACAGCAAGTAAATTACCGGATTTGGCTGAGCCGAGGGCCCCCCCGTACTTAATTCCGGTGAGTATTCCGGGATTTACATTTGTAGAGATTAATATATCTGATAAACCATGTTAAAAATACTATACACATATTATTATATCAAAATACTATGTAGAAACCACATACATGGCCATGTTCGAAAGAGAAAATGAATACACACGATGTAATGGACGTTATGACATAAGCTCATACCGACTGAGTGGACCTCGGCTCACTTTAAGGTGATAACGCCGAGGTGATGAATTCCGGCTCATGAGCTCGGTCACTTTTTTTTATTCGGATGACTTCGGTATGATCATCGTTTTGTGTATTTCTCCATTGTGATCTCTCTTCTATTTCACTCTCTCCGTTGTTCGGAGTAAAGCAGTGTAGAGCCCCGCTCAATATTTCTCCTGTCGCCCGGCCGTTAAGAGAAGCGAGCCTTCTTCCTAGATCCTATTCTTATTTGCGCTCTCTTGATTTCCAATACCCTTAACCGACATCATGGCTGGCCAATCCAAACCTGCGCTGTCGCCATGGGGCAGCGCCGTGGCGGGCGCAACAGGCGCCGTCCTGGCGAACGCAATGGTGTACCCACTTGACTTGTGAGGTCCCAGATAAAACAGTACTCAAATTATCAGAATAAAGCCCGCTGACTGTAGCGCTCTCAATCTCTAGAGTCAAGACAAAACTACAAGTACAAGTCAAGGAGAAGAATGGAACCGTGCGAGCGGACGACCTCGAACATTATGAATCGACCATGGACGCTATCAACAAGATCGCCGAGAAGGAAGGCTTTAGTGGGCTATACTCCGGAATGGCTGGAGCCCTTCTAGGTGTCGCCTCAACAAACTTCGCATACTTCTATTGGTACAGCGTCGTAAGAACGCTGTACTTGGCTTCGGCCAAGTCGTCAAAGGCTCCCGGCACAGCGATTGAGCTCTCCCTAGGCGCCGTTTCTGGTGCCGTGGCTCAGATCTTCACCATTCCAGTGGCCGTTATCACAACCCGGCAGCAGACACAGCCAAAGGGCGATAAGAAGGGGTTGATCGAGACGGGTCGGGAGGTGGTTGAGAGCGAGGACGGCTGGACCGGCCTGTGGCGCGGCCTGAAGGCCAGCTTGATCCTGGTCGTTAACCCAGCCATCACCTACGGCGCATACCAGCGTCTAAAGGATGTTATCTTCCCGAGGAAGAACAATCTCAAGCCCTGGGAGGCATTCTGTGAGTGGTGACAGTTCTCGGGGTCAGGAAGGACTTGCTAATTATTATTTTAGTGCTCGGTGCCATGTCCAAGGCTTTGGCCACAATCGTAACCCAGCCTCTGATCGTCGCCAAGGTTGGACTGCAGTCTCGCCCACCGCCCAGCCGGAATGGCAAGCCTTTCAAGACCTTTGGCGAGGTCATGAAGCACATTGTTGATAATGAGGGTCTCTTTTCCCTCTTCAAGGGTATTGGACCTCAGATCCTGAAGGGTCTTTTGGTCCAGGGTCTGCTGATGATGACCAAGGAGAGGTATGTTTTTTTTTTCTATTAGCATCTGCATGTACTAACTTTCACAAAGGATGGAGCTTCTTTTCATTCTCCTGTTCGCCTACCTCAAGAACATCAAGAAGGATAAGTTGCGCAAGGCAGTTGATGTGGCAGCCGAGAAGGCCAAGACCAGCATGCCTGCTACCCTGAAATAATTGTCTTATAGTTAGACGGAGGGATTTTCCGTTTTCCTTTTCCAAATTGTGTTTACCGAACTGGCGCGTTGGTATATTGTTGGCAATTCTGGTGGATTTTGAACAGTCTAGACATTTCCCGGCTTTTTCTTGCTGGAAACACTTGATAGAACCCTGTGTTTCTAGCTCTTCAATATCATTATAGATCTGTACATGGTCATATCATGTTGCTGGCTTTTGCCCCTGGTAACCTTTATGCTGAAACCAAATCCCACCGGCTTTCAATGAGCTATACCATGAATGGACCAAAAAGCTTGACCCAGTATCGCAAGTTCAGCCTGGAAATATAATAGCCGCAGTACCAAATAGTGCTTCTGCGGCCAAAGC